GATAGCTTCAGCTTCGCTTGCTGTTATGGCTTCTGCTTCTGCTTCTGCTGCGGCTGCGGCTGCGGCTGTAGCTGCTTCTTCTGCGGCTGCTGCAGCTTCCTCGGCTTCTTTTGCAGCCTCAGCCTCAGCCGCGGCAGCGCCAGCTGCTTCTTCTGCTTCTTTAGCAGCTAGTCGTTGCGCAGCATTTTCTGTAAGGATATTATACCGCTCTGTATCCTTTTTGCCAAGCTTGCCTTTCCTTGTCTTCTTTGCGTCTAGACTGGCTAACTCTGCTTCTTCCTCTGCGATAATAGCTGCGTCGGGAGCTGTAACAGGTTCAGGGTCAGCAAATGCTGCGTCTATGTCTACAAGCGGTTGCTCAGGCTCTGGTTCGGGTTGAGCTTCGACCACCACCTCTGCATTTCCGTGGGCGGCTTCTGCAGGCTCTCCTTGGGCTTCAACAGCAGCAATCTTTTCAGCTTGCTTAGCTGCTCGTTCGGCTCGTTCGGCAGCCCTTTGAGTGAGGACATTAAAACGCTCCACGTCTTTCTTCTTAATCAGATTACCGCCACGCTTGATCTTCTTAGCGGTGAGATCTGCAAGTTCTTTCTCTTCTTCGGCAGCAATTACAGCCTCCGCTTCACGAGCAGCGGTCGCTTCAGCTTCACGGGCTGCCAGCGCATCTGCTTCACGGGCTGCAGTCTCCTCGGCTTCTTTAGCAGCCTGCGCCGCGGCTGCTTCCTCAGCCTCTTTGACAGATTTTTCCTGAGCTCGTTTTACTGAGTTACCAACCAAGGTCATTAATCGAGTCGTTTCATTCTTTGTTAGCTTGACCTTCTTGGCTTTCTTGGCTTTCAGCACTGCCATTTCCTCCTCTTCCTTGGCAGCTACCTCAGCTTCAGCATCTGCAGCAGCTTGAACTGCAGCCTCGGCATCTGCAGCAGCTTGGGCTTGGGCTTCGGCTTCGGTTGCTGCTGCCGCCGCCGCCGCAGCGGCATCGGTCGCTTCTTTTGCCGCCTGTTCTTCTGCTTCTTTAGCTGCTTGTTCCTCGGCTCGTTTTGCCGCATTGTCGATCAAGAAATTCAGCCGTTCCTGCTCTTTTTTGAGAAGTTTTCCTTTCTTCGCCTTCTTCGACTTCAGGCTCTCCATTTCCGCCTCTTCCTGCGCGATTTCGGTGGCAAGGGCAGTGTCAGCTTCTGCAGCTGCTTGCGTGGCAAGGCCATCCCGGTCTGTCTCTTGAGAAAGAGGTTCATCAGCAGGAGCCGCTGGGGCAACTGGGGCAGCGGCGATGGCTTCAGCTTCCCGGGCTGCTTGAGCTTCGGCCCTTCTTGAGACATTCCCTTCGAGCAGAGTAAGGCGTTCTTGATCCTTTTTCAGCAACTTTCCACCACGTTTCTGCTTTTTCGCCAATAGTGTCGCAACCTCCTCGTTCTCCTTTGCTGCTTCAGCGTCTTCCGCGGCCTGTAAAGCGGCAGCTTCGGCGTCAGCTGCTGCTTGAGCATCAGCGGCGGCCTGTGCAGCTTCAGCGGCAGCTGCCGCCTCGGCCTCGCGAGTAGCTCGAGCTTCAGCTCTTCGGGTGGCATTCCCTTCAAGAAGAGCAAGACGTTCTCGATCTGACTTAAGGAGCCGTCCTCCTCTTTTAGATTTCTTGTCCAAGAGACTGGCAATCTCTTCATCTTCGCGAGCGGCCTCGGCTTCCTCAGCTTCGCGAGCGGCTTGCTCTTCAGCTTCTCTGGCGGCTTGCTCTGGGTCTCCTATTAATCCATCCGGTCAGCGAGTTCTACAAGTGTGGGGGTTGATATTGGGGGAGGGCGGTCAGACAAGGCGAATTTCGATGTTCTCTAACTTCTCCGCCCCGGGGAATGAAGTCCAACCCCAGTTGACTTTTCCATATTTCATCATCTAGAGCCTTGCTTCTCAACCCTTCCCCAAAAATATCATGATATGGCTCACCAGTAGCATCGATAAGAAACTCATGTGCATTAGGCTTCTTGTTGTCTATTGAGCCCCACAAAGCATCGTTAGGATCATCGGCGCCGGAAGTTTTGAAATCGAACGGGTCAGCGGCCGGTTTCTTGGGCTTCTTGCCAAAACCCCAAGAATCGAGGAAGTCGTCGGTGCCAACAGCCTCGACGGGATCGGGGGCGGGAGGAGGAATATCATCCTCTATTTGAATCAAGTCGCCAGCTTTCTTCTTTTTCTTACCTGTTCCCCATAGATCCCAACCGTCGTCTTCTGTCTTAGGCGGCTCTGGGATTTGATGAGCTTTAAAGAAATTTGACTCACTTGTTTCATCCTCACCTTTCTTTCCTATACCCCATGATCCCCATCCACTCGTCTCCTCTGGAGGGGGTTTTGCCTTTCCAGTGCCAAAGGTACTCCAAAAGTCGTCACCATCCTTATCTTCAAACGAAGGGGGGTCAGGTGCAGGTGCGGGTATTGAATCTTGAGCTCCCCAAAGTGAACTTTGTGAATGTTCCTTTTTCCCAGACCAGCCACCCCACTGATCTTCCATTGAAGGGGGGTCGGGTGCAGCTGCCAAAGCAACTTCCTCCATGATTCCCTTCTTCTTGGCCCGGTCCTTTTTGGATATTCCCCAAGTATCCCATATATCCTTCTTTCCGTTGGGAGGTGCAGTGTCGGAATCGAGGGCAAGTTCTTCCAGGATGCCACCAGCTTTGCCCTTCTTTTTTTGACCACTCCAACCCCAAGGATCATCACCATCCTTTGGTTCCTCGTCGGGTTCAGCGCCCCATAGCGTGGAACCCTTTTTCTTCTCTTTCTTGGCACCAAAGCCCCAGCCATCGTCATCTTCTTCAATTCCTCCTATTTTGTCTTTAGGTTTGTCCCATGGGTTCTCTTCGGCCTTGGTTTCTTGGGGTGGTGGCGGCGGCGGTGCTGGTGCCGGTGCTGGTGCTGGTGCCGTTTCGCTTTTCCCTCCTCCGCCCCAGCCCCATCCTCCACCACCAAACCCCAATTTCGCACCCCATGAACTGGAAATGCCCTTGTTTTCTGGTGGGCTCAAACCAAGATCTGGTTTGTTATCTCCAAGATTGATATTCTCGAAAGTTGTGGGGGGCTTCGGGGGCGAGTTGCTGTTGCCATCACCATTTCCATCACCAGCGCCGCCTGCAGCGTCCCCTCCACTGGCTCCTCCATCTCCTCCGGTATTATCATCCTTTTGACCGTCATCTGCTGGTGGAGCCGCAGGCGGCGGTGGCGGCGGTGGAGGAGCAGAAGGTGTTTTTGTTTTCTTCTTCTTTGCCGCTTCGTAGAAACCTTGGTTCGAGTTGAAGTCGATGAGGATATCGGAATTAGGATCGTTAAGAAGCGCATCATTCGGTCGGCGGCGTTCTTTCTGGGCATCTGATGGTGGTTGAGGGGATGGATTGAGCCATGCTGGGGTTCGCATATGGGCATAACGGCTGGTCTCATTCAGGGGCATTGTGGTGTCGGTAGGATCAGAAGAGTCACAAGGTCGAGGGAGGCGACAATACCATCGTGGAGAATGATCTGGTATAATTAGCGGCCTCTCGGCCACTTTGCGATGTGATGGTGAAGAAGAGACCTAGACAAATTGTATGACGTTAGATAAGACAGACTTTCAAACGTGTTCCAATTCCGGAACTGGATCGCATGACAAGACAGGAATGGGTGGCGGTGGGTTCCCCTCAGGAGTTCGGGCCGCTGATCGAGGGGTTGGCCGTTGAGCGCCACCCATTTAAAGTCTGTTAAGCTTTTGCTGGGAAACATGATTCAAGCAAAAAAGCGACAATATTTAAATTGCAACTACGCAAGCTGAGCAGAAAATGAAACGAACATACATTTTTATGTAATTTGTGACCAACCCAGGCACGGGCAATGAGACTCAGTCGGTGACGCAAGGAGCGATCAACCGGCGCACTTGACAAACACTGAAAGACTGGCAGGCCATGCGCGCTTCTTGTCCAACTGTCTGTGAATGCCAGAACATCGACCGCGGCCATTGTGAAGAATGGAGCTCGTGCGAAGACTGAGCGACGTCACACACATGGAAGCTATAAATATGAAGAAGGATGGAAGGGCGACGAGGTATCGACAACTGAGCCAAGCCGCCAGAACAAAGGACAGTGTGGGATGTCAAGTTCGTGACCGAGCGTATTCGTAGTTTCGTGGGAGTTTTCGTGTAAGTCGTAGTCGATTGCAATATCAAGCAGCAGAGTTGCGGGGTCTGGCCCTGTTCGAGGCTGTCGAAAGCGACGCCGTGACAAAGCCGGATGTATTGTCAGGGTCGAGGATAGGTAATGTTTAAATGATGTTGCGCTAATGATGTGAGAAAAGAGTCGGATCGTCGAAGAAAACAAAATTGAGGCGTTGTCAAGGCGAAGGAGCGTGATGAGCGTACGGGGTGACTGCCGAGTTAATTGACAAAACAAACCCTGGGTGACCAACTGTCACTTTTCACCAACCACCCCTAGTCGTCGGATCGTCGTCTGGCCTGGACTACTTTTTTCGGGGGTCTTGCGTTGCGCGCTGTATAAATAAATGAGCTTCCACACAAAAAGAGGACGCTCAACCACTCGAGGCAAGGCCAAATAACGAGTAGGGTCTACTCAAGATAGGTAGGTAGAAAAGATTTGATGTAAAAGGAGGGAGATGGGGAAAGAGGAGGGGGAAGAGTTCACGGCGACGAGGAGCAAATGATTTGCAGTAAGTGCATGGCAAGAAAAGCAAGGGAAGAAGGAAAGTCGAATCGGTAAAAGGTCCCATACAATACTTTTTGGGCGCTTCAGGCCAAGACAAATTGGTTGAGCTAAGAGCCAATGACGCCAGCTCTGGCTGTTCAGATCGTCGGCAGGCGAATTGCTCAGATGTTGTACTTGTCAAGACTACTGTTTAATGGGTAGAATCAATGCAAAGGACAGGGTTCAGCGTCCCATGTTGATGTGCAGCCAGGCGAAAAGGCGGGCAAACGCGGGAACAGGACAGGGAAATCAACGCGACAGTGACAGCAAGAGACGTTAATAATTAAGGTCCTGTAGGTGCTCAAAGCAGGGGACGTGCCCTTCTTTCTTCCCTACCTCCCTCTGGACTCACTCGAGAGTGCGCAACAAACACGCCGCCACCATGCATAGGCTGCGGGACCTAGAAGGAATTTGAGGATAATGAGAACTTTGATAGCATTCGTTATCTAGATGCGATGAGCTAAGAGGCAGATCCCGGTTCTTCTCAGTTCACACAGTGGTACATATGTTCGCTATTCAGCATACTGCGTCTACATCAAAACACTCAAATGCTTTTACCTCTGAAGAGCACTTACACTCACTGCCTACCTACCTATGTGCGAACCTATTCCTTACCCGATCAATATTGTTGACCGCACGTCACCATCACAATCACCAGACCAGCAACCCCATAACATCCTGCACCCTCGTTCCCGAGCCCATCACACCCATTCACTGTTCCCTTCAGAGCCCGTGTCACTTGAAAGAAGAACATTTTCCAGACTCGACTCAATCCTACTCAATTCTCATATCAAGCACGTCAACTCGCGCATTTATCAAAAAGACAGCCTCTACTACCATCACAGGTAAACATCATCTGTCGTGTTATTGCACATGCACGTACGATCCACTCGATCCAGGTCAACCAACCACAGATGAGTCCGTTGATGCTGATGCAGGTCTGCAAGGTCAGGCCGCAGCACAACGCGTGGTTGGATCAGATCCTTTGAGGTACATGTTGGCGAAGCCCAATGACTTGCCAGCTTCTCATCGACCCAGCCACCCGAATCTCACATGTGCATTCCACTAATGAGAGAAGCAGGAAATTTGAAAAGAAGGGTCGCAATGCCTGAAACCCATCCATTACAGTGCACATATGTGTGCCCAACATTGGATTGGATGCTTGTCGCGACTAGGATCTGACTTCCATCTTGTCACCAGCTATAACCTCCCACAAGAAAACTGTAGTTAGATCTTCAACTTGCTTTCCCAACAAGACTGATTGGTCCCGTAGAAGGAGAGGATGGCTCATGTGCTGCAATGTGCTACTCCAAAGACACTTTTAATCCACCTGGACCATCTATCAGATGGTGGTACAGCACAGCTCATGGGGCGGCGGTGGTTTTGTCGTTCGATCTTTGTGACATCACGCGGACTTGGTTGTTCCACTGGGGGCCAATATGGACATACATGTTGAGACATGTGTGACATTTCTCGTTACTTCGAGGGGCACACGATATGTCTCACCAGCACAACCTGAGTTCCTTTTACAATCCTCCTTAGAATGGAGAATGGGGCCAATTCCATGAGGTGCATAGTACATACATGCCTTTCCCTCCAGAAGGGTAAGGTAAGGCTATCAGCTCCTTGAGACTGTGGTTGACGTCCCGTTCCCTTCCCGTTCCCCGCGTCTTGTCTTCCAGGTTCATCTTGCTTAACATCCGGCAAGTTTTGTGGGACTCGCTGTTACATCTGGTTCACACGACGACCGCTAATAAGCCAACACTTCTGATGATCACCAGGCTGTCCTCGCTTTGCACTAGTTCAAGGCAATTGGGGGAGCGGGTATGGAAAGGCCCGAGGGGGCTAGATTGAGAAGATACTGGCGACTTCATAATTACAATGAAAGGCAATGGCCGTACCAGCTACAAGGTCCAGTAGTCGCTTCGACGGCTTGCCTTGAGGTATTTTCTACGACATTTCCAGGCCGCCCGTCACTAAACAGTCACACACGAACACACGAGCACATCCAACGACCGGGGTCTTGCTCTGGTATGATACATGCAAGTGCAGACTCGACAAAATCCACAAACGCCACAGGATGCTGCAGAGTCCCTGCGCTTCCTGCAAGACGTTAGCTCTGTGCATCATCCTAGACCAAAGCTTGGCTCGAATAGGTATCGCCAAACCTTCACCGCCTCCAGCGCATGTACCTACGCTGTGCTATCCAGATTTCGTTCAAAAAGCCCGCATTTACAATGCCGCCTGGTCCATATGAGCTGGGATCGACGACGACAACAACGACGTGGCCGTCTTGGATGTGGACGATGAATGTGGACAGTGGACCTGGACCGTTGAACTGAGTTGATGGGGCTGCTTTCATGCACCATCTATTAACGTATCAGTTCATATCCAAGGATGGATGTCTCCGCACAAAAACCAGCGAAACAAGAAGAACTGTTTGCCCTCCTGCCTAACGCCTTTTAAGCGGTCAGACCTGATAGTTGCCGCGATTGTCAAGGGAGAAAAGCAAGAAGGGGTCGGCAAATATTTACGACTGAAGAAGATAGGAATTGGGAGCCGCAGCGCAGGCAAGATAGATATTGGCTCCATCGTTCTGATTTTGCCCGAATTGCCCAGACGAAATCTCTACTTGGCTGGGATGGGCGATAAAAGCTGGCGTTAGCGACTTAGCCATGAGCTGCTATCTCAAACGGGACCACCCCAGCATCAATCGGTTACAGCTAGAGACGATGCAATGCTGTGCATTCAATAATTGATGCTACCATGTGAGTGTGATGATATTCATAGAACACTCGGTTCCTGACTACGATAGCTGCAGGCAAGTCACCCAAGCCGAGATAGGTAACACAGGGTCTCGGCCTAACCTAACCCGACCCAGGAGATTGTCTTAGACTTGGCTTACTGTAAAGTTCTCACAGCCTAGACTGTCTATCCGTAGACTACCTAGCAATGTCCAGTGCCGGTGACAATGCGAGTTTATTCTTAGACCTAACCTGCAAGACGGGCCGCAATTCCATCATTCTGTCACCCGTGCCAACACAGGAGTGTGAAACCCTCATGCAATTCAGCTACATTCAGGCTTCTCGTAGAAACCCAAGGCACTAAGCTAAAACATGAGCATAGCAAGTTGACGCCTTCAAATAACGCAGTCTCAAGGTGCCAAGCAAGTTCCTCAGTCCAATACATACTGCACAGTCGGCCAACTGCCGGATCGGGCCGTGAGTAGCACTTGGTCTCGGGCTCGGAATGAAGAATTGATGCCGGCCGTTGATTGTCTGGACTGCAGCACATGATTTTTCTAGACCAAAAGATTGTCAGGGCGAGATCCATTATGGTTCGTTCGTCTCCAGCAAGTCAGCCGTCGTCCGTGCTTCGGGAATTGGCTGCAACGCAACGCAGCATCTAATCCTGGGCCTCGTCCGTTCAGTTTAAGGATATTGCCATGCCCATCAGTTCGTCTAGGGTGCTCCTCTTCGGGGGAGGCTCTCTCGTTCTGGCAGGTGGCTGACGGATCGCGGAAGAAAAGCAGCCGGACAATCGCCTCAACATGGGGATAAGCTGGAGTTGACCTTGAAGAGCAAAGGTAACAATTCCAAATACCCAAGGTAGGCAGAAGAGTGTCTGTCACTTGAGGTGCCGAGGTGGATGTGGGTTTACCAACCTTAACTTAATTAGCTAGTTAATTACACATTTCAACGTAGGGTCTGGAGATATCACACAGCACTTCACACATGTCAAAGCGGCAGTTCAGTCGCCTATCACCAACGGGATACTCGGGAGTTAAAAGTACATAGTAATTAACCTAAGGTGATCGGAGCTAATTTTTCCCTTCCACATTGCCATTGCAGTCATTACTACCTCATTTCGCTCTTTCCATCTACCTATCTCCCCTCTTTGCTCCGTGTTCTCTCTTCCTAGACTCCTTACACCCACTGTAACAAGGGCCCCTCAGCTACCACATGCCCCCGCCTTAGGTACTACTATACCTTGGGTACATTACTGTGCAGGTTCAGTATATTTTTAACTCTTCAGCCACCATTTGGTTTAGCCTCAACTCAACTCACCTCGAACGTAACTTTGCCCAACTCATTCAACGCAACACAACACAATATCACCTTTTGCTCTTTCCTTGTCCCCCTGCTGTCGCTTTCGCACATACCCAGGGGGAAAAAAACAGAAGAGAACGAGGTGCAAGGGCTGTGAGACTTCAAATCTGACTGCTCCTGTTCCGATACGCGCGGGCGCCTATTCGCTTCTCAACTCCCGCCCTGCATGGAAGCGCAGTGCATGCCATCTATCCATACCTAGCATATCCGCTCTGCTCCGCTTGTCGTCGGATTGAATCTCCGTTTCATGTGAACAAAGAGCCAAGAGAGGACATGAAGCAGTCTCTGTGAGGCGCAGGCTTTGACTTATTCTCCGCTGTTCTTGTCGAGCATCTTTTTGTCCTTTGGATATCACAATCTTGTCGTCGACTAACACGTCCTGGTCTTGCATGTTGCAGTGGATAAGTTGACTGGGTCTTTGCGAAGAACGCTCTTCTTTTCTATGACTATCTCTTCTTTCGCTGCTGTTGCTATCAGTCCGCCTTGGCTTACTCTTCAACTATCTCGAATGGGATAATAACCGTCAATCGCCATTGACAATCACCATGTGCGCCTTGGGCAGTCTTACAAGGATAAACATCTCGATATCATTACTTTCAACATTACCAACGTCCGCAGACTCTAGTCGCCAGTGTTGGCCAAGTTTCGTCTAACAAGACAGCCACGATCAACTGCTCACTCTGCACCCTCTTGTTCATCTTCTGTATACCCGTTCGCAGAGACTTGACACTCATCTATATCGCCAGAAGCGCTCCAAATCTATATAAAATGCGCTCAACACAACTTCTCTCGATCTCTGTTCCCATACCGGGCACTCTCCCTCCCAGCGCCGTGGTAGCAGCTCTGCAAGCCGTAGACCCATTTGTCGCCCACCACAGGACAGTGACGAGCTTGGAAGAAGTCCAAGCTGATCCGGCAGACACAGCTGACGACCCTTTCTTTGGACCCTTCGATGACTCCTTTCGCGCTTTTCAAATGCAAGAGCTCGTCAATCTCGCTCCTGGTCTTGGCAAAACCATTTCTTACAAGGCCATTTTTCAGATAATACCTGATGGCCTTCGCTCTCGTGCGAAAGCCCCTGTGGGCGTCGTGGTCCGAGCCCAGTGGATGGTGCGCCAACAACAGCACGGCCGATCGCCCTCGGGTCCGATATCACCCGCGGGATCTGATAGCACTGCATCAGGTAGCACGGCGACTGCTGAAGGGGACGAATTCGAGCTACACGAGCAGGTTCTCCTCGAATGCAATTCTCTTCTGATGCCATTCATTACCGAATCTTGTGTGGCTGTACATCGTGAAATTTGTGAGAATTTCATGGCGAAGACATTTAAGGACTACTTTGGAACCTCGCCGATGTATTGACCATATGTGTATATGCTATCTGGTGAAGACTCTAATTCAAGAAACGAAGTGGTCATCAACACATGAATGTGTTCAAATGGTGGGAGAAGGAAAGTCAGTGCGGTGTTTTTGCAAGGCGTTGGTATTGCCATTTATGGGTTTGACTTCGTATTTTATAATCTCTTACTATAACTACTGCAAGATATCCAAAGAAGGGGGGGCTTCCATAAGTCAGCGCTGGGCAAAAGTAACAAAGGGGGCCAGTCAATGGGTGGTGTAGCTTAGACATCGATATCGTTCATACTGTCTGCATAGATGGTATCAAGTACTATTTATGTTCCCAAGCAATCAATATCTTAACTATACTTGTTGATATTGTATGATCATCTGTAATTGCCAGGATGTATGAACCATATCCAGACCGAGAACTGAAAAGCAAGCTTCAACTTTACAACCTAATCAGATTGAACGAGAAATAAGAGATAAAACATGTCATATCGAAGGAACAGAACAGACTAGATTTGGTATCTATGCGCGTACCGTCTATACCCAAACACTCCCCAAAAAGAAAAGAAAGAAAAATGATAAAAAATCACCCTGGATCCAATTGTATGTATAACCGTTGTGATGTTGTAACCACGCCCCATCTAGCAGTATCCAAAAGACGGCTGTGAAGTAGAAAAACAGTAATTCCCCGAGGGATAGAGAAAGAAGTAAGGCGTAAGGTAAAGAACGCTGATAACAAAAAAAAGGCATTGGTCGCGTCAACAATGTATGCATACTCTTATGGCGAGTGAGCCCATTTTACCGGCCCCCGAAATCGCTCGCGTATCCCATTTCACCAAAGCCTTGACCCATCCCACCCTCGCCAAACCCCGTGCCAGGGCCACTCACATATCCACCGTCTTCGTTTTCGTCATAGTCACTGGCATCAAACGATGAACGGCCACTAACCTCGTCGTCCATGCCAGCGTTCACATCAGGTGTAGACCAGTTCAGCTGAGCTAATGCAGGATATTGGGCCAAGAGAGCCGCTGGAAGCATTGGGTTGCCAGAAGGATCCATAGGATAAATAGGGCCATCCATCGGCATACTGGATGCAACAGCCATGCTCTGCGCCATGTTCTGTTGCATCCGTTGTTCTTGCCAGAGTCGTTGTCGTTCCATCATTTCTTCATCTAACAGAGGCTTGATGCAGATGCGACCAGCTTCGGACCTAAAATGACGGCCTAGAGCATCGGCACGGGCAAATCTTCTACCACATCCCCACTGACCTCCAACCTTGAGATCGCCTTTACATACAAACTTCTTTTCTCCGGAGTGAAGACTCTCGTGTCGCTTGCGATCGTGTTGCCTAGCAAAGGCCTTTCCGCATACTGTACACACAAAAGGACGCTCATCTGTGTGCGTTCTCAGATGTGAGCGCAAGTTGTACGCACGCGTAAATCGTTTGGGACACAATGTGCACTGGAAAGTGGCAGGGTGTTTCTGAACCCGCTTGGCAGCCCCGCTGTCCTGGTTGTTCTGGTACTCAGGATCGGCCAGTCTAAGAGCGATAACGTTGTTGGGGACAGCCGATGTGGACTGTCTTCTCCTGGAGGGTGAAGTCCCTGCTTGCCTGTCCAGAGGAGATAAAGATCTGGAGTCTGCTCTTGCTGCTAAGTCGGCGCCTAGGGAAGGCGAGATGATGTTGGCATTGCCTTGGCGACCTAGCAGACCGCCACCAGGATGGAAAGGATCTGTCACTGCACGTGGACGGGATCGGGGGCGACCTAAGATGTGTGAGCTAGTTTCAAAAGCTATGATTTCGGCTTCAACATACCTCTGTCTGGCGGGGTCAGAGAATCCTGATCCATACGAGATTTGGGAGTATCAAAAGCACCTTGCTTAGCATTTGTAGGCGCAAAGTCAATATTGATCGCAGGAGGGGCCATCGACGACAAATCAGCGCCCGAAGGCTGGAGGGAAGGGAAAGCCTCGACGGGCGCTGAAACGTCAGGATAGGTAGAGGGAACTCCATATGGATTGTGAGGACCTGCCAAACCAAAACTGTTTTGATTCAGCTGGTTCAGGTCCGGCATCTGCTGAGGAACAATGCGGGGGCTGATTGCGGGACTATGGGAAGGACTACGACCCTGGTGTCCAGGACTACCACCGACTTGAGGGTCGGAGAGACTAAAGTTACCCATGCTCAACACCTCTTGATATAGACTGCCATCAGAAGGACGATGTGCAGGCGAGTGCCCACCGATATCAGTCTCAAAGGACTCAGCACTAACAAGGTTCGGTGATGGAGCCACGGACGAAACGTCCGAGTACTCAGAGGGTGTGCGACGGTGGCGCTGGAACTGAGGCTGGTTCCAATCGGCTATCTGGTTTGGGAGCAAAGCATCTGCTGGGCCGAGTGAAGTATGTCGCGAATGGCTAGGTGGTGAAGAGAACTGGTGCTGGTTAAAGGCGGGCGACTGGTGAGCAGAACCAGGTTGTTGAGCATCGTGCTGGAATAGATGAGGAGGGGTAGGCGAGTGATGCCCTTGCGACGCCATGGTATTCATGTCGTTAGGATTTAGTGTAGACTGGTCGAACAAGGGGGTGTTGAACTGGTCGCCCTGGCCACTAGTATTCGGAAAGAGAGAGAAGTCGTTATCGTTGAGGTTCGGCGACAGGTAAGCTGCCTGAGCCTGGTTATTGAAGGGTAGCGAAGTGTCGGAGCTGGCAGGCTGCTGTCCGAATGAAGCGGTGTTATTGGGGTCGAGAATAGCGGGGTCGGACAAGTTGGCTTGTGCGAAGGAGTTGCTCTGTTGATGCGCAGGAGGAAGGAAAGAAGGCGATTGCTGAGGGCTTAGAAAACCTGAACCGTTGAAGGCCTCGTAAGACTGTTGAGCGGACTGGTCGAGAGTGAGACCAAGACCAACGGATGGATCGTTATGCTGATAGGGCGCCGGCGACGGGGAATGAGAATGGTTTATATGAGGCTGTTGATGGCCAGCCGAAGGAGACCGGCCTCGTTGAGCTTGTTGATCCATGATGTTTCCGAGTTTAGAAGCAGACGAAGTACTGTAGAATACTGTAGACAAGGCAGACTCTGGAGTCAGCCTTCAGGCACCGTGGCGATGCCGGGGGCTGTGCGCTTTCAAGGTGATGCAATGGGCGGGGGACTGTCCTATCACGGCGGCCGACGCGTGGAAGGGGTTGCGAAACGCGCAGTTTGAGCGGGAACGGTGTAGTTTGAAGTAGATGAATGCGACGTGTAGAAAATCGGTATTGTTTTGCGTATGATATTGAGGATGGGGAATGCTGCCGTACCTTAGGCTCTTGGATGCGCAGACGAAGATGATGGTGGAGATGAGTTGCTTGGGTTGCGGTGGGTTGCGGTGCGGCGGGCGGGTATTGTCCTGTAATCCGTACCACAACACAACAGCACGAATAACTGCAAGCAGCGACTGCGTTACAATTAATAAGGTTGGTCGATCAGTGTCTTGACGGCTGATAGGAGCTATACCTGGTCTAGGGCCAGGACTCTGACGATTTATGTTACTTTGGAAGATTCCGCTCTGGGCAACTTCTATTGGGACGAGAAGAGAGGGTGAAAGCCGGGCGGCTACAGCTGGTCCGTAGTTTTGGTTGTAAGGGAGGGGAGCCTGTCTAAACTCTGTGTATGTGGGTGGTCCCTTTTCATCCAGAATTCCAATTAAAAGGCCGACCACACAGGACGGGATTTGGTGCGTCAGAACTGATGTACAGTACAGGCGCCTAAACGCACAAGATCCTCCCCGTGGGATACGTTTATGTAGGGCCAGAATGGTGCCGAGGGCTGTGCAGAGACACGTCGAACGAATGGGAACTAGAGCTAGTGTGCCTGAGGTAAGGTACAGCAGCTTGAGTAAGATACGTATGATAAGGTAGCTTTGGCTTGACAAGTACGGAGGTTTGCTAATTTTAACAGTATTTGGGTCCTTGGGATCGTTTGACCTGTTGCAAGCGAGGCAGACTTGCTCTCCAGGTTGATGGCAATCGTGATATCGCTAAACCCACATGGGATAGTCGGTATTAATAGTGTTGTGTGATTTATTGGGATGAGATGAGTTTCAAGAGATGAGAAGGGGAGAAGGCAGGAAATGAACTCAATGCAGGTTAATTAAGAAGATAATATCAAAACAACCTCATCAATTTCATTTCACAACTTGGGCTATCCCATGCGTTGTAACGGTTATTCATTCAGGTATACATAATCTTTTTTTTTTTTTTACTTTCATTTATCGTGAGTTCATTGGGTCTTCATTGAATTAATTAACAAATATTGGGCAATAGGCACATCCCATGCGTCCCACTCATCTGGATTGGCGGTTCTCGGTAAATGAGCATCAGCACTACGTATTTTAATATCCAACTTACCACGTCAAGTAGTGGCACTTTTGCGTGTGCAAAATTTGAGTGGCATCTAGGATTCTAGGACTCTGCTCCTTGGTCACGATCATATACCTCGTTCAGGATATTGGCATGTTTCGATTTTTTTCATGCCAACAAGCCGTCCTTCCTAGACCACTGCATGATTCTTCATATTTCCCATCATGTCAGTAGAGTTTTTGCTAGACAGGAGACTGCCGGATGTGGTGAGCCTTGCACACATCTTTCATTCATTCCTCTATTGTCCTCAATATCCGGTACGCGCTTGTTGTCGAATCAGCAGATTGCAAGCAAGGGTTGTAAGAGGAAGCTCCCCACTCACCTCCTCGTTCGTGTCACATTCTCTCATATGCAGGTTTCAGTTGCTTATAGAATCACAGGTAACTAGGCAGTTTGAATCACATTCCAGCCCTATTCTATTTTATATCATTCGTTGCGCTGCATGCATAGGTTTATGAGTGTAAACAGCGTCTTGCCAGGTATATTTGTCGGGTTAAGCATTCCACTCAATGGCTTGTCAGGCGAGGGATTGCTCATACATAATTCAATGGCCATTTTAAAATCTTGTGCTAGCCGCAAAAAGCACGTAGCTCGATTGTACGAGCTTTTAATAGACCATCCTCTGACCTGTCCCTGGATCGTCATCCACCATGCAAGTTCTGCACTGCCTCTCGAAGAAGTGATGCTTCTAGCGTGCCTGCATGTCCCTGAGAAAAAGTTGGCCGGACAGAATATTACTTGGACCTCACTCTAAAATCTATACGTTGGTAACGTAACCGGGGGGAGAAGAGCCTACCACAATGAAGTCGCGTTGGTAATATGAATCCATGCTTTACTTTATGATTCACTACCTCATTCGTGCAAATACTGTCCGAAACACATATTCATGCCATGACAGAATACGTATATCCCACTTACACCGCCCCCAGCCTTACACGCGGCCCACGATCCGACCCCACAATCCAAGGCTGTGCTCTCTTTCTCCTCGTGTCAGAGGTAGAGGAAGGTTTGCGTGCTGACGGGAGCAAGTCGGTAAGCGTTGATACAGTGGTGACATCAGTTTCAGCTTATCACTAGGACCCCTGCCTTGCTCGGTGACAGCCGACTCTTCCTTTGCGTTTGAGGATCCTCGCAAGGCAGATTTCGAGGTTTTGCTGACGCGGTCCGGACCGGAGAAAAAGAAGCTTATTAACTAAGGTACCTTGCACTAAAATAAACGCGAACTGGTCCCCACCTTGCCCGAAAAGGCAGGAAGCTCGACATGCGAAATTGAGGTGGAAGTTGCTGAAAGTGATGCGGTTATTCTTCAGCTTATTGTTACGTATTGCCAGGTAGGTTGCGGAGGCGTACACACGAGTTCCTCACCAAGATATTGTTGCATGTGTATGCCGTTTGTGAGTAAGTATTATTTTCGAAACCATTCTGGCGGCATGAACTTCACATGCAGCAGAGGGTTTGTGGTTGAACTAATCAGAACGGTTTACCACTGGAATATGGTTTTTCTTCTTCTTCTTTTACCCAACTAAAACAATGCTCCTAAGACCGTCAAGAGTAGGGATTCCGTAACAGAACGCCATCAAATGCAGATTTGTTTTCAAATAACCAGCCAAACTCCTTCCACAGTTGAACTCCTATTTCCCAGTGGTATCATATGCAAATAAGCAAGAATTACAATACTCAAACCAAGAACTTCCGGTCATGTCGAACAAATGAGGCAAGGTAATTCGTACAAGCTCGTCTGATGCCACGAGGCTTTATTCCGCTAACGTTGGTGATCGCTTTGTGACAACCCTAGATGACTTCGACGCGATCGTAGCCGGTGGGCTTCAGTGCGGGCTTGGGTGGCTCACGATCTTTGTACTCGCTGACGAATGGGTTTGGGTCCTCCGTTTGGTTGAGGTTACCAAGCGTGTGGTTGACTCCTCGGTGAGTGGCCTCATCAGCCCTGATGTAGAGGATCAAGTCCTTCATCGTACGGTGCTCTTTTGGCATCTTCCAGTACTAGAGAGGTATCAATATTGAATATTTCGTTATAAGAGTGTTGATAAGTACTCACCTGGACAGCAATGTCGGGTATCTGGAACTTGGGGTCACTCCACTTGGGTAAGTTGCCATCTTCGATCTCCTTGATACAACGAGTGTAGGTGTGAACAGCCTCTTCTTCAAGGTAACCGACAAACCTGTGGACAATCTTGGGCGAGATCAGATAGGACACAAACAGACTGTTGAAGAAGACGCCCTGAGCACCGATGATCATCATCTTCATGAACCAACCAGGCTCACACATCTTCATAAAAGTCAAAAGATGCATTCGTTCGTTGTAGCTCTCCTCGAGAAGTGTTTCGATCCAGCCATTATCTCGTTTCATGCGTCGAAGGCTGCCCAGATGGCGCAACATGCCCCCAACCATGCCTGGAACTCCCGCCACGCTCTCGAGGAAGATGAATCGAATCAACTTTTTCTTTGTCAGTCTATGCGTTCGAGATATGTTGCACAGGTGGGATATGGCTTACCCATTGAGCCTCGGTGAGTGGCTTCTCAGCCTCGATGGCTGTAGTCGGCTTGGTCTTGTCGGATTTCTGATCACGGTCCATACCTGTGGCCTTGTCCATACAATATCGGGCAAAGCGGACAATTTTCCAGGCTGTATAGTCGCCAACTGTCCTGGGAGGTCGATGAGCGGGTTCGACCGCCAACATTTCATCATATGTGTAGCCTTCGTGTGGCCAGGCTGGCTTGGTCGTCTGGATATGTGGCGTCTCTTTGACCGGAAAGAAGTCACGAAGTTGGTGTGTCGGTGTCGATGAGAAGAGCCGATGTTGCTGGGAAGCGGCACAACCGGCTCGAAGAGTTATGGGAGCTCTCGTCAGAGATGAAGAAGAAGATATGGTTCGAGCAAAGCCAAGTGCAGCAGCTTTTGCCGCCTGTCGTGAAGCTTGGCTGTGCTGAAGTTGGAATGACAACATCGGGGCGAGCAAGAGTTTTGGTGTCTTCAGTATATGGTATGCTTATTGCAGGTATCTGCCTCAGCTTATCAATGATCGAGCTGGTTGTTTGATAGGAAGACAGTATGATGAAGCTTCTGCCTGAGGAGGTCTAACTGAGCCTTTATATATATTCCAGAGATAAGCCTACAGAGAGGCGTGTCTGCATGTCAGACGCCATCCCCATCATACCCCAGGGGTCCAATTGGGAACGAGAAAATTCTGGTCTCTGTATTAGCAAAATATCTAAGCGCCGTTTTAACTCGGCGTGAAATTGCTGACAAGAGACGTTACCAAGGGGAAGTTCACGAAGACAGGCCGGGACAAGTACTCAAGGTGAGCGGCGTCTGCGGCACACCGCGGCCGCCACTAACTAGAACTGTCAAAGTCTAACCCAGCCAGGCCGTTCAGACGAGTAGTCCTTGTCAATTACGATGGTCCGCAGGGGCCCAAGCAATCGGGACAGGCAGTGGAAACGCTAGAAAGACCTTCCCGAAGACCTAAATCGGGAACATGACAAAGATCCGTCATAGGTCGGTTGCAGCTCCAAAGTTTCGCTGCCACGTGAGTGAGGTTCATCGGGAGGACTCGGATGTCGACTACTTACACAGCACTCGCAGCGGAGATCATGAATCCTGGCTTAGGAATCACTCGCGATCTGACATCAACCAAGAGGCTGATGGCACGTGCTATAAACGGTCCTATTATTTTGACTACTTTCAAAACTTGCTCACTAATCTAGGAGCATTTTTTAAACGCCGGTCTGATGCGGATACAGCAGCTGGTATCGGGATTTCTCGATACCAACACTACACAGTTGACATTATCCCTTAGCCATTCAAACTCACGGGGGATTTTCCGGGATGCTGATAGGTATTCATTGGATGAATCAAAGGGCTTATGGTCAGCTGCTTGTGTGAATCCTCGTATAACCGGAGATGCTGGAGATGTTGGCTTACATCGATACACCGTGGTCTAGTCCCAGCGATACAGGTATTGACTCGACAAATTCTCCCTTGGTAAGAATGATGAAGCTTGACATATCATGTGAAGGGTGCAATACCTTACACGTCTTAAGGTAGTTAACTTGGGTACTAACCCATCTGCGATGGCATTTGTAAGGTAACTGTAACAGAGAATTGGTTGTTATTGCCAAGGTTTATGTCTAATAATATATAATATTGTCAAATACCACGCAAGAAGATGTGTAGTCAGGGGCGAATTACAACATGTCTCTCATCATTATATACTTGCTCGGCCCAGATATGTAATACCTAAAATGCATGATATTTTATATCATGCAAAGCATATTGCATAAAGGTATAGGTTACTACAAAAAGAACTACGCAGGATGGGTGTTGGTGGTACCGGGTAAGCCATGATAAAAATCTACACCGGAACACCGAGACATTGTCACCTCCGCGATGATATACAACGTAAGTTGTCAAGGTAAACCATCAGTGACTCATACTTCTAAGGTTTAGAGCAACAGTAGACGAGAATGGTATTGGAGTGTCGTAGAAAAAACAGCATGGCTTCAAAGCTGGCACTTAGATTCCCTTAGGGACGGGTGAAGTAAGTACTAGTGTAGTTTCAGAGTTTACTGTATTGAAAGTACTAATAAGAATAGCGTAGAGAGACGTAGTTGGAGATTACGCCGTAATTTAGAGGGATACGATTATAACAATAAAGTCTAATTGGTTCCTATGGAACATTATGAAGTCGGCCGTGGATGCATCATGACTGACGTCAAGGTTTTAGAATGTAGGAAAATGCGCCAAATTTTTTTTTTTTTTTTTAATCGGCCAAAACTTTCACACCCAAAAAATTGCCCCTCCTTCAGATCGACAACCCCTCCATCCCACTTTGAATGTGCTGGTTGGGAGTAATGGCTTTCTGCCTGAAAAGAAAACACTAACACTGTAGTTTTTATAGATGCATGAAAAGTACCTGCTAGACAGAGACGTTTCTCGTAGTGTGTATGTATACATATCAGACAAATAATATTGAATTAAATCCGGTGCAGACTAGTGTTTTCCGTTTACGCTCCCTTCCTTTGTTCCTTGTTTTCAAGATCCGTCTTCGACCCGTTTTGTACCGCAGCATCAAACACCCACCCACACTCGCACAACTCACACAAAACTTACCCTTCACACATCCTCGCACCCCAGAAACCCACCCTACTTCAACTCTGTCAACCACCAAACGCGATACTGTACTATACTGCCAGGAACAGACATCATGCCTCCTAAGAAGTGGGGTACGTATAACACCTTCTAAACAACAGTCTCGAACCCATACACAGACTACCGTGAAGTCTCAAGCGAAATGGACTTTTGCGGGGTTGTTGAGTTTGATGCTTGCACGGCAAGCAACGTCTTTAAAGAGCACAACAGCTAACAAGCGCATCCAGACGACGAAGAGAGCGACGACAGCAGTTCCTCCGGCTCCCCCGTTGTCGGTGCCGGTGCCGCTTCTCGACGCAAGTTTGACGACGAAGAGGACGATGGCGACGTAAGTCTTTGACCCGAAACCTGCTAGGTGTTGTCGACCCTTGAAATCGCTGACACCTTTCTCCCCATCAACAGGTTCTAGATTCATGGGACGCCGATGACGACTCCGAGGCCGAGCGTGAGAAGGAGCGCAAGGCTGCCGAGGCCAAGCAGAAGGCTGCCGCAGCCGCTGCCGCAGCCAAGAAACCTAAAGGTCAGCGAATTGCTGAACACCAGGCCGAGCGTGCCCAACAGAGAGCCGGTGCTGCCAATGTTGAGGAATATGAAGAGACAGAGGCCGAGAAGCGTGAGCGACTCCGACGCACCGAACAGGAAGCCGACCTCGCACACGCCGCCGACATGTTTGGAGATATTGGTATCAGCGCCGGCCGTGCCAAGTCCCGTCCTGCTACTGTCGTCGTCGACTCCAACGACCCTACCAAGACCATCGACATTTCCAAGCTGCCTCTCTTCCAGCCTAAGACCAAGGCCCAGTTCGAGACTCTCCGCACCACTCTTACTCCCATCATCTCAGCCAACTCGAAGAATGCCCACTACAGCCTGTTTCTCCAGGATTTCACAAAGGCTCTTGCTAAGGATATGCCCAGCGAACAGATCAAGAAGCTCGCTAGTACAATGACTGCTCTGGGCAACGAGAAGATGCGAGAGGAGAAGGCTGCCGATAAAGGAGGCAAGAAGACAAAGGCTGCCAAGACCAAAACGTCGCTGGTTACTGGTCGCGCTAACGCCGCCGACACCACGACTTACGACGATGCTGATGATTTTGGAGAGTGAGTGCCCCCTCCAAACAGGCGCTGAGATAGTGTACTGACTTTCCTCCAGTGATGACTTTATGTGAAACGTTGTTAAACAATACAGCAAGGGTAGCTTTCATCCAGAAGCTAAACCGCTGCTTCCCATTTTAACTTATACCTATCTGCCCCCTATCCATCGAGTCGACTGTTCGCCAAGTTGGGCGACTCGAGACATGCCGTTGACGCAAACAACACCCTGTGGTTTCAAGATACTGCCATGAAGCCCTCTTGGGTGCTCGGACATAAGAAGGGCAGTAGAGAGAGGGTGGTGGATCGGAGAGAAGTGTGCCTTAGACTCAAAAGATGGTGAATACACGGAAGAGTGGAGGGCGCCAAGGATCATACATGGGAACGATGCGGAACCAGCTTCACAGAGCATATTTCGTGCTCTTAGCATACTCTTCATACGGGCTTAGTTATATGGAATTGCTTTTGACGACCAGACGCCACGGGCATCTGAGGCATATGTTGATTAGTGTCTCGGTTCGGAACTCGTTAGATAAAAACTAGAGGGCGCTTTGCAATGTATTGGAAGAAATGGCACACTGTTGGGTCTGGTCTGCATAGCTCATAGATCATGTTCATTCGTATACCGGAGGCTACTTATGCTATTTCATGTGATGAACGCTGCCACTATGGCAAGGGTATCTCATCAGTTACCGCCCATCATGTTGCTCCTATAAGCGATTAAGGAGTAGAGTAAAATCACGGACGAGGTCCTCATCGTTCATATATAAAATTCCACCAACGCCAGCCACAGTCAGCCGTATCATAAACTTTCCAATCTTGAACGCCTTCGTCGCCTTTCCTTTACACAAGTCATTGCTCTTACACAACGCCGATAAAATATACAAAGTCGCACACGTATCGTCATTCGACCCCCATGCTCCGTTTATACTCGAGCAGAGCAGGAGCCCGTGGCAGGGAACTCACACCACATTGCCCGCCATTCCCATAAAGAGGGCATGGACCGCAAGCGACAAGGTCCAGAACCCAACCTTTTTGAATCGCCGAACACGGCTCTGTTGGTTTTCGACGTCATTCGCAAATGCATCATATGTCTCCGCTGACATATCGTTCATTAGACCACAGTCAAAGATCGACCAGCTACCATCGAAGTCGCTGGCTCGTTTCACGATGCGGCAATTGATTGGTATATATGTCTTCTTCGCGTTGATATAAGCGACGATAGGACGGACCAGTGCCTGGTTGACGTAAGACATATCCTTGGTGAAGAGAGGTACTGCAGCTTTGACATCGTTCATGGAGATCCGGAGGTCCATGATAAGGTAGCGACGCTCATCCTCACTTGTCTGTGGCTCGACGGCTGGCTTTTCGCCGTGAATATCTCCAGCTGAGTCTGAAAGGTGCCCTGATGTAAGAAGAGCAGGGCCTTGCTCTTGGATGTTGCGCATGAAGCGGTGCCTGTTTGTGTCGACGATTTCTTCAAGCTGGTCGTAGAAGTCGGCCATGACCTTGGTGATGCCCTCGTCGGTGTCAGCGGGAAACATGACATCAGCAACAATATCAACATTCCCTTCGTATATCCAGCCAAAAGGCCCTTCAACACCACGGTTGAGATGGTCTATCTTCAACCCATCAATTCGGAGCCGACTGAACTTTTTCCACGCCTTAGGATCACCAAAACCGACCGAAGCTTCTGGGTCACCATTGCCACTAGGTACCACGCCGTGGACTTGTCGGGGATGGATCGTAAACAGAGAACCATCGTAAGACCCTGACATATGGTTGGCCGAAAGGAAATCGTAGAACAGCCACTGCTTGCGAAGCTGGGGCAGCTCGCAAGAGAAGATGCTGATAGAGAATGGCCGGAACCCGCCCGGTTGATGAACGGTGAGTAATAGGTCCTCCATCTTGAACTTTTCGATCTCAAAATCTCCTGGTTGGTGCTTGTGACGATATGACAGAGGATCGACCTCCTCGGCTGGCCATGTCACTGAAGTTCGGTCAATGACACCGCGAACACCCTTGATTTCAACATCTTTCAACAATCCCTTGCCATTCCACCAGTTCAGGAATGACAACGTGACATTGACCGTTGAAAGAGTGACATCAAATTGAGTGTAGTTTCCATCGTCCTCAGTTTCAGACGTTCCCACGAGATCTGCTTTGCGACCAGCAGCAGCCTCGGCGGCAGCATCCGACGAGCCTTTGCTTACGGATGAGACGTTGCCTTGGCCAGGTCGTCGAGACACAAAAACGTTGCGGAAAGAGATAACATTATCACGCCACTTGGGAACAATAGCAGACTCGAAAACAACGGTAACGCCAGCAGACTGTGTCAAATAGTCACCTACCCATTGCGCGAGTGTTTCTGGTGTACATTAGCATGTAGATACTTCGTGCGAAACACTCTATCATACCTTGGGCAACAACAGTGTTGATTGACAAAATGATCAGGGAGAAGAAGGTGGTTGTTCCGACGATAATCCAAGCGAGGTGGCCGAAGAGAAACCACGAAACAAAAGCACCCCATTCGTCAATATTCCACGGTCTCATACTTCTAATCGACACCCATTTTAAACGAACCTTGAGTCGCTGCCAAAAGCCGTTGGCGGCCTCGAGCAGTTCCTCTTTGGTTGGCCGATGCGGCATTCTCGGCAGGTGTAGATAGGACATGTAAGAGACTGGCTCAGACTCCGACCCTGTAGGGTCTTGTTTCCCGAGTTGACTGGAAACATCTTTGCTTATTTCGTTTAATGTCGAAGCCTTGACCCTTTTCAGATCTTCTGTTGTTTTAGCTGGTGTGGTGGAAACATCCGTGATATCCTTGCCGCAAGAGCATTTTGACCCATTACCCTCACTGCTACCACTACCACTGTACAGTCGTTGCTGTTGCCATGGCTTCGATGACCAACATGACCAGTGGGATATTATACGAGTTGAGGTGTGCGTCGTAAGAGGGATTATTCGCTCGGGAACAAATTTTCGAGGTTGAATTGTATGGCGCAATGAAGAGGCTGGCGTGACAGGCACCACATTGTCTGAGATTGGATCAAAAGTCTGACATTTTTGGTGTGAATGAATAAATCGAGTATTTGAGGGCACGATTGTCGCAGGTAAGAATGACCATTTCCGACTAATTTCTGCAAGAGGACGTATGGTAATCGAAGAGAATGTTGCTGGAGAAGAATTGAAGCAGATCCCAAAGCAACGCCCGATCAGAGAAGAGGGGATACCCTTGGCCATCATTCCAGCATCATGGTGCCTAACTGAAAAACAATACGACACCGAGAACGTAAACAGGGCGAAGTCAGAGCCAAACGAACTTTGTTGTTGTAGTTAGGACAGAAGCAAGATTACGGAGGAGGAGTTGGTCGGAGTTAATGATCGACAGATTCCGTCACTGCAAATGCTAACCAAAGCTGCACTTCCATGGTTCTGGTTGGAAAAGTCACTCCATGACGCGCCTAGCTGCTGAAGGCAGCAAACCAATCGATAAGCTACGATAAGCCACACAAATTTTTGATCAGTTTGCTCGAAAGTCACCAACGCCCCCACCAAACCAACCTCTGACACCCTTAGATGTGTGTGAATTTGACTTGGACGAATTTTCTGCGACCAAAGTATTAACATATACTTGCCTCGAGAACAGCCTTGAAACTCCATTGCAAGAGATTATCGCAAAGCAAAGCCACTCATTCATTATTCAGAATGCCTGCGCCGACCGCTTTGAAGAACGCAGAGGATGCCCCGCCCGTGGACGTTCCGCTCCCAGTTGAAGGTATGAAAAGAAGAAAAATCCGAAACAAGAGAATCGCGGAGACAGAATCTGATTTTGATTCAGACAACGACGAGGAGTTCCTTTTAGATGCGCCTGACGCTCTTCCTACCGATGCGAATGTTCTTGTGCCTGTGGAGGAGAGCAATGAGAATGGAATGGCTATCGATGAGGAAGGACGGCCTCGATTTGCGCCTGCCAGAGATATTGTGAGACTCCTATACCATCATGTAGAGTTTCAATGACCCTAACAACGTTGATAGGACCCAGTTACCCGTGTGGAAACTCGCAAGATCCCTATTCCTCCTCACCGAATGACACCTTTAAAACAGTCATGGACTTCTATCTACCCTCCTCTGGTCGAGCACCTTAAGCTACAATGTCGAATGAACATCAAGCGAAAGACAGTCGAGCTGCGATCATCGAAGCATACCACTGATACTGGGGCACTGCAAAAAGGAGAAGATTTCGTCAAGGCGTTCACTCTCGGGTTTGACGTGGACGATGCCATCGCGCTGCTGCGACTCGACGACCTCTACATCCAAACTTTCGAGATTAAGGATGTGCGAACAATGCACGGCGACAGCCAGGCCCGTGCTATTGGACGAATTGCTGGAAAGGATGGAAAGACCAAGTTTGCTATCGAGAACGCCAGTAGAACCCGAATCGTGCTTGCTGATTCAAAGATTCACATCCTGGGTGGATTCAAGAACATCCACCTTGCCCGGGAGTCGGTTGTGAGCCTGATTCTCGGTAAGCCGCCTGGCAAGGTATACGGCAACCTCCGAACGGTTGCGGCACGAATGAAGGAGCGCTTCTAAGTGACGGAAGCTGACGATAGACTTGGGTTGCTACATACGGCGTTACGGGTGGACAGCATTATGATCTTGAATTATGCGAACAAGGATTACTCAGTTAAAAATGGGAGGCTGTCATAGCATGTCGATAACGATAGAACATTGAGATGAATCGATTTGTCGCTTCGTGGATACCCACCAATACCCACGGGCCAACAACGCATGATTGTTTCGGGCTAATTGTAGAGACTGCCAGTGGCAGTTGTAGTCAGATCATGTTTGATACACGGCGTTAATATCGCGCTCTTCAGTATCAAACCACGCCTTCGGCCTTACAAGCATTCAGACGTCAACTTCCCACCCAGATGCGAGGGGGGTGGGATGGCTCCGGTCTCTTGTTGGCTGTAGATTCTCATGATATGCTGATAGGCACGGACTCAGGTCACTCCATCAGCATCCATGTTTATCAGAACATATCAACTTTCATCGACCGACTCTGGAGCCTTGACCGACAATTGAGCGAAGCACAACGCAATTCTGAAAGCGTCTTGTGGGAATAACATATGCCCGATTGAAGCAGGAACATGGTTAAGCCTGCAAGCAAGGCATTGTAAGAGCCGCTACTCAACTACACTAATGAATGACCATGCCGCTATGCACCATGTTCAACATGCAGCCTTCCGGGACTGCGGAGGCTTCGTCTTGTTTCTCGTTGCACCTGGTTAACTTGGCTTCCGATCAGGACGGGGATCGTCCAACCGGAAGACGTCCTCGAGCCGGCACGGCGAGTCTGGGGCAGCGATGCGGCGGACGACGGGCAAGATGAGCCCGCGGTGCCGGGAATCAACGGGAGCGAAACGTGAGCCTGCATCGAGTTGTATGTAATGGACTGTTGTACGTGGAGATGATGCTATGCACAGCAACATGAGAGAGTTAACGAATGTGTGTGGAGGCGCATATGGTGGGCTATGCTCGCCATCACACTGATTATGATTTTCTCGGTCTGTTTTTCCATCCTCTCCTCTCCTCTCGGTCTCGGTGCGGCGCTGTGTCGGCGGGCGTGAAATATAGCATGCTAAGGCGGCAAAATTCCATATCGCTAGTAATCACCCAATGCTAACGCCGATCTAACACAGGGAGTAGCAATGTTTGACGTCCTTTGGTGACCCATGTAGCTTACTGGGACCCTGGCGTGTTCTCTTGTCGGCCGTTTACAGTAATGTCAATGTTAATGGATCTCAAGGTGAGCGGCGAACCATTGAGGTGGCTTTTGGCAATGTGGGATGGTTGGATCTAGGCGATTGTAAAGCTTCGTAGAGTGGGACCTGAGCCCAGTCCAGGGGAGAATGGACCTGGACTTTTGGACCCCTCCTCTGGTTGAATTGGCCAGGGTGAGATTTGTGAGATCATTTTCACCCCTCCAAGGTCAATCGGACCCCACCTCGCAGGTAATTTTTTGGTGAGAGAGACATGGAAGATCGTGCAGACAGACAAGACGGGAGATGGGAGGCTACGTACATCTCATCATACCTTTCTCGTGTCGACCGTTGACTGGGCTGGGCTTCCCATTTGAGGAGTGAGCTTTGACTTTTGGCTTTTAATGGATCGACAGATTTCCTCTGGTTTCCAGAAACCATTCATAAACACCTTGTGCTCCCCTCCTGTGGCCATCCTTTTTCCCCTCTCTTTCTTCTCATCTTCATTGCATACCTCTATCCTCTTACCATCATCCTCTCTTGCCATCTAGACCGGTTCTGCTGTCTCCAATTGCATACATTTCATACATAAACACTTTACCTAAGGTGAGCTTCAATCGAGATAAAATAGTCACAGCTATTATCAATGCCCATACCCCTGCCCCTCACCATACTCTCAGCAATAGCAGCAGTGCACCAGCAAAGCAGAGCGACCTAACCTTAGGGAGCTCTCTGGGCTGGCCCCCCTCCCCCTCCAAACCCCTCCTCCACCTTCTGTCACCCCTCCCTCACCGATTGGAATAATCCCCCCACCAAAAAAATGCTATGAGCTGGTTTGATTTGGCTTGGTTTGGTATGGCTGTGATGAGCAACAACAAACCACTCTCCGTTACTGGGCTGGGAAGGGCTGGGCAACGTTGAGGCATATTTCACCCACTCATTGAGTGACCTTCCCTGGCACTGGCTGGCACTGCTATTGTCCAATTGCTCAGCGCTCAGCTCTATCATGGCACTGCCCGTTGGAGCGCCGGCCGTTCCATCGGTCGAACCTTCCACTCCCAATCAGCTATATAATTTCTTCCACCTCTTCATCTCCCCGCTCCCCTCCTCTTCCTCTTCCTCTTCCTCTTCATCCTTCACACCTTTTTACCCTAAAGGCAAATCAATTAACCCAACGACCCTTAGAAAACATATTACCCGTCAACATGGCTGTCAAGAAGGTCTTCGCCCGCTCCGTCTACGACTCCCGTGGAAACCCCACCGTCGAGGTTGACGTCGTCACCGAGACTGGCCTCCACCGTGCCATCGTTCCCTCCGGTGCCTCTACCGGTTCGTCCCGACCCCCTTCGGCTACTGTCCGTATGCACTCGCTAAGTTCATGATAATCCAGGTCAGCACGAGGCTTGCGAGCTCCGAGATGGCGACAAGTCCAAGTGGGGTGGCAAGGGTGTTACCAAGGCCGTCGAGAACGTGAACACCGTCATTGCTCCCGCTCTTATCGAGAAGAATCTCGATGTCAAGGACCAGTCCGCTGTCGATGCTTTCCTCAACGAGCTCGATGGTACTCCCAACAAGACCAAGCTTGGTGCCAACGCTATTCTAGGTGTGTCTCTGGCTGTCGCCAAGGCTGGTGCTGCTGAGAAGGTGAGCTTCAAACATGTGAATTGCATGCTATGAATATCTCAGCTAACCACTCACTGCAGGGCGTTCCTCTGTACGCTCACGTCTCCGACCTCGCCGGAACCAAGAAGCCTTATGTCCTCCCCGTTCCCTTCATGAACGTCCTCAACGGTGGCTCCCATGCTGGTGGCCGTCTCGCCTTCCAAGAGTTCATGATCGTTCCTACGTACGTATCTCGATACGCTCGTCTTAAGCTTCTTAATTTCTAACGCGGTTATAGTGAGGCGCCCACTTTCACCGAGGCCATGCGCCAGGGTGCTGAAGTCTACCAGGCCCTTAAGGGTCTGGCCAAGAAGCGATATGGCCAGTCCGCCGGCAACGTCGGTGATGAGGGTGGTGTTGCTCCCGATATCCAGACTGCCGAGGAGGCCCTTGAGCTCATCACCGATGCCATTGAGCAGGTTGGCTACACCGGCAAGATCAAGATCGCCATGGATGTTGCCTCTAGCGAGTTCTACAAGGTTGAGGAGAAGAAGTACGATCTTGACTTCAAGAACCCCGAGTCCGACCCCACCAAGTGGATTACATACGAGGAGCTCGCCAACCTGTACTCCGAGCTCTGCAAGAAGTATCCTATCGTCTCCATTGAGGACCCCTTCGCTGAGGACGACTGGGAGGCCTGGAGCTACTTCTCCAAGACCCAGGACATCCAGATTGTTGGCGATGACCTGACTGTCACCAACCCCCTGCGAATCAAGAAGGCCATCGAGCTCAAGTCTTGCAACGCCCTTCTTCTCAAGGTCAACCAGATTGGTACTCTGACCGAGTCCATCCAGGCTGCTAAGGACTCCTACGCTGATGGCTGGGGTGTCATGGTCTCTCACCGATCCGGCGAGACTGAGGATGTCACCATTGCTGACATTGCTGTTGGTCTCCGTGCCGGTGAGATCAAGACCGGTGCCCCTGCCCGATCTGAGCGTCTCGCCAAGCTCAACCAGATCCTCCGAATTGAGGAGGAGCTTGGTGACCAGGCTATTTACCCTGGTGCTAACTTCCGCAAGTCTGTTAACCTGTAAATGGGAATCGACTGATACGTGGAACAAAAGCCTTGTGATGATAATGATGCCTTTGGGTCCTCGGCCGGGAGCGCGTGAGACCATATACCAGAACGGCAAATTGAAAGTAATAGAGGCAAAAATAGTAAAAGCAAACTGATCAATTAATGAACCTTTGATTGAAGTTCAACAAATTCATTTCCCCTCGTGCAAAAACCTTTGTGCATGTCCTATAATAGAGAATGATTCAATATTTCGATGACAAATTAGGCCTGTATATCTGGCGTAATCTATGAGCCAAGTTTAGGAATTAGCTACATAAATTTGGAAAAATTGCCTCTTAACGGTTCACCGTTTCATCAAGTTCTATGGACACTGTTAACTGATATGAGGGACCTTCTTTTTCGATGTGGCTTGTGAGTGAAGTGACCACATGTGGCTGTTTCTACAGCAACAAGCCTATTGGTGCATTATCAACAATAATATTATGCGACCATCCCACTTAAATGTTTAGCATTTTAACAACAACCACACCCCTACTGCCCCTGAGAGTGTTTTACACGAAGCAAACGCCTCTCTAGAGGAGATACTAACTCACCATGTCAGCTTCAGGAGATCTGATTGACTTCGACTTGATCGAAGGACAAAAAGAAAATATCCAGTCTTTACCCGGTGGTCGTTCAGCTAAGAAGCTAGCTGAGCTCTACTCTCCATCACCACTTCATAAACTGTCTACCCCGACCCCTTCGGACACGCGCAATGTTAACGACTGCATTCGCGCCGAATTCGAACAAGAGGTTGAAAACATCGCTGAGTCAGACGATCCTCTTGACGTTTTTGAACGTTATGTTCGATGGACCCTAGACGCCTATCCCTCAGCGCAAGCAACACCACAATCACAACTGCATACCCTTCTCGAGCGTGCAACCAAAACCTTCATTGGTTCAGCGCAATACAAAAACGACCCTCGATATCTCAAACTTTGGGTTCACTACATCCACTTCTTCTCCGACACACCCCGCGAGACATATATGTTCTTGTCGCGACATGGAATAGGAGAGTCGCTCGCATTATTTTATGAGGAATACGCTGCTTGGCTTGAGGGGGCGAATAGATGGGCACAAGCCGAAGAAGTGTACAAGCTGGGTATTGACCGCGAGGCTCGACCTGTTCAGCGGCTTATTCGCAAGTTCAAGGAGTTTGAGCAGCGGGTCGCCCAGCAGCCAGATGTCATGAACGAACCCTCATCACCAGCATTACCCACCATGCGGCCGGCTCTTGCTGCTAAAGTTGATCCTTTTGCTGCTGCGCGAGCAGCAGATCCTCAAGCGCCAAGACCTTCAAGTGGTGGAGCTGGCAAACCCTCCAAGTCCAAGCTTGCAATCTTCTCTGACGCTGACGCCCAACCTTCTGCCATGTCATCAATGAGTGCGGGCTCAAAAGGGTGGGACAGTATCGGTTCATTGGCAGACCGAAGGAAAGAGAATGCTGTGGAAGCCAAACCCTGGGCGGGTGAGACACTGCCAGCTGGTGGCAAGAAGAGTACGGCTTCTAAGATGTCAGTGTTTAGGGATCCGGTAAGTTGATATTCTTCCTCCCGGCTTGCCCACATGTTGATGGTCATAGGACTAATGTATGGTTATGATTTTTTTTTATGGTTCAATAGTCTCTTTCGCAAATACAGAATATCGTGGTTGTTCCATCGAAGCATCAAATTTCCGTTCACCCGCAAACTGGGAAAAAAGAGCGTGTTTTTGTTGACCTTGCTGCTATCTACCCAACTCCTGAAGAGATTGGCACGGAGCTTAGTTTCGAGGAGATTATGGCTGCTGACCGAGGCTGGCTCGACCACTGTTGGGAGGATGAAACATTTGACGAGAACCTCGTTCCTGAGCCTGTCATGCCCCTCGAGATCGAGGAAATCAGCAAAGGAGCAGGAGAGAGGCTAATGATTCATCAAGATCCAGTCGACAGACTCCCTATTCATCAAGACCCTGTGGGCAAGTTGGCCATTCACAAAGACACAGTTGAGAAGTTGGTTATTCATCAGGATTCTTCTACCACGTTGGCAGTTCACAAGGACACTGTGCAGTATGACGAGAATGGCAAGGCTGTCGAGCAACATCGAGGGCCACGAGGTGGTAAGAAGAAGAAAATGATTGAGGTCAACGAGACCCAGATCAGTGAGTCACCATGTTCCCGGTATCATACGATCATCTGACCGTTTAATAGTCAAAGCAAAGCTTGACTCGCCATCCAGACCAAAGCTCAAGAAGAAAAACACCTCTGAGCCTACCATGACACTTCATACTAAGGCTGCCACTGATGATATTTATGATATTTTCAACGCGCCCCTGAAACCTGCTGGACAGGAGGAAGAGGATGAAGAGAGCGCAGACGATGACGATTATGAGAGTGATGATAACTATACTACTGATGCAGAAAGCACAGGTACAACAAGGCATATAGAGCCCAGTGAAGCCGGTGACGACGAGAACGATGAGACATCTGATGTTAAGAGTGTTAGTGAATGGTCCGACTTTTCGACTCGAAGACACATTCCTCATATTGATGGAGAGGATGATGGTGACGAAGGCACCGAACGAAATGAGACGCAAGTATCTGATTCGATCGATACAGGCGCCCCAGGACCTGATCAGGAATCATCTGAAGCTTTCGACAGCACTGATCAACAAACGGGAACTGGAGAAGAACAAAACGACGATGCCGAGGAGCTCGAAACTCCTGTGTCTGAAGATTTCCCTCCTACAGCTCGTACAACATTCGTTCCTATCCCACCTGAAGACTACGAGCCCCCAACTCGGCCATTTAGGGATCCGGCCGAGGTAGCCAACAACCGACTGCCCTTCATGACTCCCATCACCGAGAGGACTGAAGTGTCTCTGGACGTGACTATGGAGCGCCGTGGATACAAGACACCTTCTAAGAAGGATAATTCTCCAACTATTGATGAAGAGGACGAGGGGAGTTCAGATTCAGAACCTCTAAGCAGCCCTCTTCGAGAGATGGCCAACGATCCTATTCCACCCCCCAAGATGTCCGCACCCCTTGCTCCCAAATCCATTGGGCCTTTGGGCAAAGCAATCCCTCCTAAGCCTCTTGCTCCGAAAGGCCCCATCATCAAGGATGCTCAGTGTAACCCTGTGGATGAGTCAGTTCGTTCTGAGATCATCTCTAGGATGCTGCCCCCATTGAGCTCATATTCTGGGTTCTATGACCATCGACATGAGAAATACGAACGAGGGGCTGAGATCCGCAAGTTTGCCAAGGCCCTGGCTAAGGCAAACAAGTCAGGCGATAATAAAACGGGACCTGTTGCTGCTCCTGTAGTAATTGAGCTCCCTGGCACTCCTTCAACCTACACAATCAAGAAAGAACTTGGTGCTGGGGCATTCGCGCCTGTTTATCTTGTTGAGAACTCGGCTCCAGAAGCTGATGAGAACGATGAGAATGCAATACCTACCATGGGCAAGGGTGCTTTCGCAGTTAGTCATCGCAGTGAAATCGAGGCTTTAAAGATGGAGAACCCACCTACACCATGGGAGTTTCACATGATGCGTCTAGCTCACACTCGCTTGGGTCCTCAGCATCGTACTTCTGCCTCCTTGTCTTATGCGCATGAGATGCACCTCTTTCAAGATGAAGCGTTTCTCTTCTTGCCTTACCATCCCCATGGCACCCTTTTAGATGTTGTCAACTTCTTCCGAGCTGAACCTTCTGCAGTCATGGACGAGCAGCTGGCAATGTTTTTTACTATCGAGCTTCTAAGAACCGTTGAGGCTCTTCACTCCAAAAGCATTCTGCACGGAGATCTCAAAGCCGACAATTGCCTGCTACGTTTGGACGCACTGTCCGATGACGAGTCCTTGACAGCCCAGTGGAAGGCTGATGGGAGCGGTGGATGGTCGTCGCGTGGAGTTGTGCTTATTGATTTTGGCCGCGGTATTGACATGCGCGCTTTTGTCCCCGAAGTTGAGTTCATTGCCGACTGGAAAACCAGCGCTCAGGACTGCGCCGAGATGCGAGAGGGCCGCCCGTGGACGTGGCAGATTGACTACCACGGCCTCGCTGGCACAATTCACACGCTCCTCTTTGGCAAGTACATCGAGACTGTACGGTGTGACCAGGGTGGACTCGGCAAGTCTGGTCGACGCTACAAGATCCGGGAGAGCCTCAAACGATACTGGCAGACTGACCTCTGGTCTGACTGTTTCGAGCTTCTACTGAACCCTGGAGCCGCAGCAGCAGCTGGAGGTGAGGATGGTGGCAAGATGCCTGTGCTTAAGTCGATGAAGAACGTCAGGGAGAGGATGGAAACCTGGTTGGGGGCCAACTGTGAGAGAGGTGTTGGACTCAAAAGTGTCATGGGCAGGCTTGAAGCTACCTTTGGCAAGAATCGCAAGTAGAAGTGAATAATGGGTGGTGTTGTCGTTCTTCGAGGCCTGGCGTTGGATATCGGTAGACAGGGGGCGTTGGTTGACTGAGCTTTGTCTGCATGTGTTGGTCCTTGCTCTTTGCAAGATAAATGGTCATGAGTAGTTATACCCCCTTTGAGAGTATCATAGATCTAGATGAGCCTTGCGTTGATTAGCAATGATGATTATGATCATGATGGGAAATACTGATCGGTTTACATCTGTGTTCATGAGAACTTGCTCGTCAGTCGTCACTTGATGAATCCTTTCGTAAGCAGTGAGTGACCGCGATAGCTAACCAGGATACCTGTTCATATCAAGCTTCAGGCTAGATAACGGGCATTAGCTGCGATAGCCCTGCGAAGTATTAAAGAGACGATCGTATAATATTACATTGCACCCAACTGTCCGCTCCTAATCCTTTCTATCGGCCAAACTCGCTACACATACTACAGTAACCAATTGAACACATCTACCCGCTCTCGTCATCAGAATCATCCTTCTTCTTCCGTTTTCCGCCCTTCTTAGTCCCCTTCTTGGCATCCTTGGCCATTTTACGATCAACCTGATCCTGTATCTTGTTCCTTTCTGACTCTCCCTGGGCCTGCAACTCTATTTCAAGGTCCTTGAACTCCTTAGTCTCCGCATCCATGCCCACAAGTCGCTCCAAGAGCTTGATCTCGGTAGCCCAGACCTTCTTGTCCTCGACAGATTTGCCGTCAGCACCCGGCCGATCAATGGGCGTCTCGAGTACCATGGGCATACCCGCGAAAGGGGCATGGTTCATGATGCAGTGAAAGGCGCGGAGGCCGAGAAAGCCCGTGCCGATGTTGGCGTGGAGATCTCTATTGGAATTGAAGGGGGCCTTGCTGTCGTTCACTAAAAGATGTCAGCCGCTGCAGAAAGGAAGGATTTAGATCGAAAACTTGCAGTGGAAGGCCTTGAGATATTTGTGACCAACGATGTCGTTGAAAGAGTCGACAGTCTTCTTGAATGCCTCCGGTGTTCTTAGGTCATAGCCAGCAGCAAAGGCATGGCAGGTGTCAATGCAAACACCAACTCTAGATTTATCCTCAACCAGGGCAATGATGTCCCTCAAATCCTCCCAGGTTGATCCAATGACATTTCCACTGCCTGCCATGTTTTCCAGGACTGTAACCACCGTCTTGGTAGCCTTGTGTGACTTGTTAAGCTGCGCGGCAATACGTGCAATGGCTGCTGGCCTAGCATCTCCGCCGGTTGATCCAGGATGGAAGTTGTACAAACGAATTCCCAGCTGCTCGCAACGTTCTAGGTCATCGAGAAAGGATTTATATGCTTGGTTCGCCTTGTCCTCATCAGCCTGCGCTAGATTGACGAGATATGAGCCGTGGGGAAGGGCATGTTCGCCTGCGCTATAACTGTGTTCTTTGCACATTGAGATGAATTGATTCTTGGCTTCATGGTCAAGAGGCGGGTTCGTCCATTTTCTTTGTGACTTGAGGAAAAGTGCAAAAGCGTTTGCGCCAATGTGGACTGCGTTCGTGACGGAATTCTGTACTCCTATAGGGAAACGTTTAGCCAAGATACAACCAAGGGAATAAAGTATAAGGCTAACCTCCTGCGGCACTGACGTGAGCGCCAATGTTCATAGTAGGTTTAAGTGATGATACGTCCGTTCTATCTGCCAAGGGTTCCGCATCTTCGTCCTTTGCCTTTGTTTTGCGCTTCTTGGTTGTCTTTGCCGTTGGAGCTCGCGAGGCTATCTCAGGTTCGGGCGAGGCTTTTCGCTTTGTTACTGTCTTTACAGATGCAGCCTTTGCAGTCACGGTCTTTGAAACTGCACCCTTAGTCTTCTCAATGACCTTGGTCGCAGCCGCTACAGCCTTAGTCACCTGAGGCATCTCGTCGTCGTCAGGGTCCTCGTTGTAGCTAACTGCCTGCTTTTTGCGCAGAGACGTACGAGCCATCGCCGATGAAAATAAATCCCAGGCAGAATAATTGGCTTGTCAGTTGCGCCGGAAAGGTCTTGGGGGCCTTGAAAAGCTGGTTTGGTGGATGAATCCGAGTGGAGGTCATTGCTGAGAGCTACACTGTGTGACGCGATCCACGCGCTCCGTCCTTCAATTCGAAGCGCGCAGTCACGTGCCTGGTAGACATTCAGAACAGGGTCAATCGAGCCTCCCGTGGAAAGAAACAATGATACGCGGTACATGCATGCAATTAGTGAATGGGAGTAAATTTGCTGGATACAAGCTTCGAAACTACCTAAGAAAAGAAGACATGCGGGCCATCCTGGACACAATTAAAATACGAAACCCCACGCAATTCTGCCTGTACCATGTGAACAACTCCTGTCGTTGTCAATCTGACAACCAATATATAAGCATCCCAAGCATTTTACAACACATAAGAGAAAATTTAGGCAAAGATTTCCATCTCGGTCTTGCGATCGGCAGCAAACTGATCCTTGTATGCATCCCACAACTTCTCAATTTCCTGAACATAACGTTCATGCAGCTCATCAATGTCCTGTTGACCTGGTTGAGGTCCATGGGCCCTGTCAACTCGGATCGGCCGTCCGATAACAATGTTAACGGGTCGACGGTAAGGCATGAGACCAACATCGTAATTGAGCACACCACGGCCGTGGAGAGCTGGCACGGTAAACTTGAAAACCTTGAGAAATATCATCTGGATTCGGTGTACAAGGGGGTGTGTCTTAGGGCTCAGCTGGTCGTAGAGATCGTTTTCGCCAAATCCGATAACAGGAACTAGATCGGCTCCGGTACGAAGTGCCATCTTGACAAACCCTTTTCGGCTCCTGAGGATCAAGCGAAGGCTTCCTGGTTGGGCCTCGAGCGATTCGCGGGCACCGCCGACAACAATAGTAACAGCGCGGCCTCGGCCATCATTGCTAGGACCGCCCTTTGAGAGAAGATTCCATATCGACTCCTTAGAGACTGACTGGAGACCGTGAAGCATGATATAATCGCGGTAGAAGGGGAGACGGAAGTTGGAGTCGAGAGTGAGGAGTGTGTTGGTGATTCCAGGGAACAGTTCGCGAAACCCAAGAGCATTAGTGCCAAAGGCGGCGAAGGCTCCATGGGAAATGATGCCATGTGGATGGTACCCAAGTATGTATTTTCTATCGGTCGGTAGTTCGTGCGTCTTGTGCAGCTTCATGGGGAAGTATCCAGTGAAGAGCTTCCAGAGCTTGAGGCTTCGTACCCATTCTGAGCGGTAGGTCAGGTTACCGTTAGTTCCTGCAGTTGAAAGGACAAGATGGATCAGGTAAATTATAATGATAGGCCAAGCGAGTGGATTGGCGCAGATCAACCAGAAGGCTGAGACAAATGTGGCAATAGACATGCAATGAAACAAGACTGCTGCAGTCTGTAGCCGTCGCCTCATGGGCACTCGCAATGGCGCGAAACGAATGCCTCCGGCGCGCCAGCTCCCCGTCTTGATATTTTTAGGTTGAGCGGTAATGGGGAGCTTGGGATAGGACCATTGATCATGTCTGCTGGTGTTATCCGCGTCTCTGTCAGCGACAACGTCGGCGTAACTCTTTTCACCGTTGTTTGAATCTTCTTCTTTGCCGTCTCTCTCGTCCGCCTCAGCAGCTGCTGCTGCATAGCTCTTTCCAGTACCATTGGGAGTCCCGCTCGGGGCTCCTCCATTCAACTTGCCATCAGGCGCACCATTTGTAGAAAGCATCAGATCGTCAAAGTCGGCGTTGCTGGTAGAGATGCTCGACTCGAAATCACGATCAGGCAGCTGTGGGCGCTCCGGATCTCTCTGTTCACAGTGATTAATACAGGTTCTTTGATGATTTGAAGATGGAGGGCTTAATACATACAGCTTCAACAGCCTCTCCATTCTGCGATTGGGACGGCGGCTCGACCGGATGCTCGTTTTCCGGATTAGGAATTGTTGTCACTTTTTCAATTGCATTAGAAGGATGGGCCCCTTTGAATTATGTTAGTAAGTCTCTGGGAAAGTCGTGAAGCAACGAGGTTAAACCCATCAACACAATGTATCGGCAATCAAGCTATTACATCACCATTTGCCTGCTTTACGACGCAACGCACGTATGAAGGGCCCAAAGGTGGCACAAATCAACGGCACATGAATGAATTGGCTTACCGTTAATGAGGGGAACATCACTGTCAACCACAGGGTTCAACATGATACACAGAGCAGCTCGAATGTTGCTGTGTCGTGATAAAGCAAGATCTTGGGGCGGAGGGATAGCCAGTGGACTTGGGGATGTTGGGAATTGCACGAGAAACTGCTGGTCACACGCACAGTCACATCAGAAATTGATATAGGAAGAAGGGTATATATTGGCAATGCCGAAAGAGAGAAAGAGAACGGAAATTTTCAATCGGCGACTATGACACGAGCATTAGCCGCCATGATATCGTCTTACGGAGAGGGTGGACCTGAGCCGCTTTCGTGTTTGTATTATGCAAAAAGCTAAGTGCTAGTGATGACGTCGCACCAACCTTAGGTCATGTTTGACACGTGAAATCAGAAGCTTCGATCATGATCTGGCCAGGGGGAGGGAAGTTTGTCCAAGTCTCCACTTGCCGCTCCTTTACACAATTTAGACAGTCCTTAGGTAACTCAAGGTTTGATAGATACCTATTTCTTCTTAGCATGATTCAACGTGTGCTTGACTTGAGCCTCGCTTTTACAATTATAACTAGTGTTTTGTGAGCATAGTCGTAAATTATTAATGGCTTTAATCCATATTCCTACGTGTGTAGGAAATATCGGGTGTCGAATGTACTGAGTCTCAGAGTCCCCAATTAATTATTCCCCAGTCAGCGCCCTGCTATCCGTCGGGAATCATCAAATTCCATATGAGCCTCGGCAAGCCACCAACAGCAAGCAACACATCCTCTACATACCGCAAACGATGACAGAACTTAATCACTTGCCGGGTTCACTCTAGTAACAGCTTGTGGTCCTCGACGAGATAGACTCTCTATATACAAAGCTTCCACTCTGCACAATACAACTCTTTGACACCTGTACTAGCGCATGGATCCTTGCTGCCACGAGGCACACTTATCTGGACAAAACAACAATATATGTTACATGAAATAATGATGGGATAATCATGACTAGACCGTGCCCCGTTCTTTTAGCGTGGAGGTCCCTACCTTCCACAGAAACAGAAAAGGAAAAACAAAAAAAGCATGTTCCCATGTCCCATAAACGCCTCCCTGAGCACCATGCCAAATACTTCTCAAGGTAAAAAACGAAGGTCGTCTCAGTGTACTTTGTGATATAGTGACGCAATACGGAAGCACTCAGGAATGAGTGTAATGCAGCACTGTGTTATACTTTGGCGACAGCCGCCGCGGCGGCATCGCGTGTTTCCATCTGTTGTTTCAAGTCTGCAACGACATGGTCCAGAGTCGAAACCTTGTCTGTGAGCGCCTTGACTTTCTCCTCTAGCGCCTGAACATACGCCCACACACTCGGATCACTCTGAGCAAACATGTTTCCGCTGTCGTTGATAGACTGCGCGCCACTCCCGCTCCGGGTGTGAGAGAAGCCGGTTGACCCGGGCGCCGCGAACTCAGGATGCGACAAACCGGGAAGCTTGGGCCGGGATTGCGAGTTGTGCGGCGACTGTAAATCCGATGCTCGGCGTCCAAACTGCGCCTGCTGCAGCTGCTGGGTCAAGCTAGGAGAGCGCTGGCGCGCCAAGTTATTGGAGTCATGTCCTTGCACCCCGGGGCTCAATGGTTTTGGAGACTCAGTAATACCAGTCTGGGAATACATGTTCGCATTGGCGGCCGCAACGGATGCGATTCCCGCGGTAGAATTGTGCCCCGCAATGTTGTTGGCGACAGGCTGAGAAGAGTTGGAATTTGCCTGGTTTTGGTTAACATTGGGGGGGTAAAGTCCCCCAGTCCCAGGTCGAGCACCAGGTGGTGGATATGTCCGAGCATGGGTGCCGTAGCCATCAACTTGTGCTCCTGCAACATGCTGGGCGGTGATGCTTGGTAAACTTTGACGTCTCAGTTCATCATCCTCGGGATTATCGTATGCAAGTCCAGATATGGCCGATTCATCAGCTTCGCCAAGACTGGTCTCAATATCGTTGTCGTCAACGAAACTACCCATGCTGGATCGTCGCCCAGCACAGCCACCAGCACCCTTAGAGTGACGAGCAAGCGCATCGCCACGAGCGAATTTTCGGTCACACTTGGGACAAACGTGAGGCTTCTCGCCAGTGTGCAGTTTACCGTGACGCTTGAGGTCGTGCAGACGGCGGAAACGCATCTGGCATTCCGTGCATACGTATGGTTTCTCTTGGCTATGCGTCAACAAATGGCTCTTGAGGTTGTGATGGCGTGTAAACTCAGTATTGCAGTAGGGACATTTATGCTTCTTTGACCCAGATGATGTGGGAGATGTCTGGCCTGGGGTGGGCATCGGAAAGCTCATGCCTCGAGTTGGGGTTTCTGTCAGATTACCCGTAGCCTGAAGAGAGCCAGGGTACGATAGGGATCCAGGCTGGTGCCTCTCTTCCTGCCCGACTACTTGCTGTGACGACTGTTGATGCTGCTGCTGATCAATTTTAGGTACGTCCACTTCCATTGGAGTCGGACTCTCGGTGACGGGGACGCCAACAAGGCTGTTGGTGCTCTGTGGACTTGGTGCGCCATGCTCTTCGACCTGACTTGTCGCGGTTTGCGCCAGCGACACGGGGTTTGGGGCCTTTGGAGATGGGTCCATGGCAGCTGTTGGTGCTAGCTGAGGCGCGTCAGCAGGGCGGCTCATAGCCTGAACAGCTCCAGACATGAGGGAAGTTAGAACTCGGTGGCTAGGATTGTCGCTCGTGGGTGCTGGGGCCCGTATCCCGTCGTCTTGATCGTCAACTTCGCGTCGCCGGCGCTCGTCCTCGAGGGCAGCTGCCGCGGTCAAAGGCGTCGGAGAAATACTCGACGCGAGTGCCAAACGGGCAGACTTGGCCGGGGATCCAAGACCCAAGAGTCCCTGCGACTGCGCGACGAGAGAGCGCGGCGATGAAGGTGAAGGTGAACGAGGCCGTTTGAGCAATCTGATAGCAGCGTCGTCTGAAGGGATGATAGCAGGAGGGGTCGCCTCTGCGCGCGTTGCGGGCGGGGGGTCGATCGCGGTAAAGGCGGAAGCGTCCGATGCCATAGAGGCAGATGGAAAGCAGAGAATTGGAATAATCAAATGCAAATCTAATCCAGCATGCGATCAATTTCGAGGTTTCGATGTCGCAACAGCCTTGGGCCAAAGGCACATATCGGGGCGAGATGGATTAATGTGTGGCTGGAGACGTGGCGAGAGCTGATATTTTCCCCCCGGGTCAAGGCAGAGAGGCGAGTGAAGGAAGAAGCAAGTACTGGGTGGGCGGGTTTACGCTGTGGGCAGTGGGTGGCTTAGGCGAGGAATGCAACAAACAGAATTGAGGCTCGAGAACCGGCAATACAGTAGCGTGCAGAAAGGACGATTTAAGGCAAGTATTCTGGGGAAATGACAATGAGCCAATGTATCCGTGAGAATGGTTGACAGTAATGACGATGTAGCACTGAAGGAGAGTTGTGCAAGGAGACGTAGAGAAAGAAAGTGAACAAGGCGGCCGATGAGAGAGATGCGAGGCGAAGACGGGCGATGAGCGATAGTGAGGGCCTCTGAAAGTGGGCAAGTGGGTAAGAACCTTCTCTGATTGGATAACTAGCCTGGCGGGTTGAATGAGTGGGGTACGTAAGAGGGAAAGAGTGTGTGGGCGTTTGTCAGTGGATTGTTGACAGCTGCCGGGCTGGTTCCTTCCAAAAAGGCCTGTCCTGTCTCTCAGGTGGGATCGTGCCAGAAACCTGGTAGGTACCTTAGGATCAATGTACCCTGTCACCTTCCTTACCTTAACTTGTCCCGTCACGAACGTTTTCTTTATTGCTTTGGGAAAGCACTATGCAGCTCCGACCTAGCATTAGCCGCAAGGCTTGCATTAAAACAGGCTGATTAGGTACCTGAAACACAATTATTTCACGCGAAGATCATTCACAGAGATAAATAACGAGATATATTGGTGATGGTGTCTCGCCTCGGGAAGCCAACAAAACACGCCAGCGACGCGAAAACCAGTGGAAACATAGGGAAAGGGGAAACGCGCGCCTGGTTGGGGAACGCCCCGGAGCGGAAGATGACCACAACCCAAAGTGAAAGCCCAAAGAACGCCAAAGCGGACAGAAGTGGGTGATGCGAATACGTTTCTGGTATGAAGCGGCGGGCTAGAAACGTGCTGGGGAAAGGTCTAACTGAAAGTGACTGATTTTCGTTTCAAGGTACTTTGACGTTAGGTACCGCTATCTATTCCCTGCTGAGGAAACATCCATCATTTGGTCAGCCAGCCAAGACATTCACCACCGTCCAACTGGAGTGGATGATTTGCCTACATCTTGCAATCGCGATCCCAATGGAGTCATCATCGACAGTGATTTACTGTTTTATTGGCGAACCGCCTCTTTGACACTCTTCTCTCCTCTTTTGACCCTACACCTCAGCACAGCCCTTGCTTTGCGAAACTGGATGTCGAGATCTCAGCCTCTGACGGGGCCGCCCGAGGCGCATATATATACCATCTTACTGCAGTCAATCGCATGTCCCCGCAAGACGGAGGGCAGACGGGAAGACGCACACCTTCCACGCTGAGCGGGAGATGACGACAGTTGCTTTTGGCATCGTTCTTCTTCTTTATGACACTTCGCATACTAAAGGGCTTGCCGGTACATGCGTCGAGAGTATCGGTATATCTAGCCTCCAGACGACCCACTGATTACCTTCGGGTTCTCCAAATCGACAAGGCAAACAGGTTCCACAAGCTACCGTAGTAAGCGGCATGTCACTGCTCTATCGTAGGTTGAGAGGCGGATCGAGTTGACCAGAAGGCGAGAAAAGGAACAAGGAATAAGAGACATAGGAACAGTGATGAAGACTTGTTGCCGCCCACTCTGCCTGGGCTTATTATAACATTCGATTATTGCACGGAGAAACGAGACGAGGGCAAATAAATCACAATCACCAACCCTTTTGGTTTGTAGTACTCTTGTTGTTTGCTTACCTTTTTGAGCACACGCCAAATGAACCTACAGTCTCAATCTATCGAAACGCCCCAGCTGAAGGCTTGTCTTCAACCTCTGTTTTGTTTCCCTAAGCCACGGTACCCAGGTAGCATCGGTTCAGGGGACTGGGGGCAACGAAGCTGAACCAATCCTTGCTCAACTTAACTTCCCTCAGGTGAACCAAAAGGTGGCGGTGCGATCAAACACCTCGTAAATGGACCTCAGATCCATGAACCATGCTCAAAATACAACTGTGGCACCCCTATGATGCTCGGCGTTGCTGTGTGTGTGAGAAAGCCTAGAAAGTCCAGAAAACCCTGCCACTAGCTGGTACATGATTGTATAGTGGTGTGGCTGATCCTAGCAATTCTAACACCCAGCCTTTTACTCCGCCACGCCTGTCGTCACTGATTCTTTTCCTGTGCTCCCCCTAGACTTCCAAAGCTCGTTGGAGAGGCTGATAGGATGCTCAAAACCTGGAAGACTTGTTGAGGATTTTGTCAATTTACGGTATCCGTACTCGGTACCTTCCAGCAATATGCCATAATGTACGCCACCCTTGTGCAGATTAATCTTGTCAGCAAAAGCCCTGCAATTTGACATTATAGAGCAGCATATCATGATGCTTGCAAGTTATGCCCATCGCAATGATATCCTCCTTATTACTAGCTTACCTAGCTCATATCAGATCACGTTTTCAATCAATATCAAGCAACAAGTCAGTGGTCAAGTTCATGCGGTTTAGCACGACATCAACGTGGCTCGGAAGGCTGGAGAGGATGCGCTGATCTCACCAGTATTCCCCAATTCTCGAGTCTCTAGCGGCTTGATTCACCGTCAACGTCACAGTGATCACATTAAACCGCCCACTTGCTGTTGTGGCTGTGAGACAATCAGGTTCGCTTCACCGGAAACAACTGAACTTGTTCGGCGCTTGCAAGGCTATTTTCTGTTCAATGATTTTCGATTTGTTGCTGAACCAATATTGAGTGATATTCATGATTTCATCTTAAGGACATTTACCTCCGTAAGTACTCGTTGAAAGAGCAAATAATGGTGTATCGTCAGGTTAGTTCCGCCAGTTTTCAAGTTCGTCATCCAGCTTTCCTATACAGTCCTGGCACTCTGGCCTTGGCACACACAGATTCATATCGGCACAAACTGATGTCCCGATGCCATCTGGGCCTCGATGACTTTCCTGAACCCTTCGACACAGTCCCATGTCAAAACGTTTCCCCAAAAAGTGCCTTGTTATACCCGGTGTAAACGCCTCAGCCCCGTCGATTTGGTGAGAATCCCATGCAATTGAACCGATTGGGCACTGCATCTTCCTTTCAGCTGGTAAGTGGTCAGACAACAAGCATATCACGTTCTGCTGGTGTAATTACTGCAGGCGTCCCTTCTGAAAGCTGCGTGTGGTCTTTGCTACTTCGACAAGAACGTGATGGGGTGAATTACGATTGTTATTTCTGGCTACCCTACTCGGTCCCGTTTCATACAGATCTCGGTGTTTGTGTATGGCCGAGCATGCTAAACCTGGGTATTGTTATCTCAACCAGCGCAGTAGTCAACAGCCGCCTCGACCGATATCCAGCGTGCGTGAACAGTGGCCTTCAAGTGAGGTTTCCCCGGCTGTGTAATGCTTTTCCTGGTTTAGAGGTTACTAGGTGATATGGACTAATAATTGCTACTTGTCTGCAATCCCTACATGTCCAGTTGCACCGAGTCTAAGGCGTGTCTGGCATGCGTGTTACCAGAATTTTTGCTCTCCACGAATGAACCCTTCTGGCTTCATCAATCCTGCAGATCAGTCAGATGTGGTCTGCTTGAAAGGTGGTTTAGTCGTGATGCAAGTCAGGCCCCAAGACTTCATTCCATCCAACACGAATCTGAGTCATTGCGTGCCATCGCTAGGATGAACCAATGGTAACAATGGACATTCCAGATATATTCTTTTCGTCGTTGGGTCATCCTGTCACGAGTTCCAGGCTTTCATTGTCATGTTCATTCGCAGGGCCGTTGTCCTAGGCTCCTGGCTGTTGCAAGTTGTCTCAGGTGAGGTTTTTTATCTTTCCCATGACGAGCACCATCGGGCATCTTGATACCTAGATCGCAACCGCATTCTTATGCTGACTCGTGGTTTAATTAGATGTCTGGCTGAGATATTGTGTTGCTATTTGGCTCAGGTGATTCGACGATTGTGTTCTGCCTCTTGATGCTAGTGATGTTGCAACACTGCCGGCACATGATTTGCATTTCGGTAGTTTTGAGTTTTCCAAGACACATCTGAACAGAGACGCATATGGAGTAGGTATGAGACTGCTACAGACACAGGACTGCGGAAATTCAATAGGAGTTAGATGACCAGTGTCGACCCCAATACGATGACATCGAGGTTTAGGGTAGGCAGTGCCAAATAAGAGAAACAGAATTGAAATGATGCTTTGAATCATTCGTGCATGGTTAGAAGTCGTTTTAAGTATATCCAGGGCAGTACACGAAATTACGTGGTGGGTGACTCTATTTGCATTTACAAACGCAGACACTCGAGGGCGTTGTTCCAGTTGAATGGACATTCTCTGCTTCAAACTTCAGACCACTCCCGAGTCTCTAGCCTATATCTAAGATATGTGCAACCGTTGTATTCCAGACATTTGTAGTGGCTTGGCCTGGCAATCTTGAACTGCACCTTGCACACCAACACATGGTAACTGGTCTCAAGTTACCTGAGACTACTCACCACAGTGGAATGCAGCTCCACGTCATATGAAGCGTGTCATATAACCAAGAAGGTAGACATCTGCTCCAAGCCAATAGGACCAAATTAAAAGAGCCACAAGTATACAAAGCAAACAAGTGATGAATGCCATTAAGAAACGCGAAAGTCTCAGCTCCGATATGATACCAATGCAAGATGGCAATCAGATTATTTCCAGAATAACCATGAAAGCGGACACACCGTCTTACAGATCACAACAGATATCAACTTCATGCAAGATCATTCGTATTCGATATGTGCTACTTTGGTTGAAAGGTCTGTACTATAGACAGAGTTCAACAAGGCACGACTTCATGGCCACCGGCCAAAATTTAAGACGAAAATAGACATGTCAGTGGGCTGGAAGGACTAAGAAGACTCGTCAGTGAAAGAAGCCCTGATATATGGACAATGTCAACGTTGTGAAACATATTCAAGGGACATGACAGCCTGTACCAAGGTCGTACAAAATCCATCTAAATAGCTCCTATTAGTTGGATCGAGGCACTAAGGGTGGTGTGGTATCGAAGAGCGGCGTTTAAGACGCTCCAAGGCGGTCCGGCTAGGGGAGGGAAGAAAACTGAGGACTGTAACAATAAGCGATAAAAAAAATTCAAAAATAAAAAAAAAATCAGACAAGCTGGTGTAAGTTTAGGGGATTATTTGATGAATCAAGTTTGGCATATTCTGTCAAGGTCTGAAGTTTCCTTGCTCTCCGAGGTCCGGGTCACAGAACGGAAGATACCTAGGCACTTGTGTCAAAGAATGCCCATTGAAAGATGGACCTAATCCTTAAGCTTGTACCAGCAGGGGCAACGTACTTAGCTTATTCTTGAATATTTTGATATCGGATCAACTGTTACTGACCCGTAGGGACACGAGCATCCTTCTCTGCACAGACACATCCAGCCACTGTAACAAGGCGAAACCATGTGGCGGCGGTCAGCGAGTGAACAATATCTTTGAGAGAGGACGAAATTAGGTGCTGACGTGTGCCACCGAACCGACAATATCCAGCCGATGAAAGACCCGAAAGCCAATGCAAGGGGAAGCAGACAAAAAGTGGAGAGAAAAGAAAAGGAGAACGTTAGTCTAAGCTCTAAACAAGCTGGTTGCGTTTGCAAAAACCAGAAAAGAAGAGAGACAAGAATGCCAAGGCTTGGGCTGGCTTGTCCAAAAGGGGGCTTCACCGTTTTAGAAACACCAGGAAGACAAAGAAGAAAGGATTAAGAAAGATAATTTTCGTAGTCAGACCCAACAAAGTGGGGGGCTGCTGTAAGTCTGGCCACGATCCGCTCTGAGAAGCGTCAGGAGAGACAGCGATGACTCGAGCAAGGAAGCAAGATTAAGTATTTGCCGAGGCGTTGTCGATTGGACGCCATCAACTGGTATTTTCGCACCCAGCCAGACTTCGCTTGGCGAATACCAGGGTGAGGAATTATTGAGGGAGTCAGGGAATTAACAAGACGCGGCAATGCCGATCTAATTCTGACGCTCGGTGGATCAAAGCCAGACAAGACGCATTCAGTCACGAACCGAGCATCACGACATTGGATGTCTTTGAACGAGCTTGGTTGTTGATTTGCAAGTAATAGCCTTGGACCTCATTAAACCAGCAACCAACCAGATGGATGCGTGGATGTCGAGCAATATTGGAATTAAAAGCTGGCAAGAGCGAGATCCTACTAACCGGAGATCCATGGGTTGTTGTTGGCGGCTATCAATCGAGATGAGAGTGTGCTCGTAAAACTCGGCGTCATGATTGGCTTTACCGCTAGGCCTCATTATGAAACGGCTAACGGCCACTCCAAAGAGAGTTTTGAAGGGTCTCTCTGATCTAGAGCCCGAGGGTAACAGATTTAGAAGATTAGTGCCAGGTACCCGAAAGTGAAATGCAGCTGAGGCTTTAGGCTAGCACAGCAGCACATGCACTGTACTGCAAGTGCGGAACGTAGCTCCACAGAGGCCCATGCCTACTAAGGTAGGCACCTAGGCTCGATAACATAACTCGCGAAAAATGGTCTGACCGGCTGTGTGGTAAGGTAGGTAGCAAATGTCTGTATTGAGACTGAAGAAATGCTCAGTCAATTACGAGACTCGCTTCGTAGCCTTTCGATCTTCACAGACCTATCCAAAGGAATCAGAGGTTAGATCTGATCCGCGTTGAACGAATTGAACACGCGGATGAAGACTGAGCCATAGCTAACCAAAGCCAAGGCCGACCCGAAGCTCAGAAGTTGCTTAGATGTGATCAGATGGCGGAAATGGGGTCTTGTGCTGGGTTCAGTGGTACGTAGGCGCGCTATTGTACGAAGTACCGTATAGCGGCCCTCTACTGAATGGGTCGGTTGCTGTGGGAGTAGCGGTATGATTCCCCTGTTCTCCTTGTAAGTTGGTAGGCAGCTACCTGCGGATCCAACAACCAAGGACACGGGGATCTGTTCATCGCAATTTATGCCATGACGACGACAACAGCGGGTAGGCAAATTGCATGGGCGCAGATGACAATGCGTATATCCGCAGTTCTTGGAGTGGTACGTAGGCGCATATGTAACCAGCAACGGGCCAAGGGACCAAGAACAGAGGATTGATTGACTGTCGTTGACCGTTCTCATGCGCAAGCGAATAAAGGAAAGGGGGAAATGTCGATCGCTTTTAATATGAGGGATGTTCCAAAGTACTGGCACAAAGACCCTATTGGCTGATAGTTAACCATGCGCGCATTGATTCACTTTCGTTGCTCATTGTCAGGCGAGCGCTATTTTGGTAATGAGGACGGAAATGCGATTTGTTTTGGCAGGTGTGTGTTTTTTCCCAGATGCTGCGCCTGCACTGTGCCTGAGGGGCATCGTCCAACAGGAACAGGGGAGGGACATGCGATGGACCAGAACAGGGGACGATGCTAGCCAACTAGAGGCACGGAGATGGGTCTGTGAAGGTTACCCACCAAACCAAAAAAGGTGTAATTTCCCCTGTTCCTGGCAGACAACACTTGAGCAGGATCAGCAGCAGTTGATGGCCGATGGCCTGTCATGAATTCGTTCAGATTACCAGGTAACTAGTTGGTAGTCCTGCGTTGGTTTCTAGACGATTTCCTACTAGCATCCCCTGGACTGTTGTTGGTCTCCTTGGCGTCTTCCCCTCCTTATGTGAATCTCCCGGCCTCCCCTGGACTTGGAAGTCGGTCACCCCTTGAATACTTTGCGAAATAGGAACTCCCTTGACCAAGGTAGCCCAAGATATCATGACCTAGCATATGCGTGTTGACTCTGGAACTGATGCTAGACTGATTGAGGCAGAAAAAAAAACCCGCTTCTGGTATTTTTCTTAGTGTCATGTCTCACTTGATGATACGTTCTAGGGCCTGTTTGCGTCCCAGACCTCATCGTCGCCGGGTGCGCATTCATCAATGGGGGCCAGCTTTTTCGGATGCCAATCTCTTGCTGAGGTCCGCCTAATCCTGGTTTCTGGGCGGTCTTCGTCTTGGACTTAATCAACACCCCCTGCTCATGCTCCTTACCTTAGTCCGCCCCCCTTCTAGGCCTCCCCTAACTCCCCCAGTCCCTGGTCCCTCCCCAATCCTGGGCAAGACGCTGGACCTCTTTTCATTCTTATCCCCTTTCGTCTCCGTCAACCCCAGGCGCTTTGTTCCTCTTGCTTTCCTCGTGTGCTCCTTCCTTGCCAACTGAGAGTTTCATCTTTACTTACTCTCTCCCACACTCATTTATTAACTGTTTTTGTTTTCCCCGGCTTCTTGCCTCATCACGTTCGCTTTTACAGCAGTCGCTCACTTACTCGAGGGGATTGGATTATACTTTCAAAAACACAACATTCTTTAAAAGACAATAAAAGGTTAGTCGATTCGCAAAGAAGAGGAAATAGTGGCGATTGGAGACGAGGCCGATGTGGCAGAGACGAGATTCAAGTCATACCAATTCAAGGAGCAATAACAACCATCACAAACACAACGACAATCGCCTGCGGAACTCGAAAAAATACCAAGGGCAACCCGAGGGAAATTATTGGCGGAAACGGGCCATGTGCGATGATGGAGTCGCAAGAAGAATTATGTTGGGGAGGGGAAAGCAACATTAGCCAGGACAGACGAAGTACCTCAGGCCTGATCAACTGAAGCGACAGCAAACTCGACAACGGGACGCTTTGCACATCTACACACGTTCAAATGATGCACGGCGCAAACTCTCATGTCTCATCGGCTCTCCTTCCATGGCCACGCGCTGTGGAATCGTCTCATAGCAACAGTTAAAAGGTTGAAGGCTAATCACAAGGTTGAACTAGATATATAGGTTGCACCGTTACCATGAAGAACCTCATCACTTACACCCTTGCGGCTACGCTCGCCGCCGGTGCTACCGCCCAGCATCACCAGCACCAGCACATGCACGCTCGCCGTCATGCTGGCTCCAAGGTCGAGAAGCGTGACCCTGATGTTATCACCGAGTACGTTGTCGCCGCCACCGAGACCGTTTATGAGCTTGGCGGAGAGGAGATCGACATTCACGCCGCCAAGGCTGGTCTTGATGGAGGTAGCCTCGTCATTGTTGGCGAGTCCAACCCTACCTACGATGCACCCAAAGCTCCTGCGACCAGTGCTGCTCAGCCCGCGAAGGTTTCTCAGCCCAAGAAGGAGGTGGGCGCTCAATTCTACGAGTCTAAGACTGCCGCTGCTACTACCGCAGTGCCCAAGCCTGTCTACTCGGCCCCAGCCGCCACTCAATCCAAGGCCTCCAAGCCTAAGTCTTCCAAGCCCAAGACCAGTGGCTCCAGCTCCAGCTACAGTGGCTCCAGCGGCGCTACTGGTGTTGACAAGACGTTTGAGAGCGGCACTATCGACTGCAGCGAGTTCCCCTCGGAGTATGGTGCTGTTGCTCTCGACTGGCTGAACCTTGGTGGCTGGTCTGGTATTCAGTACTGCCCTGACTTCAGCTTCGCGTCCAAGCTGATCTACCAGATTGACACTGCCATCTCTGGCGACGGTTGCAAGCCCGGTGCTATGTGCTCCTACGCTTGCCCCGTTGGCTACCAGAAGACCCAGTGGCCTGCTGCTCAAGGTTCCGAGCGTGAGTCTATTGGTGGACTCTACTGCAACAAGGACGGCAAGCTCGAACTGACCCGTGACGGTTACGACACTCTTTGCGAACCTGGTGTCGGTGGTGTCACTATTCAAAACGACCTCGACGAGCAGGTTGTGACTTGCCGAACTGACTACCCCGGAACTGAGAACATGGTTGTCCCTGCTGTCGCCGAGCCCGGTAGCAACGTCGCTGTCTGCAACCCCAACCAGGACAAGTACTACGTCTGGGACGGTGTAGGCACCTCAGCCCAGTACTACGTCAACAAGAAGGGCTACACTGTCGAGGAGGCTTGTGTTTGGGACAGCTCCAAGGGCAAGGATGCCGGTAACTGGGCACCAGTTGTTCTCGGTGTTGGCATGAAGAACGGCATGACCTTTGTCTCCATTTTCCAGAACTCGCCAACCAGCACTGCCCTCCTTGACTTCAACATTGAGATCAAGGGTGGCAACAAGAAATGCTCCTACGTCAACGGCCAGTGGAGCGAGGGAACTGGCTGCACCGTAAGTTATCCTTGTCCTCCTGTGATATCGGCGAAATACTAACATTTATTCGTAGACTGCTGCTGCCGAGGGCCAGAAGATTACTGTCCGATACTATTAAAAGAATGTTACTTGACAAAGTCAAGTAGGATGTGCGTTTTTGGAACTTCTTGTCAATATTCTGGGTGACAGAGCTTGGGACCTTTCGGCCGCGGGCCACGGACGAGCGCAAGCTGTTGGGCCTGAGTTGATCATATCGATGAGGTGCGCGACGGCTGGCATGAGCAGGCTTCCTCCCATTTCTTGAGCCGGGTTGAATCTCTTGGATACGCTGGATGAGCAAGGACCTAAGAACGTTTCGACTGCCGATCTACTCGCTTGTCTTGTTCTCAGCGTCCTTTTCTAACAGTATTTGTTTTACTTTATTTTCTTATGTCAGCAAGTACTCCATATATTGCATTTTGGCCTGTTTCTTACATTGGACTCCTCACGGAACGATCATGCCCTGAGCCATTGTTGGCGACAGACGAATGCAGCCAGCGATTGTCAATTTTGCATTGGGAGGAGCCCTCAAGGTGTTTTATACCCCTGACCGAAGAGATGGCGATGGAAGAATGTCTCCGGACAGCAATGAGATCAAGTGGTCAACGTCGTTGGGTCCTGGAATAGAAATGTCCCTCTTTGAGCTTAGCTTGTCTATGTAATGTCTGTGATTTGGATAGTGTGTAGTGTCTTTTAAGTATGATAATTAAGCTCTTTGGTAGCCCTTTTTTGAAATTGTGAGGTGACAGACTGCTCCTTCATCGACATGTTCGATGAATGAATGGTCGTTGGACGGGATAGAATAGTCCCGTTCCGTGATGGTGTAAGTTAGGGAACGCCTTGTTCCCCAGACGCCACATTCGTTCACCACCTTATTCGAACCTCTGCCAACCACAATCTAGCATGTTGCCGCACTGCTGCTGCATGTGACCCTTGATCGGAACCAATCCTGGTTATGGATGCCTCTACTCGTGTGCCGCTACGTGCGTCATCTTAGATCACGGAGGGTAGGGATACATCTTGACAGGCCTCTAATACTCAATAGTAAGCTGTCATTTCTGGCCAACTGGTGTTGCCTAGACACTCTCTAAGAATACCGTTGAGAGTACAAGACGCTGGGCGCAACAGCGAAACGACAACTGTAACGATGGAGGTTGATATGAGGATGTTGGCTTGGCTGCAGCCCAGCGTTGTATCTGTTTAGTGACAAAACCAGTCATGTTTTGATACTGGACATTGATAAAGATAAAAAAACACAGCTAATTATTGCCGCTAAAGGCGCATTACTGCAGGTTGCCGTCTGGTGGCGCATCACGATCCCATGTTGTTCATCGTCATTGACTCCACACTATATATTTTACCCGGAGCCCATTTAAATACCTATCTCAGACAGCCTGCTCATTGTAAGTGACGGCAGTCAGATTCTCCCACCTCACTCACTTCCGGTTCTTCCAAACTTCGGCACACCGAGCATGTCGCTGAACCGTGTTCAAAGCATCGAGACGTTGACCGCTCCGCCTGGTCATGGCGCTTCGATTGAGAGGAGAGGAAGCGATGCGAGTTTGCGCGTCCGACGCTTGACTTTCAATCCTGTTCCTCAGGACTTCGAAACGGCTTCGTTGAGGCCAGATGAGCAACATGCCCAGACTGTTGGGGCATTTGAGGTTCCTCAGTGGAAGCGATTGCGTGAGTTTTCACTTATCAATGGATGTGTAGATAAGAAACCTATACTAACAAGTGAATCTAGTCCAGATTGGTGCCGCAGTTGTACACTGTCTCTTCGCTGCGGGCATAGGCAAGTCTCTTATCAAAACCTTGTCATCCATGATAAGTTGCTAACACTGTTTAGTCTTTGGCTATGCTGCCATCAAGCCAGTCCTGAAGCTTGAAGGTGCATATTCTGATGTATGCAAGCTCAGCCACTATCAAAGCCCAACTAGCGATACAAACGCTATCTCTGATGATCCTCAGGACACATGCGTTGAAATCAGGCTTAACCTGATGTTCACAGTCGCTGCTGTTGGGACCAACGTTGCAGCACTTCCTGTTGGCGCAATTCTCGACCATTTTGGCCCTCGTGTATGTGGCTTGTTGGGATGTCTCTTCCTAACGATAGGCACACTACTTATGGCATATGCTGGATCTCTACCTTTCGACGGTCTTCTCCCCGGATACTTGTTCCTCGCCCTCGGTGGTCCATTCACATACATCTCGTCATTTCAGCTCTCCAATGCTTTCCCGCGACACTCAGGTCTCATTCTCGCGCTCTTGACCGGCGCTTTCGACTCTTCGAGTGCATTGTTCCTCGTTTATCGTCTGATCTACAATGCCACAGAGGGTAGCTTCACCCTGCGCAAATTCTTCCTCGTCTACTTGATTGTCCCTGCTGTGATATTCGTCAGTCAGATTGTTGTCATGCCTGGACAGTCTTACAAGACTGTCGGCGAACTTGTCGACCAGGCGGCTGAAGCGGATGAAAACATTGTTGTGCACTCGACATCGAGCACGCAGCAGGAGATTGATGAGCATACAGCTCTGCTCCGCGATGAGCGTCGTGAAGAGAGGGAAAGGCGCGAAGCTGTTGTACACGATATCGAGAACCTCTTAGGTTCGTCCAAGGGTGATGATCAAGTCCAGGCCAAGGAAAGACAGCATGTTGCATCGGGTGTCTGGGGAGTCCTCCATGACCGCACCGTGCTAGATCAAATCCGCTCTCCTTGGTTCATCCTCATCTGCCTTTTCACTGTTGTTCAAATGACACGCATCAACTTCTTCGTCGCGACCATACGACCGCAGTATGAAGCCATCTTCGGCGACCACGATCGTGCTGTAAGGATCAATACTTTCTTCGACGTAGCCTTGCCAGCAGGTGGAATATTTGCGATTCCCTTCATCGGAACAGCGCTCGACCATGTCAGCACTGTTCTTGTGCTATCGACACTCGTTGCATGTGGCACGCTCATTGGTATCTTGGGTGTCCTACCCTTTGAGTGGGCAGCATACACTGGTATTGTCCTCTTTGTCTTGTACCGTCCATTTTATTACACTGCTGTGTCCGACTACAGTGCAAAGGTGTTTGGTTTCCGAACCTTTGGAACCGTGTATGGCCTCATTATCTGTCTCTCCGGCTTGTTAAACTTCTCACAATCTGGCCTGGATGTTTTGTTCCACGAGACCTTCAACGGTAACCCAGTACCCGTTGATATTATGCTTCTTGTCATAGGTCTTGTCATTGGTGTTGCACTTGTGGTGTTTGTGGCAGCTCAGCTTCGAAAGATGCACCAGAAAGCCAGAGCTGGCATTGCCCAGTGACGTGGTAACAATTTCATGACTATACTCAACTTTCTTTTCACTATGCTGAGTATTGGTTAGCGATTAACTACTATTGCACATTCTTGATCTCAGGAGAGCGTTCCCAAGGATAGTGCAAAAAAGGGGATCTTGTAAGTTCCAACAATGTATTTGAAGATCGCCATCTTCGAAAAGTGTATCTAGAACCACAGACCATAATCATCATGCTTGGATGCGACTTGACAAAACATCAATAACGGGTCACAAAGAAGCAATTGGCAGCGACATTTTCGGTAAGCATTATATATAGCCCAAATGTAGGAAGAAGTGCACAAAAAAGCGTGATCCCTGTTTACCTAAACATGGAACAATTTCCGCCACTGAAATAGGTTTCTTCAATTTGCTGTTCTCTGAACTTAATGCGTGCGAGTCACTGGCTAGAAATCTGAGGATGGTGAGTAACAAAACCTTGCACGTGAGGGATTCTATGGAGTGTCTGTGAGTATAGTGGCCTCTACTTTCCACGATATGCTGGTAATGGAGCATGGGTGGGTGGGAGGCTGTAGGATCAATATCCATTGTCAGGGATGCTTTTGTAGAAGCTGATATGGAATGGATTATTCTCACGCGTTGACTTGTCACTGGACATAGCTATACGGCTCCTGCTGATTCGTCAGGTTGTCCAACTTCTCTTCCCTGACACACATAACAACCAGTAATATGTTGGACGGAAATGCATCATGAGGGAAGCCCAGTCCAAAGAAATACGTGGAAATATGGAAATGCGGGTGGGCGGAGCTTAACGCCCCAAGGCTAGAAGCACGCAAACAGCGTAGGATGACTCTGAACTGGCTGCTTCAGCATGTAAAGGAAGTCACCAGAATGGGCAAAAACATGATTAAATAAACCAATACGGTATATGGCGATAGAAGTCTAGAATCTGGCGTCCATGAGAGTCAGGTTAAAAGTAGCGGCGGATTTCATTAAGCAGTATTGCACCACTCTAAGCATACAGAGACCAACAGTCTAATATGTATGTATATGAAAACCTTCTTGTCCATGAATGGCTCTACTCATTGATGACAGGAGTGCGGAAAGGATCCTCGCCACAGAACTGACCCCAACCGTCAAGTTGAGCAGAAGCCCACTTCAATATTTTGCTGAAACCCTTATCCTCGTCCTTGGGGGTGCAGTAGTATGTATTGTCGGACGAGCTGAGCTTACCGGTTTTCTCAACAGAAGGAGGATACTCTATCTGGAGTACAGGCTTGCCAGCGTCGATGTATGTTTGGAAGTCCTCGCAGAATGGCCAGTTCTCCTCGTCAGGATCCGTAGTGCCGCGGCAGGACTCGAGAACAGCGAAGTCAAGGGTTGAGACAAGGTCCTCGGCAATTTCGGGTGCATTCTTCTGGCCCACGAGGAGACGGTTACCATCCTTGGTCTTGATTGAGTGGGCGTACTCTGCGAGATTCTTGAGGTATTTGGTGTAGTCGGATGGCTTCAGTTTGAAGCCTGTAGGGTCCTCGCCATCCTGCTGCCAAGCGTCGACGTTGTCAGGGTCCACTGCATCGCATCCAATCTTTGCAGCAACGTCAAGGCGTGCTTTCTGAAGCTTGAGCACAGTTGAGTCACGGATGTCGAGGTACCACTCCTCACTGTCATAAGGATAGGCCAAGGAATGACCAATAACGGCCTTGGGAAATTGTTTGATATCCTTGTCCCATGACTGAAGAGCTCCGGCGTTGAAGTAGCAGATCACGAACTTTCCAGCACCCTGTATGAAGAATTAGTTATACTGCCATGTAATTTGGACTTGGAACAACCGCGCATTACCTTGAGCAGGGGAATCATCTCTGGATAATCGCGGCCATGTCCCATATCAATGTCCCAGACTTTGGCTTTGGACGGGATCAAATCGGCAACGGTATCGTGCTTAATAGGCTGGTGTAGGACAATTTCCCATTCCACGCCGGGCTTAAAATCGGAGAGCTCAAACAAGGCTGAAGAAGCCGCGGCAGCAGGCTTTGCCTCTACGGCCTTGACATGATTAGCAATCCGACATTCGTCTTTACGACGAGCGCTTACAGAGCCGCCAACAGCCAGAACAGTAAGGGCAATTCGATTGAAGGTAACCATGGTTACTAATCTTGTATTTCAAGAAGAGAAACCAAGTGTTGAAACAGAGAAGTTATTGCTACAAAGGTCCCAGGGGGGTATTGGAATGAGCAGTTGGCGACGAATTCTTGAATTAGGAAATGTATGTGGGCTTTGATGAGTTGAAGAAGTCCCTACGTGGAATGATTATGACCATACAACTCCGTAATGTAAAAAGTTGCAAAACAATCAAGCTGTATATTATACTCTACCTTGACTCTACCGCTATTCCACTCGCTGTCATCAATATCATATCATACCTTGGCACCTTATCTCATGCTCAAAGGATGAGCCGGTCGCTTCAAGATGCCTGCTGGGTGAGATGAGCACGGAAGGATTCTGTGGGACATGATGCAACAAAAAAAAAAAAAAACACAACCATCATGCACTGACACAGTCGTCTTCTGGGCATGATTTTCTAATGGCTTATTCAGTAGCCATAAATAACAAGGGACGAAAGTTCCAAAGTGCTGAATGTGGTAAGGCCAGAGGTGAGATAGTGGGTCGAGAGCGAAACCCTCTCAAATGCCCTTGTCGTGATGATCTTTAACAGACAAGGCCTTCAGGTGATCTTTTCAGCTCAGCTTTGACGGGCTCAAATAAGCTTACTCCGGAGTTGATATTATGTTCCGAACCTGGCTCGAGCTTTATCGGAGAAATGAAAGTGGTCCTCGAATCACTATGACAATAAATCATTACACTATTAACATTGTGACGTTGAGAAGTAGTCCGTGATTCAAAGCTGCATGGCGGTTCCAATTGCAGCTTCTCGGGCTTTCCGAACCTCGTCGCGTCTCTCTTCGTTTTCCTCCTTCAGCCGTTCCTCAACATCGTCTCTAATGGCACCAAGATCTGGCGGTATTGTCTGGAGCTGAACGCTTGGTGCTGCTTCCACAAACCGGAGTTGTTCCGTAACATGTTGCACAATCTCCTGTAGTCGCTTCGGGGGATTCCGATTCACTCGTGGTTCGCCCAGGATTTGTTCCAGAGTAGGGAAGAGGGTATCCTGCCGGAAGTGATCACGCCATGGGGCATGCTCTGGAAGAATGGGGTTGATCTTGTCTTGGGCATTGATAGCAATACTCGTCTCGTAAGTCCATGCCCTCGCCACGTTCCTGGGAGTGTAGCCGCCGCCTCCAAAGAGGATCATGGGGATGCCCATTTCTTTGCAGAACTTGACACAGGCGCCGTGACCCTGAACTTGGAGATTGAAGCGGCCCAGACGATCGCCGGCCAAGGAATCCGCACCGCATTGCAAAGCGATTGCACCCGGTCGGAATTTCTCCACAATCTTGCCAACTACAGTGTTAAATAAATGATCGTATTGCTCATCAGTGATACCGTCGTTCAATGGTACGTTGAAAGCATGGTGAGCGCCCGGATTATGCTCGCTCTTAGGGCCGTTGTCATCGAGAGCGCCAGTGCCCGGGAAGAAGTTATTCGGGTCATATTTGTGAAAAGAGACTGTCATGACTCTGTCCGTTGAAAAAAAGGCTTCTTCCACACCGTCTCCATGGTGCACATCGATGTCGATGTATAATACTCGCGGATAGTATCGAAGGAGTTCAAGGATGGCGATCACGATGTCATTGATATAACAAAATCCAGACGCTTCAGACCTCTTGGCATGATGAAGACCGCCACCCCAGGAAATGGCGATATCAGACTGCTTAGAGCAAATCTTCCTGGCCGCGTCAAGAGATCCACCGGCTGATAACGAACAGTAGTTGAAGAGGCCATCAAAGAGGGGACAATCAGAACCACCAAGGTTGAACTTGAGGTCAACCCCCTGGTTCTCGAGATCCCGAGGTACTGGCTCAGGAAGTACAGTACCAAGGAAATCTAGATAGTCAGAAGAATGAAATTCTGCAAGCTCCTCATACGTGGCGGCTCTGGAGATGTAATTATCCATTGCGAATGACATTCCGTAAGAGTAGATGAGACTCTTGGACAGAGTTAATCGCCAAGGTTTCATAGGATGAGTGACTCCAAAATGATGCTTCTCAATGTCCGGATTGCAGTGGAAGGAAACATTGTAACCTTTGGGTTTTGTGATACCAGACTCTTCAGCCAGACGCTTGCACTTGTTGTAGAATTTAGCATTGTCCATCTCACTAGCCAGCCCCAGCGGTTGATTGGAGAACTCCTCAACGACCGAGTTATCACGATCCTCGTCTGCAATATGGGGAAGGTAGTTGGGTTTAGGCACCCGGTACCTATAGGAGTCTATGTCCATAGTTGGAGTACAAGAAAAGAGGTGCTTTGATATGGATGTGAGATGTGTCGAGCAATAGCCCAGACGAATAGTGACTTGAATAAGTCGTTGCCGCGTATCTGATGCCAAATAATGATAATAGTGTGGCTGTAAGATACCGATAACACAGCAGATAGTATGAGACGGCTGCAAAGCTCTTCAAGTGACGATTTTTGACGAAAGTTTGGGTGGTTGAGATGTGTGGTATGGTTAATGTAGTTGGTGAAATAGATAGCTCCAGATCTCAAGAGTCGAAAATGCACAAATGCAAGCGGTTGGCAATTGCGCGGGAGGCTCCACTGTTACCTCAGGTTGTGGATTGTCTCTCGAGGCTGGGGGAAGTATAGTCAGGTCCCTTTCAGTACAGCTACTGAGGTTCCGTGTGAGTTCAGAGACACAAGAGACTTGAAAATACCTTGGTTTAGGGAAAGTCTCCAGGAACCAACCTGCAGCTTCTATCTCTTAGTGCATCTTGGCCCATGCTAGAACGGTCATAGTACGAATTTGAACTGTGGCTTCGATACCTAAGTGGCTGTGAGAAACAACCCATGGAACAGGCTGCCTTAGTACTCCGTAGGTTCCCCAACTCTCAAAACTTACACCAGAAACGCCTCCACCTTTTCCCTTCATACATCCTAATTCTGCCTGTCCATCCTTTTCAAATAGAGCACCCCCAAGAGAACACATTCGCGGCTGCTGCTTTTGATTCCGGCAGAGCAGAGCAGAGCACCGCGACTTCCACTACTCTCAAGTCAAAAGAAAGGATAAGCGAGCAAGTGGGTATCGAGGTGAGCCGAGCCCGAGTCATTCATGTCGAGTTGCTCTCCGCGTTCTTCTTTGGACTTGCTTGATTTTGACCCAAAGCATTGCCTTTGCCTTTGCCTTCGCTTCGCCTTGCCTTGCCTTGCAGGTTGCTGGTAACATTTACTGCCCTGCTCTTTCCTCTACCATTTGGCTTCGGGATTCGTATCCGTCAGGCTATGGGACCACTTTGATTTTCTAGACCCTCGCCCTTGTCCTGTCTTGTCTACATCAAGCCAACCAGCCATCATCAGATCGATACTTTTCATCTGCATTGTCATCAATCTTTTCTTTCTTTCCATCTCCCATCTATGCTGGTCTTGCCACATATTGCTCCGCATTCGTTTGCACTGTCGCACGGGTCTCGGGCATCAGGCTTCGACGTTATCGCATTTTTCTCTTAGCTAATATTGCTCGACCTTCTTATCGTTAACAATCATGCCTAGAGACGACTTGTCTATCGACTTCGTCAAGAGGATGCCTCAAGCCGAAGCCCTTGACCCTGGCTTGATCCTCGACGACTGGATTAACCGCGTCCAAAACCTCCCCGAAGAGATCCGCTTCATACAAGAAGAGGTCGCCGACAAAGATCGTCAATACTCCGAGTGCTTACGTACGATCGAGGACCGGGACGGGAAGATACAGAAATGGATCAAGACAAACGGAAGCCATGAGCCAAACCCTAAGGAAGACCTTCTTCGAAAACAAGTCCGCGACAGTTTTGCGCAAGCCGACCAACTATCGAAAGAAAAGATCGAATTGTGCCAGAAGATGCAGATCATAGTAGACAAGCATCTCAAAAACCTGGACAGCCAAATCAAGTTGCTTTACGACCGAGCCGAACCTGGCTTTACCGATCCTGACGAAGTCCCCTCATTACTTCGACCGAGCGCTGCAAATCATACTGCCCCTTCGATCCGGGCCATAAACCCAGCAAGTCATATGACCACTGCAGCTGGTCCCTCGACTCCTCTTGCCGCTGCACAAACCTCTTCAAATCCCGCACTTGCTCGACTTCCCAGCCACCCTAATGTTCGTCACGCACAGTCTCAGCAGCACGCAGCGTCTGCTCCGGCAACACCCGCAGCCAGCATGATTCTGAATCGACAAAGAGAAGGTTCTGCAGGACCCGCGACAAAGCGCGTCGCTCGGGTAAACCCTGCTTTGGGGACTATACCAACTATATCAAGCGGTTTGGCAAGACACTCATCACTTGGACCCGGCACCCCTAAGGGCGGTGCCATCGGAGGGTCTGGTCTTGCGAGGGCAGGTAGTGCAGGCCCAAGAACCGGGTCTGTGAAGTCAACAGGAACAATGAGCGGTCGTCGAGGTACGCCTACGGGTGGAATACGGAAGAAGCCTACCAACAAGTCGAATCTTTCGCGGGTTAAGAAAGCCTCAAATCGAAACTCGCCTGCGCCAACGAATGATAGTGAACTTTCGGATGTCGACAGTGGCAGTGGAGAGGACGAAGATGGCGCCGACGGTCGGTCAAGAGGTACGCCCGTGGCCGATGGTAAGGATGTTGACGGAGATGATATTATAGGAGATGCTGACGATGACGACGAAGAGGGTGGCGACGACAAGAAGTATTGCCTTTGCCATAATGTGAGCTACGGGGACATGGTCGCGTGCGACAACGACAATTGTCCGTATGAGTGGTTTCACTGGTCATGCGTCGATCTCAAGAGCGAGCCCAACGGGACATGGTACTGCCCTAAGTGTAGAGAAAAGCTACAAAAGAAGGGCAAGTAGGAAGGCCCTGAAACTGGTGAGCTTTACGTACCATATCCCAACTGAGGTGCTCAGTATTTGTAGATAAAAGCAGTTGGGTTAAAAGTGGCGTTTGGGAAAGGCATATAATATACCCATGCTACTTTGAGCAGTATAGTTTCTGGTACTCGAGCGCAGAAGCTGAAAATGCACGCATTGCTTAAACCCCCTCGGGATTTGATGATATACTTTGGATTCAATATGCCTATGTCGGCCGAAGAACGCACTGAACAACACCCCTTCGGACCCCCTCTACCTCTTCTCTGAGCTGTTCCACTCGGGCCCCTTTCTGACGCGCTTTGTCAATAAAGTCATCCAGTGAACCACCGACCCCAAAGTATAGGCGTTTTGCTCCTACAAGAGCAGCCGCTTCGTTTCTATCAGTCTTCTTCTCTTTTTCCAGTATTAAGAAGAGGGTTTCGAGGAAGGCCTGGAGGGCAAATGGGGAGTAGATTGTTTCTGCACCGAGAAGCAGCGTGCTCATTTCTTGATCATGGCCTGAAGGCAGAGCGTATATGAGATCGACGAATTCCTGTGACCAAGCGCCAGACACAAAGGAGAGAGTGACGCTCGCTTCCTTGAGTGATTGTTCGAAGGCGGCGAGAACATCAGGGCCTAGCTCAACCTCACCCTCAATTGAGAAAGCTTCTCGAAGAACAGGTACCTGAGGGTTGTTAAGGGCCCATGAAAGGATAAAGTTGGGCAAAGTGACGAGCTGGAGAACTGAAGGGTTGTAGTCCGCCATGATAAGAGACAGAGGCTTCTTTTCGGATGTTGAGGCCATGGCCCATTGGAAGACTGCCAAAGATGGTAGAGCTGTACCGCATCCAAGCTGTTGGTCTAGGGTTAGATATATCAAGTTGCAAGTATAATTTATTTCACATACCTCCATGACTCGAAAACCCTTTTGTTCCAGTGCTGAGGTGACCTTATTCGCAGCCAGTACCTTAACTAAATCGACACTGCTCTCCCAGCTTTTAAAACCGCCCTCATAAACACCCGTTTTCACATCATGGCTTCCCAAGCCTTCAGACTGAGCGCCAGCAACGTCTTCCTCCTCAGCCATCAACTGCACCCTCACGTCCCATAACTCTCTCCGCGGTAGCTGAATAGTAGTTCCATCATCGAGTGTCACATCTAGGAGGCTATAAGCGATCTTTGACGGTAGCTGAGCAAGCAAATCAGACAGTTGGTGAACAGTTGGTGGGAGCTGAGGCTTTCCTGGGACGGGAAATGCGCTGGTGGTGGCTGCAGCAGCTGCCGTAGGCTTGACGACAGATGGATTCTGCTCATCATCGGAGATGTCGTCACCGGCGAAACCAAATGAAAACGACATTGTGAAAGGAGTTTTGTTCACCACTTGAAGAGCTTCCGAGACTTTGATAGGTACAGATAAAAAGTTGTAAGTGTGTGCACTGTGTAGTGGGGCAGTAGGAGGCGGATAGTGGTAGCGTGCCGGACACTGTGCTTGAGAATCTCGACTCCCGCAATTCTGTCCGATATCATTCTCAACGACTCGTCTTTACCAGCCAAGAACACAGCCAGTGAATTCTTGTTTCTATATGCCAATAGCACGGGCTCACTTATAGGCCTTTGAAGAATTCATTCAATATGCGTTCATCTCTGTTAAGACTGGCATCAGCCGCAAACACACAACGAGGCCTCAAGCCCAACCCTACTGCCCTTCTTCCTCCTATTCCTTTATACCGCCGACTCCTCCGTGCCCATCGCAAGCATTTGCCAGCTGAGATGAGAGTTCTTGGAGACGAGTACATCAAGGCTGAGTTTAGAGCGCACAGAAAGGTGGATAACCCGGCTCACCTGGTATGTTTCTTGCAAAAGATCCAGCACGAACGCCATGCTTACCAGTTCCAAGATTGGTTTCCTAACAGAGTGGCAAATGTATGCGCAAAAAATTGAAGGCGATCAGTGGGTGGGTGACAAGTTAGATGAGCAGAAGCTCTCAAAGATGAGCGGTAAGTGAGAATGAATAATGCACGAATAATTAAATTTAACATGCAGCAGATGAACAAATACACCAACTATACGAGTTGATGCAGGCCATTCAAAACCGGAGCAAAGAAGGTGGCGAGCAGGAGTCATAGACATGGTCTCATGCAGAAAGACCAGGATTGAAGAATTTATGGTCAAATAATGAAGGCTAAGGTGTAAGTCAACGTTTTGCTCATGTTACTGACTTGAACATGTATTCCTCAAAAGCTTGTACACTATATAGACCAGACCCTTTCCCATGCATTAACTACAAGCATGCCTTTACTAAATAAATAACACCACTGAATGTCTACTTGCCTCCCATTGCTTCAACAATCCATGTGGCTTGGATGGCGCTGACCTTCTTGGCGTAATTCTTATTTGTGTAGACGTGCTCGAGGAACATGATAGCTTCTTTCTTCTGCCCATGCAATACGCTGGCAGGATGGATGGCAACGACGTGTTTGCCTTGGACCGTGACAAAGCTGCCGTCAGGAGCCAGCATAGCAGTTTTCAGAGCGAAGCCTCTCAGGAAACACTTGAGGACTTGCTCAGCGCGTTCTGGGGAGATGGGAACAAATGGTTGAGGATCAGCCAGTGGAGCCTCATCCAGGAGCTTCTCCTTAAGACACATACCCCGAAGCTGCCTTCGAATGTTCAGAGCCTGTTTCATGTTTCTCATGTTAATCTTCCGTTGCTTGCACCAATTTACTCTGTCTGCGTTCTCCGCGGTGTATTGTTGGATGGTGGTAAGATATGTGATGATGTCTCCCTCACGGCGTTGGAGCTCCTTTCTGAAATTTTCCACCTCTTCTTGGGCCTGCTCAGACTGGATACTCAAGAAGATATCCTCTCCAGATGTGATACAGGAAATTATGTCGATCGCCTCAACCACACAATCAAACTCGGGATCCGCAGCAGCAAGCAAAACAGCCCCCAACGGCGCAGAAATCGGAAAGCGGGCCATCGTTTCGCCAGTCCTCGTGATAGTGCCATCATCATTGAGAGCACCAAGGAAATGCAAGTGAATCAGAGCTTTCTCGATAGCTTCTGTCTCTGGGGGATCCATGAGAGGGAAAGCAAGGACATCCTGAATTCCTCGTGCCTTCATGGTCAGAACTGCTCCCAAGACGTCGTTGCGAAGAATCTCGGGAAGATCGGAATCTTGCAGCGTCTTGAAGGCTGATTCTGGGTATAATCTGAAGCACTTTCCGGGGCCCTCACGGCCTGCTCGACCAGTTCGCTGCACAGCGGATGATTTCGAGATAGGTTTCGCAAGAAGAGATTCCATGCCCAGGCGTGCTCGGTATTGCTTCACTTTTGCTTTACCGCAATCCACCACATATCTGACTCCGGGAACAGTGACTGATGTCTCAGCAATATTTGTCGCCAGCACAATCTTACGTGTAAAAGGAGTCTTGACGGGTAAGAAGGCCTCGCGCTGCGCGTCCATCGAGAGTTGACCATACAAGGGGAACACCCTGATCTTAGGGACGTTAGAGGCAAGAGTTTCTGCATATTCCTCAATCAGCTTTTGGGCAGCCTCAATCTCTTCCTGACCGGTCAGGAAAGCAAGGATATCTCCCGGAAGCTGCTCCTGCAAGTGTATCTTGTATATCGTCTTGAGAAGGGCGTCCTGGATGTCGGGTACAGGTCGCGGTTCATGGTGAACTGTGACGGGGTACTGTCGTCCCTTGATCTTAAGAACCTGCAGTGTGCTTTCGCCCCCGTTCTTTGGTCGCACGTCCTTGAAGAACTCTTGAATGCCCTCCACGTCTGCTGTCGCACTCATGATGACCACTTTGAGCGGGATGCCCCCGCGGCCAGACAAGTCGCTTGCAAGAATCTGCTTCAGGAAACCAACTAGTAGATCGACATCAAGACTGCGTTCATGAATTTCGTCGACCACGATAGCGCTGTAATTCCTGAGATTGGGATCCCGCAGAAGTTCCTGAAGCAACATACCCTCAGTCAAGAATTTGATCCTTGATCCCTTTGGGACCTGGTGGTCAAATCGAACCGAGTAACCGACCAACCCATCTCGTCCTCCTTTCCCTAGAGGAGTCCCAGCTTCTTGAGAAACACGATGAGCCAAAGTTGTCGCGGCGACTCGTCGAGGCTGCGTGATTGCGACCATGCCACCCACTGAAATCTCATCGTCTGAGCCGGCGATCTTGGTCTTTTGACGTCTACACCAGGGCTCCTGATAGAGAAATTGAGGAACCTGAGTACTCTTTCCAGAACCTGTCTCACCCACTAGCACGAGCACGTCGCTGCCGGACTTTCGCAGCGCTTTCTGAATGTCCTCGCGATACTGCCATATTGGAAGCTCTTTGCGTGTCTTGAGCAGTTTTGGATCATCCCGAGTCCGAGACCTATCACTACTATCGCGCCCTCTAGGAGGTTTCTTGTGCTCTGGCCTTTCCTTCCTTGCCTCTGTGGTGGCGACAGGGGCAGCTGAAGGGGTGGTTGTAGGGGCTGTTGGGCTGTCTGATGCTGATGTTGAGGCTGCAGGTACAGCCTTTGAGGGCGCTGTGAGATACCCTTCGAGGGAAATTGTTTTCCCCCCTATCGTAATAGCATTTGGGTCAGTCTTATTTTTGGTTTTCCTCTTTTTCGCCAGAGGAGGGCCAGAATTATCAGTTGTCATGGTGCTGGCTGAAGAGTTGGCGACGGTGGAAATTTTCACTGGGATCCAATGTCGATAGCTGGGAGGCAATCGCTGGGATCAGAATTATACCTAACCAGAGACCGAAACAACCCCGACAAAATAAATGTGACACGAAGCGGTCTATCAAGCACCACAGATATTCCACTTATTTTATTCACGCCTCTTGACTGTCTCCACCACGCCAACTTTCATGTACAATCATCTCGGGTTATAAAAACCATGGCTCACGCCGTACTCTTATTATCAAAAGAGCTCAGAAAATTGCGAAAAGGACTGATTTGGAGAAGTCTTGATAAATTATGTAATTGCCATCAAATATACTTTGGTTTCGTAGGATACAATCAAATCCAAACACTATAAATCTTTACTAAAACTCTGTCAAGGTCAGATATCCTGACTTGATATGTCCCTGGTTTCCTCATCCTGAGTTTGCAAGATGCTAGAAAGCCGCTGCTCAGCGTATGCTTGTACATGATAGAAACTGAATTTCAATCTCAAATATCAAATAACCAAATCTTAAATCGTCGGAGTTCACCCAACCTCTATTTCACAGGCGATTAAACTTTTACGTGCTTGTCCCTAAACAATATGGCTATTGTGGGCCGTTTGGTTAAAAACTTCATATCAATGAATGCGAAGTGTTCTCGTCGACGAAGTCAAGATTCAGAGGCGGCATACGATACCTTAGACGCCTAATACATGGTTTCAAAATCCCGCAAGCATCAATATCCGTCTTCTTAGACGATTAAACAGTGATTCGATTTTCATGTATACATGTCCCTTAGAATGCTCCAAAACCCGGATTCTTTTGAGTTGGTTTATACAATTGATCACGACCAAGACAGGACTTAACCTGCAGTTCTGTAATGGAAACGTCTAAATAGACATATTAAATCCCGACGTGCTAATCCTCCCCTATCCCAACACAGTTGCTGTGTATCATCGTGTTATCAATTGCCCTTTACTTGATACGGGCCAATCGTTCTCGGTTCATTCTCGTGGCATCGTCAACAGCATCGCTCTGTGTCGAGTCAGTAAAATGATCGTTGTTTGAAACTCAAGAACACCACTTGCCTTGTTCATAATACGGTCGATCTGCTTGTTCTGCGAGTCAACCTCCTTGCCAATAGCTCTGCCGACCATATTCATCATGGACACTTGGCCCTCAAGCTCGGTGATGCCATCATCGATCTGGTCCTCAAGCTCATCCGCTCCCTCCTCATCGTCAAGGTTATATTTGCCGTATTCCTTCTTACGAGGTTGCTGTCGTGGCCGGCCCACGGTGTTCATGTCTCTGAAGTTGCCTTCCATGCGCTGGTTGGCTTGGAAACCATCACGGCGGGTGGCTTCTCGTTGTTCTCGTTCAGATCGATGGCGTGCCATGACCTCATCGTCCGCTTTTTGCTTTCGTTGCTTGGAGGTAAAAGGGTTGCTGACATGCACAGCAAACATACTTCCGTTGAGTGTCTTGAGTTCGGCAGCCCGGTCTTGAGCAATCTTGTTCTGGTTGGCAGCTAGATCAAGATGCTTTTCCGTGTTGTTCAATCGCTCTCCTTGAGCTCCCAGGCGAGCTAGGGTGGCGCGACCGACTTCGTTGGCTTGCCGAGCCATTTGTACCGACCGGCTGACTGAGGATGCACTGTCCTGCTGAAGTTGTCGCTTCTCCGCCAGAATATATTGATATTCAGCTTCTTCTTGCTCCTCAGCGGTCAACTCGCGCTCCTCACCATAACCGCCGTACGAGCCGCCGTCGGCTCCTGACTGTGGACCGTTGTTGGTAGGTTGTTGCTTCTGGGCCTGGCGTTCCTGAGCACCAGCGAACAAGTTGTCTCTGTTGGTGTCAGGCTCACTCGGTCCAAAACCACCATAGCCACCGGGGCCTCTTGCACCAGCAGCTGGGCCGGGGCTGTTGTATCTGTTCTGAGGAGCAGAGTCGCCATATCGATTTCCACCGTAGCCGCCGCCGGATCCGTATCGGTCAGCACCGTATCCGCTCGGAGGCTGGGGCTGAGAGTTGAAGCTTCCTTGTGCAGGAGCGGGAGCACCGTAGGAATTCGGAGCCTGGGCGCCAGGAGCGCCAGGGCCGTTGTTGAGACCAGCGCGGGCTTGCTGATAAGGGGTTACGTTGGCATACTTTGCATCGTCGGCATAGGGGTCTTTTCCGCCTTGTTTGGCGTAAGGGTTCTCAGAGGAACTAGATTGAGACGACTTCTTGCGACCAAAGAGGGCGTGGCGGTTGGCGTCATCACCATCATCGCCTTTCTTTCCAAAGCCAAACTTCTTCATGGCAAGATTTGTTGACTGTGGGACGGGATTGAGATGATATCGAGCTGTCACGGTAAATTGTGCTAGTGAGAAAGGAAATAGAGAATTATGAAAGCAAGGGCTGAAAGGAGAAGAGGATGGTATTGCTGCCTTATGAGAGGACCGATAGTGGTTTCCTGCAGTACTAACTTTAGGTACCGGTGGGTTATTGGGGAGAACGGACCCTGGGCTTAGCCTGGGCGGTGTCCCCTGACCCCTCCACTTGAACGTCGAAACTCACCTGGGTCTAAAAGTATTGGATACTTTGTCATGCTTGTGGCGTGCTTATCCATTAATTCTCCCATCGTTTCGGGCATGGACTAGGCGCCTCTCAGGCCTAGACTGATAGAAGGTTTCGATTTACAAGGCATTATGATCTGGTTATGCAATAGGCGCCCAACAAGCGCCCGAGATCCAATACATCCGATCCAAAGGATTGCACTTAGACCCTTTAATCCCAGGCCCCTGGTGTTGCAGCCGCAATTTGGACCCTCTCCATGCAAGTCCCTGAATCCTTAACCATTGTGCTGTCATTCCAGTCCTGCAGCAACATCGATGCGCCGAGTGGACTGTCTATTCTATTACGTCAGGTACTTCATAGTCGCCAGCAAATGTGGCTTTGTGTCTCATCGCCATCCATCCCGAGAGAGTGGCTCAGCCATTTCAATGCGTCAGCCATGGCGCCGCCTGCGTGTTCGCTTTCGTTCGACGTAGACACCCACAAATTCAACCAGGTCGTATTTTTCACAATATGCGTTTCAAGGTGTATAGCATGGAAGCGTATTGTGTTTGAGCTGAAGTGAGATATGAGGCTTTGGAGGTGTTCACGGTGAAGCCAAAGCGACCCTGACCTTTGTTTGAAGAGCAATCGTGAGAGCTAGACTCCTGTATCAATATAGTTTCACCTGTGGGGCCTAGCCTATGACTGCGGGTTTCATTCCATATGCCATGTTCTAGAAAAGGCTCTGGAATGAGGACCTCGCAATTGTTTCATGGCCTTGAGAATCATTCCTCCCCAGTAGAAAGGACTGAGGCTCTATGACTCTTTGGCCAGCCTTAAGCTGAAGTTGGGATCTTTGGTTGATGCACCATCAGGCAGGTGACTCACTGACAGGCAAAGGACCTTGTGAGCATGCAATCTGAATACGGAACTCAACTAGATGCTCTACCGGCAGGATATGCTGGCATTCACGTACCTATCGAAAGGATCTCTTCAAGAACACCACGTGCTTAGACCAAGCTCACCGTTGAGTGCTTGCAATAGTATTCAGAAAGTATCCTTAGGGAAATGGAAAGCCCAGAGGAGACGACCCAGATATCTCTATGTATTTCGCCATGAGATCATTTAGGTGCAGATGAAGCCAATACCTAGATTATGACCGTCCTTCGAACTAGGGTCTCGCTCGTTCGAGAAAACAACCATCCTCATCGATTTTAACTCATTCTAAACTGTTCTCTTTCCTTTCTCCAGTTGAAGACCAACTGGGGTAGTACCCCACAACCGACTAATGGACGGCTCCATTGATCCACTGGCCGTACCGGCTCAAGGCCCCACAGAGACAACAAGTACCTAGCACTAGGTAAGGTGTAATAAAAAAAAAGGGAAGTACATCTACAGATATGCATGAAACTATTATTAACTATTATCTGAAATCAAGTATCAGATGCTTAGTATAAAATGTTATAAAGCTTAGGAGCAAGAATTGAACTTGGGATAGAATGGTAGAAAAAGAGCCACTTTGACTACTAACCTAAAGTGTATTCCGGCCGTTCAATGACATGAACTGACGGAAGGGACCATTAAGGCGATCACGGTATCCCAGGTTCACATAAGACTCTCTTGATTGGTCACTTGGCCGATGCGTCACCTCTGACTCGCCAACTGGGAGGCTTTATTCAACCTACATTACATTACTTTCGATCTTCAATTTTCTAAAGCTAAAGAGCGCGGACGCCTTCATTTTCCAGTCAATCATCTCACCGAATAAGCCGTACTCGACCGAAATTATATAAACCCACCAAGGCTCCCCTTTCCTGTCAATCATGCCTTTCATCTCCTGAGCTGGCAACTGACCGCCCTAACACAGTCTTCCAGAGACGTGATCGCTACACTTGGATCAACTCACAATACTTCTTCAAGTAATCAACAAGATGATATTCCGGATATATTACGCTTTCCCTTTTCTTTATACTCGATGTTACCCCCTTTTATCGCTCTTATATCGGCACATGCTATCATCAATATCTTGAGAATCCCTACTCAGTATCAGTCGATTATCGGATTTTACTTTAAACCTTCTTAAGAACCCTACGCCCACTACAACGCAACCATGGCATCTGTATTCACCTATGACCCTGATCCTCCAAGGGTCTCTTCGCCTTGGACTCCGCTGAGCGAGTCAGGGAAGGACGAGGGTGCTCTGGGCACACAGCTTCGCCGACCAGCACAAGAACCTCAGCCAGGGTTGCTATCTGAGTATGGGGTCATCAAACTACAGGCCGAACCACAAGAAGGCCCTACTGAATACAAGCTTCACCTACTCCTGCGACCTAGGAGAGTATTTAAGAGTATGAGCACTGCCGGAACATCGCGTCACGCTCGATTAAACATGCCCTCAACCGCCTCTCTCACGCCTTCTAGCCAGGCTCGTGAACAAACCCGCCAACAAAGGCTCCAGCACTTGACTACCCAGCTCCTGTGGAGATTACAACAGTCCTCTCCATATCACGCATCCAGTTCTAAGGAGCTGGCAATCCCAAGACTACCTGATGACAGCGTTGATCTTTCTGCTCCTGTGAAGCTGAGTGAACTTGTCCCTGGATTGGAGGAATCAAGAGGAGCCTTGTATGAGATTGGTGTCGCTGATGATGGCACTCTTGTTGGCCTCACCAAAGATGAGATGGAAGAGAGTCTCACAACTTTAAGAGTAATGGCCGCAAGCTTGGGTTGCTCTGTCGACGTTCATCGGAGAGTCATTGTTGGCGACTGCGAGTGGGTCGAGTCGACCGAGTTGGTCGACAGTTTTGTTACCTCACCGCATCAAATTATCAGAAACGGCAAACTCTGGGTTGCCGAAGCACTTGTCAAGCCCAACTTTGGTTTCCTAGATGAGGAGAATGGAACTGATAGTTCTCACAAGAATGAGCAGGCCATTGCAGAGAGCGCTGCCGTACCCAGCCGTGGTAGTTCAACAACACCACAGTTACGAGTCACTTTCACTGGTCCTACCACATCAGGTAAATCAAGTCTCTTGGGGACTCTATCAACCGGGACACTAGACAACGGCCGTGGCAATAGTCGACTTAGCTTGCTCAAGCACCGACACGAAGTGGCCACGGGGGTTACCAGTTCAATAGCTCAGGAACTCATCGGATACAAAGACCAGTCAATTCTCAACTACAGTCACGGGAACATCGAGTCTTGGGTCGATATACACGACTGTTCCGAGGGTGGCCGCTTAGTCTTTGTTTCTGACTCTGCTGGTCATCCAAGATATCGCCGGACAGTTCTTCGTGGGCTGATGAACTGGGCACCTCATTGGATCATCTTGTGTTTGGCTGTGGATGATGGAGACACAGCCACCAAAGGACACGGGGTAACATCCTCAACGCAGGATGTTCTGGGAGTTACATCAGTGGGAGTTGATCTCGTCAAAGCCCATCTTACATTATCACTCAAATTGGATATCCCTTTGGCAGTTGTCATCACCAAAATGGATCTCGCTTCCAAGACAAGCGCGCATAGAACGACGAACAAGATCTTGTCAGCTGTCAAAGAAGCTGGGCGTATACCAAAAATCCTTCGGCCCGACCAGAAGGTATGGAGGGATCTAGACCGAGTACCTGATGATGACTCGGCCAAGGTCAAAGACTTACTCAAGGGGATCTCAGAGAGTGGCAACTTAACTGAGATTGTTCCAATAGCATTCACAAGTGCAGTAAGAGGAAGTGGAATTGGCCTCCTGCATGCACTTTTGGAAAACCTGCCATTGCCGCCAACACCAACCGCTCGTGACTATGTTGGAATGGCGTTGAATCCAGAGCAGCCGAAATGCCTATTCCACATCGACGATACCTTCTCTCTGCCAACATCGTACAGCAACATGACAGGTGTCTTGGGAAAACAAGCCGACCCAGGTATTGTCGTGTCAGGCTATCTCAGGTTCGGACGACTCTCTGTCGGGGACAAGATTGTTATTGGGCCTTTCCCACCAAATGATGACGAAGCTCGCGACTTGACCCCGGAGGATAGGCAATCTCCTGGTAGTTACGGACTCTCGATTTCGCACCCTTCTTCTGCAGAGTTGGCCCGCATCGCCATGAAAAATGCCGTCTCCGCGTCAGCGACTCCAGGGGAGTGGCATGACGCTCAGATTGTGAGCATACGTAACTTGAGACTCCCTGTTCTGACTCTTGAATCTGGACAAGCCGGATCAATTGGCCTCGTCATCCAATCACTCTCGCACCGTTCCCAGAACGGTAATCCGGACTCCAATATCCCCATTGAGCCCCCCCGTATTCGCCGTGGCATGATCTTGGCGATACCGTCAAAACATATGGCAGACACGGGGTTAAAGTTGCAGGCTGCGAGCGGCTTTACGGCGGTCTTTGATGACGCGGATACCCAGGCCCTTGCAATCGGCTCTTTCGTAAATATCTACATCGCCAGTATTCGGACGGTGGCGCGCATACGTCAGATATCGCGTCAAGATCCAGGATGGGAAGCAGGAGCAAGAGAAGCAGACGAGATTGAGGAGATATTCGACCTCAACGACGACCTCGAAACGAATAATGAGAAGGAGGAACCCGATGCGACGAGGGGTGGAGTGGAGATGGGCTTGGAGCTTATCCATCACCGTGAATGGATCGAGATGGGTTCACGAGTCATACTATTAGAAGGCGGAAGTCAGGATAAATCTGGACTAGAAGGATTTGTTGGAAAAGTTGTGGAGATTGTTGATTGAACCTTTGAGATTGATTGCACGTTGTTGGTGTAGAATACCGACACCTTTAGTTTTACTGTTTTGTATGACGCTTTTGAAATACTAGTTGCCTTGTTGAAGTCACAATGTCTTTCTGAATATATTTTATCATAACTCCAGAAACGCCATTCGTATGCTGATATATGATGCTTTAATATCTAGGCCCGAACCAAGCCATAAAACAATGTCCAAGTTAAGACAAAGCCCGAGACGCCATTGAATATGCCACCAAACCAGAACTCGAACAAGCCACGATAATAGCGAGAAGGATCGAGAGGAGCGTGGCCCTTGGGGAGTGATTCCGGAGCAACCTTGAGGGCGCAAAAGAGGAGAGCAGTGATGAAAGAGAAGATGATGTAGACGAGGAAACCGTAATAAGATTCGAGACCGAGGACACCGGCGCTGACTCCAAAAAGTGACGCAGTAAGGCTGTGGAGGTTGGAGAGAGCCTGTATAAATGGTAAGCCCGCAGGAACCTTGAGCATGGACAATGGATCGCTAATGATAGCAATATTAAGGGCGAGGGAGCGAACCTTTGTGTTATGGACCACAGACTCGGGAACGATGGGGTTGATCTGAAGCTCGCGTTCGGAAGGCATTGTCGCGGATGAAGATGGGTCACTCAGGTCAGGCTATTCCAGGTGAGAACGATTCTGGGGAGACAATATAGAAGATCGAGGTTGTGGGTATAGCTTCGTATGGATCTTGAATGCAGCTATGTACGCGCTGGAGTGCCTAGCAGTATTGTAATGACAGCGTGTCGGTCCGTCCAAAGTTCCGAGCGCCGATAGGTAAGGTAAGCTTGTATGGAAGTGGGCCTGGTTGGTCAATTTGGAATCAACCTTGCCTGTAGCTTGGCCCCAACTGTAACGGAAGGACCCCTCCACTATGATTCCACATGGACAGTCCTCGGCGGGGTATCTGTAGTTTAACTGGAACTTCTTTTAAAAGTCACAATCTGTAACTTGCAGTTATTCCTGAGCTGCTGTACCAATTTCACTTGACTATAATTTGAACAACACATACAATGTCGCAAGATTTCGCGCCTCTAAAGAACGACCTGTTGCTTCGCGCAGCATGGGGTGGGTTGTCCGCGCCTCAGTTGTGAGAATCATGAGAGAGAACTGTGCTGAGACTTGCTGTGTTGCAACTTAGGTCAGACCGTTGAACGCCCTCCTATGTGGGTGATGCGACAAGGTGAGAAGGTACCCCGACCTACGGGTAAAAGCACACAAGACTGACCTGATCAATTGATAGCCGGTCGCTACCTACCGGAGTATCACGAAGCCAAGGGTAACCGAGACTTCTTCGAATGCTGCCGCGACCCTGAAGTCGCAACCGAAATCACCCTCCAGCCTGTCCGCCGATTCGCAGGTCTCATCGATGCCGCCATCATCTTCTCCGACATCCTTGTCATTCCCCAGGCAATGGGTATGACCGTTGAGATGGTTGAGAAGAAGGGCCCTTACTTCCCGAACCCGCTCCAGAACCCCGACGACGGACAGTACGGCCAGGTGCTCGCTAAGAACGTCGATGTTGCTGCTGAACTCGGCTACGTGTACGACGCTATCACACTTACACGCCAGAAGCTTGAGGGACAGGTGCCCTTGATTGGCTTCTGCGGCGCTCCCTGGACGCTGTTCTGCTACATGGTCGAGGGTGGTGGCACCAAGCTGTTTGCGCAGGTCAAGACATGGATCTACAAGTATCCTGAGGAGTCGAAGAAGCTTCTGGCCAAGATTGCCGATATCTGCGTGGATCATCTGGCACTTCAAGTCAAGGCTGGTGCTCAGGTATAGAATGCTCCCCTCTAGAACTGCACCATATATGACTAACTTGCAAACTTTATAGCTAGTGATGGTCTTTGACTCCTGGGCAGGAGAGCTCGGCCCTTCTTCTTACCGTCAATTCTCCGAGCCCTACTTGAAGCAAATCGCCGAGAAGCTTCCCGCCAAGCTCCAGAGCCTCGGCTTGGAGAAGGTTCCCATGACTGTGTTCCCCAAGGGTGCTTGGTACGCACTCGACTCTGCCTGCAACCTGGGTTATAATGTGGTTGGCATGGACTGGTTGCATGATCCCAAGGAGGCTGTCAAGATTCGAGGCGACCGCAACATTGTGTTCCAGGGCAATGCTGACCCAGGGGTATTGTATGGCACCAAGGAGGCTATCACCAAGGCCGTGGAGGAGATGGTAGAAGGCTTCTGGGTCGGAAACAAGGGCTGGATTGCCAACCTTGGCCACGGTAAGTTCTCTGTGACATGATACTGAGCTGGACGAGGGGCTGACCAAAAGCAGGAATTACACCTGGCGTAAACCCTGATCATCTCAAGCACTACTTCGAGGAGATTCACCGTTTGACCAAGAAGAACTAATGGTCAAATATCAGTGTGTGCTGTGTTGAAGGCGTATTTTGAGATACCATGTGTCTATGCTGGGTTGAACATCAAAGTAGATAAGAGAGGGCATCAGAAAAAGCATTGTGGAGAATACCAGTAGACACAAAAATGTAACATAGTAAAATAGCATGGCCAAGGAACTGAGAAAAATAACTCTTTGTTTGTAAATCATTTAATTCATGGGATGGTATCTTTACTTTTGCTTTTCCCCCTTTTCACGTATCCTTTGTCCTGTACGTTGACCCGTCCTTCATAAGATTGTCTAGCCAGAACCCCCTGCTTCAGATTCAATGTCAAAGGCGCCAAAACACCAAGCTGTACTGTAAAATAACTAGACCCAATAGCAGTAGAACATGAAATCTCTCATCTCTAGAATTGAGCATGGTGAAACACTTGAAGGTCTCTGAAGTCCTAAGCCTTCTTGCCAAAGAGCCAGTTCTTGCCCTTCTGAGCCAACGACGCGCCAGCAGCAGTAGGTGAGTTGGCAGACTTGGGCTCCTCCTCGTCAGTGATAGCTTCATCGTTGCTGGGCTTGCGGGTCAACTCTGTCTCCTTGTCCTTGAAGACGTTGCCCGCGCCACCACGGCCAGCATGCTGAGCACCAGATGAGGGGCGTCGAGGGATACTTTTGTCTCAGGTCAGCAACGATTCTAAAGAGAACGATCCCCGAGATTGAGTGGCAGGAGGGATGAAAAACTTACGCTTCAACGTCCTGACGCTTGCGGGTTTCGCGAGGGTCATCGTTCTTGGCCATGTTGCCTGTACCACCACGACCGGTGGTGACAACAGAGCCCTTGAGGACGGGAGTCTGGAGCTTGCTGGGATCTGTCTTCTCAGTGTGGGTTGAGTCGGCCATGTTGCCAGCACCACCTCGACCGTGAGAGGAGAGCATTGTGACAGGTGTGTGAGTTTTGGAAGAGAAAGTGTTGTTGTCCGTTGAGGGGTAGTTGTTGTGTAGTTGTCGACTAACAACTAAACTAGTGACTGTCCAGGAGTTGTTGAGTAGACTGAGAAGTTGTCAAGTCAAACGATCAGGAGTACGTCTCTAAGGAATTGTAATGATGAAGAGAAAAGTCTATTTGAGTGAAGGAGATTTAGCTGGAGGCGGTGGTGACAGTTTTTAACTCAATGCCAAGTCCTCGTGATTGATGTTGTAACTTGCTACCAAATTTTCCCCTGCCCTGGAAGTGTTCCCATGATCAACTAAACAGGGGAAGGAGAAAAAAAATTCGATAGGTTCCTAGGCGCTGCGGCCTTTTTTTTTTCTTCACACCCACCGAACCACTGTGCCCAGTCATAGAGTATATGGCCTAGACTGGCCTTGTGCTCACTAGGCTGCCCCGAACCTGGGCTACTGGGTTGTGAGCTGTAGGGCGAGATCTCTTCAGCTGGGCGTTGTAGCTGTAGGTGCTTCTTCTGCACTATCTTGGAGTCTATCCTTGAGTCAAATGATCGAATTCTCTCTTTCAAACTCTAGTTGAAAAGCGCTTTCCTCCTCTCAACCCTTCTCCATTTGAAGAATGAGGCTCAGTTAAAACTCTCGCCCAAGTCTAGGACAAGTAGACGCAAGTACCCGTGCGCCAGTTCCACTTGGTCATGGCACTAAGAGGCCATGCCCAGTCATAGAAATTGGTTGCGTAATGAATTTTGATGGCCTCGTGCTGCCCCAGATCTTGGCATGGTACTTCCGATATACGAAGTCAATACAAGCTTTTATGAGGCCATGAGGGGTTCAATGCTGAGAGCCTGGGTCACTTGATGCCCGTCAGCCATAAATTGAAACCGAGCTATGAGGGTGCTGTACTCGCTCCTCACTCAGGGACCCAAAGGGGAAAGCTCGTATATCGAGCCAATAGTTGCAAAAGCGCATAGGCACTGAAAGATGAGTTCCTTAGGCGGTCTTCAAATGGGAATATCAAAATTCTCCGTGAGTTGTGCGCCAACCACGTCAGGTATGAGAGGCATCTCTGTCATGACAACTCAAGTCTTCCATGAGATTCTCCCCTTTCAAGGTCTCGCTGTTCGGTCAAGTAGAAAGTAAGTTAGCCGAATGGCCTCTCGCCGCCAAGAGAATCTATTCAGAGATCCGTAGATCGTCTTCGCTCTCGCCGGGCTCCGAGTTCCCAGCGGCGCTCGCTCCCGCACATGGCGTAAACTCTCATATTCTTGCGTGCCGGTACCAGCGCTTATCCATAGCCGTTTCTGTACTGGCGTGCCCCGACACGGCGGGCTGGTCTGGCTTGGTGGCTCATAGCCATGGAAGCTGGGAAGACCCCCCAGCTTCTCGAAAAGGCATTCAATCACAAGCCTCATGACCTCAAAATCTCGAAATGTGCAAGGGATGCTGCTGTTTGTGGCTTGTAGCCTGTAGCTTGTAGCTAGATTCCATCAGGGTTGTTCCATGCTAATCAGACCCAAGACCCTGAAAGTGGCGGCTAAGCTTGTCTAAGTGCGATGACGTTGACTCCTTGAACCCCGGGTTTGGTCATGATACAGTCATCTTTTGCTCTCGGGCTAGGGAACCCTTTGCCCTGTCGATCCCACACTTGGCTTCACACTCTTTGTTGGCTCTTTAGATGTGTCGAACTGCAACATCACCGACACACTGTATTGCAAGCTAGGACAAAAGCATAAAAGCATGAGAAATCGACTCAATTCCAAACACCAACGCCAGCGTCTATGCTCAGTATTCAATGACATGGTGCCTTGTCTGACAAGGGCAGTACCTCTATACATTTTGGCGACATATCTTGGAACCTTGTACAGAGGAGAGTCGTGATTTGGTCTATTTTCCAGTGCCGAATGCCTCTTGTGTACGCCAGCTATTCCTTCTCTTGCGGATTTCAACTATCTGAATAGCCAAATTTCCAAAGCCCATCTCTGATATGGTCAAACAATCATGAATATTTCTTTGGCGATATAGTTCACGCAAATCCTTCAGTTCTGATCGTACATCTCTTCATCACCTTCGCCCTTGATGTTGGCGTCCTTACGGATCGGGATCTTGATGCCTTGGTTCGCAAATTTCTTGCTCAATGGTGTACTTTCACACACGCCGGGGAACTTCTTGGCCGAGTACACGTGGAAACTCTCGCTGTAGCACGACGACAGGATTGGCGCTCGGCCTTGGTTTACGTTGGTTCCCTGCCCTCCGGGGCGTCCAACGTTGACGAAGGAGAACCTTAATCTGCAACTTCATCGTCAGCAATCACGAGCCACGGCACAGACCAAATTCAGTTGCTCTTACCGAAAGGTTCCTTCAGTACGGACGCTGAGGTCTTGGAGGACAAACCAGATACCCGATTGTCCTTCAGTGTCCTCGAGACGGAATGCGCTTGCGGCCAAACTGCCGATCAAGTTTCTCGTAAACATCCCTTGGGGTTGCCCCCCAACCACTGCCATCCGAGTAAGCGCATTTTGATCCTGTCCATATCCATTACGGAAAGGGGCGCCTGGCGGAGGAGCGGAAGGTTCGGCACTGTAACCGCTATGTCGCGGGTAGTATTGTTGGGGCGGACCGTAGGAACTGCTCGGCGGGTACGACGGTGCTACTCTTATGTCAGACACGGATTTGTCCTCGCTTTTTGTTCCTCCTGTTTCGACCAACCTTGCCCGTAGCTTTGCTGCACCGGTGGGGGGTAATCCTGCCCATAGTTCAGCCCTTGCGATTGCCCATATCCAGACTCGCGGCTCGGGGGCAGAGATTGTTGCTGGTACGAAGGGGTCCCTGGCTCTAAGGACGAATAAGTGTAGGTACTTGAGGATGCCATAGCGCCGGTCCCAGCCGACGACCGCACCAGATTCACTTCTTTGGTACCATCATGATTCCACAGATCCACCGACAACACAAACATGGCGTGGTCCAGGCTACTACACATTATGTGTTAGCACAAAACAAGGTGCCTTTTTTTCGCGACTGCATCGACGTACTTGTAGTCAACCTCTTTACCCGTCTCAGTATTTATTATGACAAGACGAACACACGGCGGCGGCGTGATTGGGCGACGATCCTAGATTGGAACTGTGAGACAGATGATCAGGGCTCAATGGCAACGAAAGAAACAGACCTTATCGCCAAATCCACACATGCGCGCACGCACAGGTTGTTGCTTCACATCGAGACTATGAAATCGTTTCAGCGGGGTCGCGAAGGAAGTTTGAAGGATTCGCCTTGGTCACAAACCTGTACTTCCAGCCTGATCCTTCTTCAATCTTGGAGTAAGATGGGGGAACGTATTCGGAATCTTTCTGATGGTCGGCAGGGGATGGTCCTGAGGAAGGCGGGGGGGGAGGAGGTTCATCATGTTGCGAAGGAGAAGGGGCGTGTTGCTGGTGCGGATGGGGCCGAGGGTATTGACTCGGCTGAGGCTGTTGATATGGAGCTGGTGCATATGGTGGGAGTTGAGACTGGTGGTGGGGTGGTTGGCTATGATGTTGATGCGAAGATAGCGAGTGGGAAGGTGGCGGCGGCGGTGGATGTTGGTGGTGAGGATGTGGAGCTGACGGCGGAGGAGGTAGAGGAGGATGAGACGAGTGGTGATGTTGACTCGGGGGCGGTAGAGGCGGAGGAGGATGCTGGTGTTGTTGGTAGGTATGAATTGGTGGTGGTGGTACGCTGGAAGAATAGGCAGGGCCTGGGATTCGCTGCGACATGTCGGGCGGGTGATAGGCAGAATTCATTGCGGTTTGCGATCGATAATAAGGTTATCGAGAATTGGTGCCGAGTGTAAGTCTGCGTATAAATATAACATAGAAAGGAATAAAAAGGTTCGGGAGGTAGGTATCCGTAGAGGATGGATGATTTGTGGAGGACGAAGCGAAGAGGAGAAGCTGTGCGGACAAGGCGAGCTATAAGAGCATATGCTCCGACAATTGTTGCGTTGCGTTGCGCTGAATTCCCCTTGGAGTTGGTCCTAAGCCAAAGAGCGAAGAGAAGCGAAACAAGACAAGACCAGATGTCAGTCTTGAGGGGAGAAGAAAGCGCCAGGAGGCGAAGCCACCAAAAGGAGAGGCCGACGATACAAAGTAAGGTAGGATGTAAGTGAAGCAGAGCAAAGTCAGTTAGGTCAAGTTAGGCGCTGGAGGCACTATGTCGTCGATGTCGCGCGGGCGGCGGCAGGTGGAGAACCCAGAAGCCCGACTGAAGGTAAAGTGTAAATTGATGGAAAGTTTGAGGTGGAGCTGGAGGTTAAGCTCCCAAGTGGCGCGGGCCGGGAGCGCTAAAAGGGCTTCGATTCCCTGGCTCAGCTCCGTTATCCCAGGACTTATTGCCGTAATGGTCTCAAGCTCATGAACTCTGATCTCCACGATGATTTCTGTTCTATCCCGACGCAGTGGTTAAGGCATGACATAGCATATCTAGGCGTCCCCGAGAATTAGACACGAATGTCATAGAGGGCTCAGACCGAACCAACCGGTAGCTGAGGCAGCTTAGCGAGCGAGAGAAGCCAAGACCTGTGACTCTTCAGCTCTGGGCTGGGCTGAGTGAGCTGTACTGGACTGGACAAAGACTTTGTTGCGGTTGAGACCTTGACTGAGACCTTGACTGAGACTCGACAAGGACTGGGTCATCGGGTTTTATCAAGTAGGCGTCAGCAAAAGGACGAAAAAAAGAAACGAGACAGGAAAAAGGACCTAGGTAGCACACCTCCAAGAGAGTGTAGTACAAGGTGAATGAACGGGCAAACATCCGCGCAGGCGAGGAAAAGAAAGGTGCATATGAACGAACGCAAGCCGCATGATACCACACTCACAGACAGTAAGTAAAACATGCTGAGCGAGCACACCATCTTCTATTCAAGTTGCTTGGAGAACGTTGTTCCGGTCAGTACCACAGCCAGCCACATTGCTCGCTGAATGACATGACTGCATCCCCGTATGATAACTACTTCTGTTGGGGCTGCTTCGGTTTGTTTTCATACTCTACCTGATGAAGAAACTACCTTGATCGATTCCATGCCCTCGAACCCGCAATGTCTGAATCAAAGGCTTTGTTCAACGTCCTTACCATTGTGTCTCAGCCTGATAAAAGCTCGACCACCTATCGTTCGCCTGGTCGTTGTCAATCCGGTCTAACTTCGGATGGAATCTCAACCGCATGATACATGATACGAATCCAGTGCACAAGGCATTTTGTTGTTGGGCAATTCTAACGACAAGACATTTACAGGAACCCAATTGGGAGTGATTACAGAAAGGCATTGCGGTTACTAACAGAGTAAGTTTGATTGACAAAGTCAATTGAAAGTCTATGTACATTTTCGGGTACAAGTTATTTCAGCATATTCTCAAAACAAAGGCCTCAATTAGCAACTTGAAATGTTTAGTATTGGATATGGACTTCAGAAAACATCCGCATCCATGTATGACTCTATCTTCAGCACCGTGTTATCTGTGTGTCTCCTAATTGGTGGGCCTGTCAACATCTTCCCCCCGATGGTCGGTCTGTGTCGGTGGTGATTTGGTTATGTGGTACCTGATTAGAGCCCCGGCGTATGAAATGGTGCATGCTGGTGCCACAGCCAAATACACGAAGCCCCGCCATCGTCTTGAAGCCCCGCAGTCGGAGTCATTAGCAGTCACCACAGACAATAATAAATTCCCCGACTGCCTTACCTTGCTGTGTGATTTACCTAATTCAAACTACCTATACCTAGTCCAAGGGAAGAAGCATTGCATTGTAGCACTTCTGTAGCCAGCCATGGATCTCGTCAACAGGTTGGTCCGCCCCGTTGTGAGCTTCGCAACGTCAAAATCGTCCCTCAACATCCCACCTTCACTATGTGGTCGCTGATTCAAAATCCCCTCCAGTCTCGAAGGCCGTCTTCTTTTTGCCGTACCCAAGAGTGAGTCGTCTCACATCCTTCCAATCGACATTCTTATGCTCATTCATCACAGAGGGTCGTCTCAATGCTGCCACACTGAACCTCCTCGAGGGCGCCGACGTCCAATTCCGTCGTGAGAACCGTCTCGATATCGCTCTCGTCAAGAATCTCCCCATTGCCCTGATCTTCCTCCCTGCCGCCGACATTCCCACGTTCGTTGGCGAGGGTCGCTGCGACCTCGGTATCACCGGATGGGACCAAGTCCAGGAGCATGATGCCTCAGTCCGTGCCTACAACCACTTGCGACGTAGCTCTGTTGATCTATCGTCATCCGACGATAAGGTTGCTGGCTCTGATATGGTTATGGAATTGGGCTTCGGCAGCTGCAAGCTTCAGGTCCAGGTCCCCGAGAAGGGCCAGTATAAGACCCCCGAGGATCTCATTGGAAAGACAATTGGGACGAGCTTCGTCAACCTTGCTGCCGACTATTTCCTGAAGCTTGAGCAGGGCGAGAATGCACAGGGAGAGCTTTCGCCTCGCAAGATGCGCACCAAGATTGTTGAGTTGAGTGGAAGTGTCGAGGCAGCATGTGCTCTTGGTGTTGCTGAGGGCATTGTCGATCTTGTTGGTATGTGGAATACTCGAGGCTTACTTCACCGACTGTGACGGACCATAACTAACGATCACCGTCTAGAATCTGGAGAGACCATGCGAGCTGCTGGGCTCAAGGCCATTGACACTGTTGTCGACTCTACCGCCGTGCTCATCAAGTCAAAATCGCCTTCCAACCCTGAGCTCATCGACCTCATCACCTCGCGTATCCGTGGTGTTATCACCGCCAAGAGCTACGTCCTGTGCCAATACAATGTCGAGCGAAGCCGTCTGGCTGAGGCAACCAGGGTTACTCCTGGGAAGCGCTCGGCGACAGTTACCACTCTGGACGAGGAGGGCTGGGTTGCAGTCAGCTCTATGGTCGAGAAGAAGAAGATTGCTCTGGTTATGGACGATTTGACCCGAATTGGCGCTCAGGACATCCTTGTCCTCGACATTCACAATGCGCGCTGAAGGAGCATATATGATGGGTTAGGCAAGAAGGCGTTGATATGCATAGGCACCGGTAGGCGTGGGATTCATGGGCAAACGGCGCTCTGGAAAATCAATGGCTGGCTGGTATCAGGCTAAAAAGAGGGGGATTGTAATGCATGGGCTGCATGTAAACGCCATGTCACCTCCATTGTAATGGGATATCCCTATTGAAACTTCAATGACCATTTCCCACACCATGAGGCGAAGATCGGAAATTGTGCCTGGCCGGATCCTGCCGGTACCTGGACTTGGAGCTTGGGCGGAATGATCGACGCTGCATACGTCGTATCACGATGAGGCTGAATGATTTGAGATGGTGGCTTGGCAGAAGAACTGAGGAGGATTCTGCTAGAGGCTGGACAATATGGCTCAGATAGTATATGCGAAACCGACGAAAAGCTCATTTGTCGAGGTTTGAACTGACGAAAAAGCCTTTCTCTTGATCCAATGCAGAGCTTCTCCGCAACAATTACAGGAATACGTAACAAGGATGATTGATGTTGGTGATCGGGAGCTTCGGGAATCCTGCGGGCATCCTGCGGGCATCCATTAGCTAGCAACCTCCACGCGATGACCTCACTAGGGCGGCTACGTAAGTGAGCCACAACCAATTCATAAGCTCTCTGGCTGATTCACTTGATCAGGTGGGCCCTTGGATCAAATACCAACAACGACCCAGAAACAAAGTGTTTGGAATCTCTGTTTGTTATGAACTTGAACTCACATCCACGGTTTAAAACTCGACACTCGTTATAATACACTACCATATTCATTCTCCCATCATGTCCAAATCTGGTCCCCAGCCTGAGAATGTTGGCAATAACCAGCCGTCTACTCTCTATTCTGTAGGTCACTCCTCGTTCAGACATTATCTGTGGTTGTTGCCAAGAGAAGACAGAAAGCGTCTTGTCTTGTCTTCTCTTTGCTTCAAAGTCTCATGATATCAACGAACAAGGTCGTATTCTCCGCTGGTCACAATAACACTGACACAGGTCTTTTTAGCTCGTCATGACGCCTGTCAACATAACCGTCTTCCTCTTCTCACTCCTCCTGGTTGACTTTCGCCATACTGCTGGCCGCAACAACTTCTACGGTACCGGTAACCGGCAAGCGAAATGGGTGCCCCGATGGTTCCTCCAGCCATACCAGCACATTGGCCATAGCGATCATGATGCCCATGGCCGCTGGCACTATCACAGCAAACAGAAGAAGCTCATGAAGATGGAAGCAGACGAAGCGTTTCAGATGCGGTCTACCATGCTCGTGTTCATGGCCGTGGCATTGGCTCTGGCTACGAGTGCTGTCTGGTTCTTGACGAGTCGTCTATATTACGGTGTCGCTTCTCTTGTCGAGCCTCATACCGGGAATCAAACCATCCCGCCTACGGGTCCGTGAACATGACAGGGTGGGGAGAAGGCGGATGATACTTGAAGCTCCGCCGAGAACTAGAGACCCTCTCTGTTTCGCGGGGTGGTATCAACCGTTGACTCCAGACAAGGACCTTACCACCATCACCATACAATTTTTCCCTCCAACTGGCATGCGTCTCTATCGATCTGGGTTCTTGTTTGCTCTTCAACAGCAAAGAGGCAAACTCGCTTGATGATTTCATCGGCGATCACTGTTGTCTCACATTAAGAGCAGCATTTGCACCGTCGTCTTCAGAAACGATCTCCCGGATCTCCAGACATGAGTTAATCATGCATTGGCCTTCAAGCGCTGATCGAAAGTGGCATCATTGTCGCTGTTACTCTGTACACAAGTATTTCAGGGGTGTTTGTGGGTCGTGGCAGGCGTTTCGAACCCCTGCTTGATATCGTGTCCGAGGATATGACACTGTATGAAATGTAATGACGATAATGGATTGGTTTTTTTTTTTTTTGGGGTCTCAGACAGCAATGAAGGCCTAAAAGTTTGATTGTGTTTGAATTTGAATCTGAAATTTGGCAAGATTATTCATCTTTGATGCCATACCGAATCGTTACTCGGTCAAGAATTGAAGAATAACCATGTAAGTCACACGAACGCCGTCTCTTAAAAATTCCCTAGTTTGACCTGCCAGACATCCAAAAGGCAAGCCTAACACCACATTAAATCCCCAGAAATTGTAATCTTCGACGTGTAAATCATAAAGCAAGATCTCATGTCAAAGTATGCGTATCAAGGCATTAACCGATGCGCTCCTCCACACTGCCCCAGTAGACAATGGGCCTGGGCTCAAGCAGGCTCAACTCACTGCCGAAGCTCTTGCGTTCAGCCTCTAGATGCAATAGAGAAGGCTGTCGCGAGATGATGCTGTTGATGGCAACGACAGGGGACGAGCTGGTCGTGCTGACTGATGAGTAGGAAGCCTGGGTGGAGGTGGAGGCTGATGAGCTGCGACGCAGAGAGTTGCGCAGACGAGAGGGTGAGAAGCGAGAAGTCATGGTTTCGAAGCGGGAGGTGTGGGCCATTGTGTGAGAGTTTCAAGATGAGTTGAGAGTGAATGCGTTGTCGCGTAACAGTGAAATCTGGTATTGGCGTAATAGGCGTGGCGTTGGTGAAAATGATCGTGATGGTCGTTGAGATGAAAAAGCTAACGAGCAACTTGTCCAGCAGTTGTCGTATGATAAAACAGATTTGTCAATGAGTGAACGAGTTCAAGAAGTAGAAAAGAGAGGCACAGCCTGTCGAATGTTTCTATCAGACTCTTGGTCTTGTCTTGTCAACAAGCAATGAGCGAGCGATGGTTCTTTGGGCAACACAAAGATAGAAAGGCAAGCAAGAGGAAGAAAAGCAAGAGGCAGCACCTTCACCTTTATCTATCAATTCACTTTCGACAACGGGCACGAGACCCAGAAAAGAAAGTGGCAGTGTAGAAAAGAGAACCACAGTCCTTGCATCAGGGTATGTCAGGGGCTCGGAATGTGGGCGCACGGATTGTTTCAACCTCGCAACTAGCGGCTGAAACAGTCGCATTGTCCGTCAATTCACTTTGAGTTGGAACCTCAGCAGGATTGCGAAGCAAGGGTGTTTTGTCGCAGGCATCCGTTGATCAGACAAGCGTCAGGTCTCCAGTCTCACACCTTGCTCTTGCGTATCACCGCACTGGGCTACACGGAGGCCGTCTTGGTACCCGAACGTTCTGTGCATGAAAAATGTATGTCTATTTTGAATCTTGATCGACCGAAACTAGATACCGGGGGTAGCCTTGTCTCCCCCCCTGTTGCTCATGTATTGATTGCCCTGGAACGCCGTGCTCAGCTTTGAATTATGCCATGAGTTCGCTTTCCTGAATGCAACCTCCATTGATGCCATGTGCATGATCGCATTGTTTCACCACCAAAATTGGACTTCCCTCCTCCTCACAAGTAAGTTCCATGTCAACCGCAACTTCAACTCCTCCATCGCTTCCTCCTCAGTGGAAACCATCATACCCTTGTGAGCCCCTGTTCTGTGTTTGTCGGACTGTGGCGTTGCGGCGAATACTCTCGCCCCAAACCGAGTCGTCAAGCATTCCACGGACTTGCACAGGGCTAATGGGGTCCAAATGATTGCTCTCACGGCCCGAGGGCGCTGACGATCTTGCTTGCGTCGTCGATTGTTGTTGTTGCTCATGTGGATCATCCTCCTCGATCTCAAAGCTAAAGGCTAATGGTTGCGCAGGTGTTGTGGGTGATGGAGGCGCGGCCCTGGGGAAGCTGAGAGGATGACTCCACGATGTGTCGTGCAACGATAGATCCACAGATCCCAGCCAGTTGCGTGGCTCGCCTGCGTCAACACTCGATGGACGCGAGGCTGGTGAGAGGGGAGATCTCGGTCCTGCTCCACCTGTTTCATCGTCGCTCAGATCGTTCTCAACAAGAATCTCCGGAATGTTCAGCTGTGGAACTGCCGTCATGCGGGCCGAGTGCTTTCGTAGCATATGTTTCTTGAATTGTCTTGAATAATATCTGTGTTGATGGTGAGCAATTTTCCTTTCCTGGGTTCGGCTATAGATAGCTTACAATGTGTCGAAGAAGCCCAATACCACGCCACGTCGGACTTGGTCGTCTACTCGCTGGAGACGAGCTCGACGCCTTAGGAACTCTTCGAGTCTTTGCGGTTTTTTGTCAGCCTTGGTGTACAGATATGCGGCAGGTCGGATAACTTACTTCAGGCTCTTGTTATCACTGATGATGTTATAGTGAGCAAGAATCATCAAAACACTCGTGAAAGAGATGCCCCTGTCGGGATCTGCGGACACCAAGACCTCCTCGTAAAAAATGTTAAAGCGCCGACGCTGGTGGCGCACCTTCTCCACGTCAATCCTCCTCAGCCGTGCATTGAGTTTGTTCAGGTCAATGCCACTGAATCCGCTGGTTGTCGCAATGGACGAGTGATGTGTGAGTTTCACATCGTCCCTTATATCTTCCAAAATAGAGTGAACGCTGTCCTCTGGATCATAAATGCGCATCTGAAAGACGCCTGAGAGCTCGCCAAGAAGACGGGGAAAGGCTGCTTTCGTGATATACCCAGTACCTGCTGGGTCAACGCTTCGCCAAGCTTCTTTGAACCGTCGAATCTCATCGCGATCAACAACAGCCATGCCACTCGAGCGTTGAAAGACGTAACTGAAGCTCTCGTAGATGAGTGACACAAACAGGTTCACAAAGATATACATACTGACGATGTTCCATGCGATGAACAGGATTCTGGCCCACGATTGGCTACCACAGTCACTGTCGAAGAATCTAGGCTCGTCAACGCAAAGTGGCGGCTCTATGCTGGCATAATCTTCCATGACAGCATTCCATCCTTCACCTAGACTCATCCTGAATAGCAGAATCAGGGCTTTGGGGACGGTTCGGAAATTTATGTTTTCCGCAGTCTCTTCGCCAAATCGTGTCAAACTAAAAGCTTGAGTCATGGCAATGGCGAAGACCAGGAAGAATACCAGCCAGGTGGCAAGCAAGTTACCAATAACTGTCAGACTAGCAGCGGCCGTCTTGAACAGCTGGTCCAGTGCATCGTTGCGAGGAATGAGGAGGAGTACAATGGCGACCAAGAACACCTTATGTAGCTGGACATAGGTTTCAATCTCAGTGTCTGATATGAGTAACGCGAGAGTTGAAACAAATGCCCCGAAGACAATGAACAGAGAGTAGAGATCCCACGAGCTTCGTCGGAAACGCACCCAGCCCAAGCCAATGATACGAATTGCAATGTTAGCCGTGTATGCCACGATGAAGGCGAAGAAAACGAAGTCGCGATATCGCGTCCACCACCATGGCTCACTGGCGAATTCCGAGACAAGCACGATCAAGTGCAGTACTAGAACAACGGTAATTGTCTGGTACCACTTACCCTTCTTCTCGATGGCTCTCTTGTGGCACCATTTCTTCCAGCTCTTCTCAGAATCGTCATAAGAACTCTTTGAAGGTGAAATTTGTCTGAGGATCTTTCGTAATTCGAGCCATGACCGTTGTTCCGCAGTCAAATAAGCGACACCTGTCTGTTCGGTATAATTCCGCATGAAAACAGAGATAAAGAGCGTGAGTACGAAGACGGTGGCCAACAGATTGAATACGACAAGGAAGATGGCATTGCCCTCTGACGCTAGGTCTTGGGGCTGCTTCATGCGGCCGGTAATGGCTTGAACAGTAAAAGAGACGTCTGTCCATCCCTCTTGACTAACAATCTGGAATAGAATAAATAAAGATGCCCCAAAATCGTCGAAGCTGAAGAAGGGGTTCGCTGCAACACGCGGAGCAAGCATTGGCCAGTCGTCGCTAAATGGTGTGCTCTCGAACTCGCCATAGCAATTATCCATGGTATTAATTCCGTCGCCACCATCGTTACAAGACAAAAGTAAGCCATTGAATAGGTTGAGACCATAAATGGCAAACGGGATGAGCAGAGACATCGAGACAAACGCGGCCTAGGAAAGCAATTAGCAAAGAACACGGCTACAGGTAAGGAGATGGCAACTCACGCCTAGAATTTTCCACCAACCAACGATAATGAGATCGTGAAATGTGTTTCTAGCGCTGTTGCTAACATTCAGCAGTCGAAGTGCACGAAGTGCCTTGAATGCGCCTATTGCTCTGGAAATAGCGCCGTCATTGATGAGGAGCGTAACAACATTGATCCACAGAGTGACCAAAACAACTGAGTCCATGAATCCCCAGGAACTTCGCAAGTATGCATTGGGGGTCCACAGGAGTCCGTCCGCAATGATCTTGATCGCAGCTTCAACAGTAAACACAATCGCAAAAGCCATGTCTGTCCAGATGTACCAATTCCTAATACTGAACTGATGTTGTTCTTGATACTCCTTCTGATAAAGAGGAGTGGTCACACATGCGAGGACGACCATAGCCACGATTGCCGCGTAAATGAATATCGTGAAAGAATACCAAAGGAGGGTATCGGGAACTACACCATCAATGCGCTCAATGCCCCGAGAAGGACCAACGACCCGCTGACAAAGACGGCGCAGGCTGTTGTTGGGTGGAAAGATGTACAAGGAGGTATTGTAATTTGGGTACTTTGCAAGATACTCTCGCTGAGCCCTCTTTCGAGTCATAGTGGCAGACATGGCCTGTTCAGCCATTTGTCGAGGATCTGAGGTTTCGTTCGCGCCGTCAAACCGCAAGCTTGAATAAAAGGGGTTGGGCTCTTTGTCGCTGAACCACCCTTTCACCCGTCCCCACATGGCAGAGAGGCGGCCAGGCTTGATCTCACCACCCAACAGCGTAGTTGCGCTTCTAATAGGGGCATGGTGCAACCGGTCCTCCTCAGGTTTAGGATTCATTTGATCATCCAGAAACTCGCGGACCACCGCATCTTTGAGAAGCATCTCGACTGTTGCTGGCCCGTAGTCAAGGGGGTCCTTATTTTTGCGATGTTTGGACAGGCCGAATATTGTAGAAAGGGCCAGGTTGCTAGATGAAGCTCCAAGGTCTCGCCTTTGAAGAAAAGCCTTGACTTGTTGAAGCCGTTTCTCGTCTTCGGATACATCAAAGTTCTCCTGAATTACAGCAATGAACATGTTGATGAGAATGAAGAAAGCCACAATGAACCAGCCAATGAGTAGAATAGCTCCTATCCATGAGGTATTCTTGTGCCTAGTGTAGGAGGTGACAGTATAAAGAATATCTGTCCAATTCTCACTTGTCAGAACTTGGTACATGCCCAAGAAGGAGTTGTAAATAGTGTAGAACGAGATACGATTGAGCTCGCCATCTTCATACACGGGAATTTCGCCTCTGAATAACTGCGCAGCAAAAATCGCCACCAAAAATGTCATCAGAAACACAAAGAACATCAGGTTTCCGATACCAGCAGCATTGCCCAAAACGAGGAGAATAAGCTCCCTTGTCACTGGTATTGCTAACACAATACGATAAACTCTCAGGATTTGGAACACCGTCAACCACCAATACGCTCTGGTATAGCGAATAGGGGGGATTAATATGATGGAGGTGATAATCGCAAGGCCGAGGTCGAAGAGGTTACGCCAACTTTTGTGGAAGTAATTCCAATCAGTCGCAATTCGAAAGATCATCTCAATATCGAGAAGAATGGTAACGATGATCTCTGCAGTGTTGATGAAGCGCTCTCTTCTTGCTGACATGGTTGCGCTGCGGCAGGCCTGGCATAGCAACCCAAAAGTGATGATCAGAATCCACACTGCACGGGTTTTATGGAATATGCGTTGTAAAGAAGATGTTCGGCGAATTCTCTCGTCAGATCGAGCTTGCACCGGCGATTCCTGGCTGACAGTGAATGCACTGGCTTTACTCTCTTCACGAATGACCTGGAAGGATGAGGTAATGACAGCAATCAACAAGTTCGTCAACCACAGCATCATGATCATGATGCCTGCACCAAAAAAGAGAGCGGCCTGGACATAATCCGAGCTCATGGTCATGTACATAAGATCGGAGAAGGTGTTTGCGCTCATGATGACAAACACAAGTTCCAGGGAGTTGAAAATGTTGTCAAAATTGACCGTGCCATTGTGCGGGTTGGATTGCTGAAGACAAATGGAACCTCGAGGACACAGAAACCCCTTTCCTTCGTTGGTTCCATTCATAAGGTCCGTCAAGGACTCTGAATTGTTGAACTTGAGCCACGGCATGGTTTCGCCCGTTTGGTTGTTCAAGTAACCGCCACAAAAAGCTTCCTCGTTTGTGTAGGAAGCATCAAGGTCCGTAGGATCAAGGGGGTCAAGCCACACGCACTGCCGACTCAAACTGGCTTTGAAACTCTGGACCCCTATAATTGCAAACAGAAGCCAGAAGAATGTGAGGAGAAATGCAACTCGAACGAGTAAAGGCGTTGCTTTCTTCAAACTCCTGAGAATAATCTAAGAATTCGTAAGCGTGCTTGTTGATATGTTCAAGCATCATGATAACCTTACCGCAGTACCGTTCGTTAGAGCAAGTAATCTCAAAATTCGTAAACAACTCAGCATTCGAAATGCATAAAGATCGTGTTTAGTTTCAAGGCCAGAAATGCTCAAGCAGAAAGTGATCCAATACGAGACAACGGCAACAAAATCGAAACGGTTGAAGGAATGGCGTAGAAATGCTCGTCGAGCAAGCTGAAACCTTTGGTGCTCTTCCAGAGTTCTTGGCAATGCTTGCTGGCCTTGCATAAATGTTGTAAAAGATCTTGAGATTGCTGACGGTTCCGGTCGATATTGCGACTTCTTCTTTACGGATTTTATCCGCTCCGGTTGGAAAACAGCACGATACTGGTCTGCTATTGCGGCTCGGATTCCCCGTTTACGGTCAATTGTACTGTACTCTGCTGCGTTCAACACGAAGCCAGACACAATAATACGCGAGATAATCTCCAGAGTGAAGATAATGAAAAGAGCAAGCATAGCCCAATCAATAGGATGCTGTCCCCATCTTTCTGGGCGTCCATTCTCAAATACATTCGGAGCAGCCTCAACTGCGAGAAGAATAGCCTGCAAGACTATCAAAAGAAGCAAGAATGGCTCCGTATATGGGTTGACCAAGAGGTCGCAGAGTCGTAGTCTCAAAGGGTTGTCCGGTGAGAAGATTCCCAGAGACTTTCCTTTCAGAGGATTTGGTAAAGGAGGCCTCGGTATATCTGGCTCAGCTTCGGTCACATTAAAACGTGGTTCTGTAGACTTTTCGCTTGACGACCGAACCAACTGTGGTTGATACGAAGTATCGGCAAACATCGAATTCATCGTATCCCGATTCCTATCTTGATCATGTCTACTAGGTGAGCGGGAGCGATGCCTCGATGCACGATGATCAATGACTTCTGTCTCTCCGCTTATGTTGACAACTCTCTGTGACATTGCCCGCACAATCGAACCAGCACGGGACAAAGCGCCCGATGTAGAAGGCGACCTTGACCTTCGATATTCGTTAGGATTAAGAGAAGCGCCAAAGTTACGATTTCGAGTTGAGCCATAGCTTGCTCTTAAATCTTCGCCGAGGCTTCTCGTATTGCGACCGCGCGACGGGCTGTTTTCCAAACTTGAAACTGTTTGAAAACTGTCTCGATTTCGGTCATCCAAATTACTGGCAGATAAAGAACCAGAGATGGGCTCAACTCCAGCTGTCAACGGAACTCGATCGGACTCGGCGTAATCGGTACTCGGCGCATCTTCGATATAGGGAGCAGGCGGGTCGTATGTACGAACCGGTGTAGAAGGCATTGGAGGACTTGGCTGATGGTGATCCATACCCGGAGGGAGCGCAGCCTGTAGAGCCATTGGATCTATAGGTGACCCTGGGCTAACATCGTCGTCGAAACGATCGTAGGGTTGGTCCCAATATGTTGAGATACCAGGAAGATTGGCAGACATTTGAGGAACGTCGGGCGGAGAAACTGAGCTCGGTTGTTGCCGTGACAGACCAGCTTGCGTCTGTTGATTATCGAGATGCGATCCGTCTAAGTTCTGAAGCGGAATAGACAGGTGCCGCGCAGGGCGCCCGTCTTGATCCCAAGAGTGTGAAGACATGGACCAACGAAAGGACTAATGACCGCCAATGCGGTCCAATGTCATGAAGAATAGTGATTATTAGTACTACTACCAGAATGAAGCATCGTTAGCGCTTCATGAAAAAAAAAAAACGATAGAGAGCGTGAACTAGGTATGGTTTAGAGGTATTCGTAGAAGCAAAGAGGTAGCCAGTTCGCTACATCCTAATCAGGAGTCCTAGGATGCCGTAGGACGGCTGGATGTGACAGTAAGCTCCCGCTTACGCACTGTACACACAGCAGCTTCTTTGGCAGAGTGCAATGAAATGCCGTGTGCTTTTTATAGAACAAGGTTTCTGCTACAGTGTGGAGAGTTTCATCCCCTGGAAAAATGGAGGTCGTAAGCTGAATTCCCAGGTTGGCCAGCCAGGGTAGTCGAAAAGTGATACGAGTGGCATGTGCTTGTGGCTGAGTGCGCCACAGCTCGTCCCAGCTTTTCGCGACCTAGAAACGCCTAAACACGCTTCTGACAATTGTGACGCGACTGACTAGCATCCTGACATCGACATCATCAACTTTTTTCTTCAACCATGCCGTCTCGCAAGCGCTCGCTTGCGGCCATCGATGGCGACGATGGTGAGACAGAACACTCATTACAGCATCGCATCCGTAATATGTGGCAGTTTGCGAACCTTTGCCAGTGGATATACATATTTGGCAAGGCTGCGAAAATCGACGAAGCTATTGATGTTGAGGTATGGCCACACAGCAGCCCAGTTCTTCATGAAAGCGATAGGGGCACAAACTAACACATTTCATAGGAAATTGAAACGGAATGCCTCAAGCCGAACTCGAGTATCTTGGCAGACATTGCCCTCGCCCTCCTCAAACTAGTTTCGTCGCATCGTGGTTTAACGTACGTTTCCAGGAATTGGGAGATGCTGTTTTTTTGCTAATGGTGATTCGAAGGCATGAAATTTTCGATGACCAAGCACGAAAACAATTTACGAAGAGATCGCCGAACTACAACCCCTTCGGTTTTGGTGAAACACCCCTCAAATTCAACGATTTCGACATTTTTACCAAGGTAGGCTATGAAGAAATTGCGAGGCCCGGTCAGTGATCCAGGCTAATATACACTGTCTGGGTAGATCAAGGTCATGCAACAACTGACTCAATGGGCCATGATCCATCCTGAGCGCATTCGGGATAAGATGGAAGAGCAAAAAGATAGCGAGCAAACAAGTTGGGTAAGTTCACGTCTCAACAAAAAGGGGGTTAGCCACTAACAGAACTCCAGCGAATAGAACCATATGGTTGGGATGCAGATGACAGAACCTACTTCGTGCTGGACGATAACCGAGTGTATCGGCTTACAGAACCTCCGATGATTACGAAACCCACCAAACCGAAGAAATCCAGAGCATCGTATGGAAGTCGGCGCTCGAGCAAAAGACGACGCACGACCTTGAATGCAGAAGAAGAAGTGGCTGAAACGGATCAAGAAATCAAAGAAGATACGCCTAGCGAAGATGATGGCCTGGGTGGAATGACATGGGAATGTCTCGCCGTAACTCTGGATGATGTACGATCTGTTGTGGATGGTTTTCGGAAGACGCGTGACGAGAATGAGAAAATCCTGCGCGACCAACTAGAAAAACACCTTGTTCCTATCCTTGAAAAACAAGAACAATCTCGGCAACGCAGAGAGTTACAGCGAGAGCGAGAGCTAGCGAACGCTGCCAAAATGGCGAATGCAAAACGATCGAGTCGAATTGCTGGGAAAGTTGAACAACAGAGGCAGGAGGAACAGACTCGGGAGGAAGAACGACACCGAAAGGAAGAAGAAGCAAGCAAACGACGAGAAGAATTGGCGCAAATTAAAATGGAAGAGGAGCGCGATAAAAGACTGGTGTCTCGTGAACAACGGTTACGAGAACGCGAGGCACGACGCGTCCAGCATGAGGAAGAACTTGCACAACTCTCCGAAGACAGCAAGAACTTATCAAGTAGCAGCGGACGAGTATCTGAACGCCGTCTTCAAGTTGAAATTGAGAAAAACAAGCAAGCTCTGAAGGAGCTCGAGGATGAGGAAGAAGATTGGATTTTCGACTGCACTTGTGGTCTCTATGGCCAAGTGGACGATGGAGCTCACAGCGTAGCTTGCGAGAGATGCAATGTCTGGCAGCATAGTCAATGTGTTGGACTGAGCGAAGCAGCAGCTGACCAGCCAGAATTCCACTATATCTGTGCTTCTTGTATTCGGCGCGAACAAGAAGCCAAACGGCCCAGACCAACTATCAAGTTGAAGCTCAATCGTCCACCTAACTCCGGCGCCCGGCCAGATCCATCTCGCTCTTCGAGTCACTTAGGGTTATCCCTTAGTGGGGAGGCTCAGAAGGTCAACGGGACAGGAGATGGAGATCACGACGCATCTAACGGCAACGTTGAACATAGCTTGGCTCCATTGACTTCCACCCCTGGTACTAATGTCAATGGCGTTGGCTTCACAATTAGTATGATGGACGCCCGCTCAGAGGTGAGTAAGGAGGTGCTTGGCACACCCAAAGGGACACCGGTGATTCCGGCACCTGTCAAGCTAGATGCTAGCATCCAGGGCAGCCCATCACGCAGTACGTCTATGACCACCCCGATGACGTCCTTCCGGACACCTAGTCCTTCGAAAGGTATCGACAGCTTCCAGGGGGATAAAACAGCTGAGTCGGCGTTGAGCACACCTCAGATCAGCCGCGAGATATATCGAGCAGCTCACGAGCAGAACGGAACTATACCTTCTATCGCTGGGCTCTCCCCAACCAAGCATTCACCACCCCGCCCCATCGATTCGGCCAGCTCGAATAGATTCAAGGCTGCTACTCCAATACTTCCTCCAGTCGCACTATCACCCTCTCCTCAACATCAGATTTTGACTCCGCCAATCAAACCATCGGAGCCACCAAGACCGTTTGAAAACCGATGAACGCTCCAAACACGGGGATTTAATAAGGCATGGGTCCTGGTCAACGCCATGACTGTGTTAGGAAGTCTTCTAAACCATGTTTAGGCATGATATGAGACTTATCCCTAAGCCATCTCCAACAGCAATACAAGCACAACCAATACGATAATAGTATTAACAAGAAGAAGATGAGTCTTTTTCTCTCATTGGAGAGGGATAGAGCTATTCAAAACAATTGCCTGTCATGGGGCCTCAAATGAGAGGATGGCACAGGCAGGTCGAATCACACTTTCCCCCATCTGCAAGGACTCTATAATCGTCTCCAGATCAAACTAGGCAAGTGAGCGACCAACAGGATTTGTGATCTGAAGCACTGCAGCAACGCGAGACGCGAATGGCCGAATCTATGCCGAAAATAGGGTGTCTATCAACATTGCTAGGCGTGATGAAAATGATGGTCAGGAACAAATGGCCAAAGCTTCGAATAGAAGCCTGTTTCTTTTTTGGACGCCAGGTCGGAATAGTCTTAAAGGCAGAGATGATCTGCCAAAACAGAACCAACAGACCAGGCTGGCACAGGGCTAGATCAGGCTGGGCAATTATGGATTATTTGGTTGGTTAGTCGTTCGGCTACCGCGACACATCAAACAGACGCTGCCAGCATGACTGCGAGTGGCCGCTTGGTCCCAGTTATCCGGCATTTGAAGCAAACATGCTGCAGCCTTCCACATAACAAGCCTGGTAGGGCATGGCAGGGCAAGACAGCTAATGGAAGCAAAGCAAAACAGCGGTGGACAGGAGCTGTCGGAGTATCAGGATGGCACGGCGCCTTTGGTTATAAGTAAGAGAACATTACGGATAATAGATCGAGATCGATTCACCAAACAATAGGAAGTCAACAACGTCTCAAGTTGGGATGATTGATGACAGCCAGAGGGGCCGGATGCGCACATCAAAGGAATGCGCCGTGGCTGAACTAGTGGCATGCGAATAAGGCGGCGCAGGGAAGCACAATCAAAAGTATGACATTCTGTTTCTATTGAATGGATTGCGGCTGGACGCCAAGCGGCCCCATCTCTTAAGCTCATAGGGCTTCTATTCTATCTGTGTTTCTCCATGTTGGCCCGGGTGTAGTGTGGTGGGTGGTAGAGGGTGGAGGATGCCGGCCAACGACACATGTAAATGCAGCTTGGAGAGGTCTACCACTCTGGTAACGGTCCGCATTGCGGTCTGTTTCCCAACAGGACAGTCGTCTGCTCCGCTCTCTTTGAACTTAGGGGCATCAGGTCGTTGCTTGTCTATTTGTGGGCATGGTCCTGGCGTTGTAGACATATCTATGGTATCAGAATGTCCCAAGCACATACAAAACCACTTGTGGCAGCTCAATGAAATCCGACAAAGACGCCCTTGCTGAGTGCTCTATCTTCAGGCCGCTTAAGACCAACATAGCTACTGTCAAAAGATCAGACTTTATCTCTTCATCTACATTGTGCTTCTTACAAAGTCCACTTGCCGTTGTTCACTATAGTACCTGTGTCGTTCCATTGACTCCATCAACAACAACAACAACGCAGGACTCTTCTCCATCCTTGCGTCCCGTTTCTAGCCAAAATCAATATCTAAGAGCGGCGGAAGACACGCGGCATGCCGCAACAGATCCTTCCAACTCCGCCATCTTCTTCTGACGGCTTCTCTCAGCAGCCAGTGGCCATGGAGTCACACACCTCGCATCCTCAAGGCTCTATGAGCCCAGAACAAAGCTTTGCCGGCTACTCTTACTCAACTCGATACTCTACTCCCGTTCGTGACGACGACTCTTCTGTGTATGAGCCATCAACTGTCTATTCTCAAGGCAGCGATGTTTCGTTTGTAAGTCCAACAGGTCCAGACTGGTTGTCATCATAGCTAACCTGCGACAATAGCAAGGTTATGCTGGAGGTCTAGGTATCACAAGTAACCCTTATGGTCCTTTGACCGATGAGATTGGCTACAATGTAGGTTGCACGAGAGCACAGGAAGAGCCAACAGCTGAGCCAACGAAGCAGAACCATCTCCCGTACACTCCGGAAGCGTCGCCTTCAGCACCTTGCCCATCTAGCGATGCAATTACGACCCGCAGTGGTCTCAATATCGCTAAGAAATCGCTTATTTCACGATCACCAGCAGTGAAAACTGGTCGAGTTCAGAAGAGAAGCCGTGCAGAGAAAGCCAAGAATGCCACCAACATGCTTTCAAAACCGCTTTCCGAAGCCGCCAGAGACTTTCCCGATATTCATGTCTCTGACATCGAGGCCTTTGTCAGTCGGCCAACTGAAGAGAGACTGTCGGAAACTTCGCGTAACAAGAAGGCTGGTCAGATCAAACGTCCCATGAATGCTTTTATGCTATACCGAAAGGCGTACCAGGAAGTCGCTAAGACGCAATGTTCTCAGAACAACCACCAGCATGTCTCAAAAGTCTGCGGTGCCGCATGGGTTTTGGAGCCAGCGCAAATCAAGGAGAATTTTGATCAATGGGCCAGAATAGAGCGTGTGAACCATCAACGAGCACACCCCGGATACAAGTTCACACCCTCAAAGCCACGAAAGGTCAAACGTGATGGGGATGGTAATGACGACTATTCAGACAACGACTCAGGCTGGAACGGCGGAGGTGGTCGGAAGTCCAGATTCCGCCATGCTACACGACTAGGCGAGACACCAGTCGCCTACGATGCTGCGAGTAATGCGATCGGAGAGCCAGCCATACCATCTTACCATGACATGTATGTTAACCCGGCTTCAGGTCGACCCCATTCACTGTCATACGATGATATCACACCCAGCCCTTTTGATATGGGCATTCGTCAGTACAGTGGTCTCAACATCAACAACGAAGTAATCAGCAGAACCCCTTCTCCTGGTGCCATCGACTACCCTGTACACGGGCTTGATGGATTCGCCAACTACTACGGACCACCTGGATCAAGCTTTGACAATGCCGCTCCCCATCTCTTCGGACCTGCTCAGTACGATATTTATGATGGGATCCCTGCCACCGTCCCTTTTGACCAAGAAGGCTGGGTGTCTCACGTGGAAAGTGGTCAAGGCTTGATGCCAGTCATGGGTGGTTACGAAGACACCACAGCACAAGACGTGTACCTGAAGGGAAGCAAGGATGATTGGAAAGTCGAAATCATGGACGAACCTGGTCACTTCGAGGATTGGTATGCACAGACCGAGCAGGGACTCCAGTGATGAATGGCGTCATGATGTCGCCGTGTAATTGTAGCAATTTTCCCTTGTGTGTTTTACTATTTGGGTGAACGGATTCGAGCATCATACATTGGATCAAGCGGTTTGATTTAGACTTGGTTTTCCTTGTGGCTATTTTTAAAAAAAAAAAATTGTCAGGTTTTTGGCAAACACTATGACTAGGATTTTCCTATCTTAATGTGTAATTCGAATCATTCCGTCTTTGAAAGCTAACACTGTCTGTGGTGTGCATGGGTGGAGAATGGCATAGGCTTAGTCATTGGATGCTAGTACCCATGTCTACATCTAGGAGCCGTGACTTGTCCCCAAGACGACGTCCATCTTCATCGCAACTGTGACCGAGCTGTCTGATTCCAACACAGGATGACTTGGATCTCTAAAACAGTGACCGTTACTGGTCTAGTCCTCTTAGCACATGCGTAAGCTCGGCAATTCTTGGTATTTTAGCAGGAAACTGACAATCACTCCAGATGCTACTCCGCGCAAGAGCACTCCGTCATCTCGTCAACAGCGGTGCATCATGGCCAACCGCAGCCGCTCGCAACACACTCGCTCCCAATCGACATATCTATCGAAGCACTGGTAGCGACTTTGATCATTGTCCTGGGCTTGGTTCTGGGAACTCCAAAGCTTCGACCTATTAAGTGGCACGAGTGGGCTGGCAAGATTGAACGCGAAGGAGAGGCTGGTTTCCAAACAGGAAGTGGCGAGGTGGAAAAGGACTATCGGGGAAACCCTTTCAGTGTGCTTGAGACGAGGCCAGGTTTCATTGACATCCGCAAGCAGCGCCGTGAATTTACGAGCTGGGTCAAGGCTGAAGAGAAGTGACGACAAGAGCTCAGACACCTAAGATGGGCGACATCACACCCTTATCGATATGACGGAATTCTATCTTAGCAAAATGAAGCGCTGTTGACGAGCGACCAGCCTCCAGAACCAAATAGAGTCTATTCATATACCTGCATGACCACATTCAATACTGTATTAGTCAGTTGCACCGATTGGAACAATAGGTCCCATTCAAAAGAGTGTTGGTACTTGCCACAAATACTCGATCGTTCATGGATCTCTTTGCATTAGGTAAAATTTGCGATCGAGTTCCTTCCACATGTGTGTCCTTCCCATGATGACAAAGGCCAAGAGGAAACTTAGGGCTGCCATGAAACTTCCAACGCACTGGGAAATAACTGAAGCAGTAAACGGCACCTGCCTTGACTTGCATAGACAACTACGGAAGGTCACTCCCGTCCTGATCTCTCCTCTTGTCATTGGATGCCTGCTAATTGCACGGCGCGGTAAACTCATCCTTCTCCCTCCCCGCATATTCCTCTGGTCTTCCGGCAACAAGCCTATTAAATCCACTCGGCCAATATGCCCAGGACGCCAGGCTCGAGTGCTTCTAGCTCGAGTCGTCGTGGCCGAGGCCGAGGCCGAGGAGGTAGAGGTTGGAGAGGCCGCACATATAACCGCAGAAACAGTGGCGGTTTGTCCTCCAGAGGTGGCTCAACACGGTCGCGAGCTCGCGATCCTTCTTCATCAATCCGCTTCAGTTCTGTTTCTCAGAACCAAGGACATTATTCAGATCCACAAGAACCGCAGACGCCCAATGCCAACACTCGTGCTCGAAGCAGCAGTGAGCCCATTCAACATGAAGTTGTCATGGCCATCGATCTCAGGGAGAATTCCACCATTGGGTGCGCATATTTCTCAACTACTGACGGGATTCTACATGTATCTGAGGACATTGCCACGGCTTCACTCGACATTGCGGAGCAATTCCTTATCCACATCCAACCAACCAGTCTTCTTGTATCTGCAAGAGCATCTGCCAGTTTCCGCGACCATCTGGAGAAGACCACTGCGTCAGAAGGTCAGCGAAAATAGATGTATCTTCCAATTCGTAGGACGAGCAACTGACGATAGCCATGCACAGGTACCTCAAAAGGGGTCATTTTCCGCGGCTTGCAGTCGTCAGAGTTCTCAATCGAAACGGCACACGAACGACTTGTCAGCCTCGATTCTCAAGCTTTATCTGCTACTGGTATTGTATTCTCCACAGGGATTGAAAAGGATGGAAGTGAAGAATCCATACCGGGTCTTTCCCAGCCCGAGTCGCAGGCATTCCGTCAACTTCGCTATGGAGGCTGCATAAACATGAATAGCCAGGTATCAGTAAGTGCACACTTTTATGATTGTGACTGGGATGCTAATATGTTTTAGGTAGGATGTGCTGGTGCTTTACTTGGCGATATTCTTCGTCGACGATCCGCTGGTTTTCTCCCTGATGGACAAGTTGCCGGAGTTCTCTTTCGTGTTGTTGACATTCGCATGTTTTCCCTTAATACTTACATGTATGTCAGTACTGACGCTCTCTTGTCACTGCAAATTCTGCAGACCGAATTGCACCCCAATAGCCAAGCGTGGGGACCAGATGCGAACAAGAGCAATTCGAAAGAAAGTCTTTCAGTATATGGACTGTTCCATCACCTGGCTTGTACCCCTCAAGGTCGTACACAACTACGCCAACTCTTCCTTCGACCCCTGTTGGACCTCGACATCATTTCGGAGAGGCAGAGGACCATCGCAGTATTGCTTCAACCAGACAACGCCGACAAACTTGCACAATTGACTTCGACCCTACGAAAAATTCGAAACATGCGCACCACGCTAGCGCAGTTGCGAAAAGGCATTGAGTTTCCCTCCGCTGGTCATTCTTTCGATAGGGGCGTATGGGCAACAATCCAGAAGTTCACCGCCCAAGCTCTGACTCTCAGAGACACGATAGGCTTGTTTAATGGAGGCTCTGATATAGTGATCTTCAAGAAAGTAAGGAGCTGCTACAAGAAGTGATCTAACGGTTTAAGCTAATAGTATTGACTAAGCTCATTCATACTCTCGAACCGGCCAGCTTAGTAGTTGTTGGAGACATGATCAACAAGACAATCGATTTTGAACAGTCCAAGGCACGACACAGATCCTCCGTCAGAACCGGAATTGATCCTCAACTTGACGAACTCAAAAGACGGTATGACGGGATGGACAGCTTCCTGACAGAAGTTGTCAACCAACTCAATAGGGAGTTACCACAATGGGCACGCAAGCATGTTCGATCGTGCATCTTTCTGCCACAAATAGGTTTTCTCACAGTGGTGGAATCAAATCGCCTGACAGGTAACGGGCAATATGAAGGAGAGGGGACAGCTGTTGGAGCCTGGGAAAAGTTGTTTACTGCGGACGGTGCAGTGTGCTACAAAAACAGCTACATGAGAGAGTTAGACGAGGAATATGGGGACATGTATTGCCAGATTGGAGGTAAGCTTGTTGACAGTAGCGCTTTGAAGGCTTTAACTCACGCAAGGCAGATCGGGAGGTAGAGATTATACATGGTCTTGCAGGTAAAGTTTTGGAGCACGAGGAGCCTCTCTTGCTCGCCTCAGACATGTGTGGTGAGTTTGATGCAATACTTGCCCTTGCGCTTGGTGCCGAAAAGTACGATTGGCATGCACCACAAATGGTGGAAGCAAGCATTATTCACATCGAGGAAGGCCGTCATCCTCTACAAGAACTTGTTGTGCCAGCCTTTATCCCAAATCCCTGCCATCTCTTTACAGGGACATCAAACATAACGGCGGTCCAAGACGGCTCTCCTCAGGCTCTGGTCCTGACTGGGCCAAATCACTCTGGAAAGAGCGTCTATCTGAAACAAACAGCTATAATTGTGTATCTTGCCCACATCGGCAGTTTTGTGCCGGCAGTTCAGGCAACAATTGGGCTCACAGAAAGCATCTTGACCTGTATATCTCCTAGGGAAAGCATGTCTGGAGGCGAGAGCTCTTTTGCAAGGGACATGAAACAAGCTGCGCTATCAATGAAATCATCAACACCTAGAAGCCTCGTCTTGGTAGATGAGTTCGGGAAAGGGACCAATGGCGATGATGGTGCCGGACTGCTAGCCGCGTTACTGGACTACTACCTATCTCTCGGACCCGAGTGCCCTCGTCTACTTGCTGCTACACACTTTCATGAAGTTTTCGAGTGTGGGTATTTGGAAAATCACAATGGGTTACGCATTGCGCACATGAACGTCAGAATGGACTGGAATGCATCACTTGTTGATGATCAAGTGACCTTTCTCTTCAACCTTGAGTATGGTCATAGCACGTCGAGTTTTGGAGGCAGATGTGCAGCTTTGAATGGGGTGCCAAGCGCAGTGGTTGAACGTGCAGAAAACATTTCAAAGTTGCTGGCCCGAAACGAAGACCTGAGTGTGATTTGTGCCCGCCTTTCTCGAGCAGAGGAAGTCCAGCTTGCGAAGGCAGAGATGACTGCGCGGCTTTTTGTAAGCGAGACCTTCGGCGACCAAGATGAGGCCAACTCGAACCGGGAAGAACATACGAGGGGTTCTATTATTGAGGTATTGGAGGATATACTATCGCCTGGTATTTGAGCAGCTGTTGCCGAGTCGATATGAGATTGAACTACTAGGGGGCGACTTCGCGAGTGCTATGAGAGGGCTATGGCTGAACACTTTTCTTTACTTCCTCGTCATGGTTCCATCAAGATCTTTGACGTAAGGTAAATAATGCATCTATTAAAGCTCATGAGTAATGCCTATTGCTGCTTCTAGAGCCTCATTGAACTTGACTACCCGATGATTGAAGGCCATTGAATGGTTGCCTCGGTCAGTTTCTGCATTATCATGAACTGTAGGCAAGGCCTGTCGAGTCTCTTCTTATTACATGGATGAGGCTTAAGGTGCTAGCTTCATGGGAATATTTGAAACCGTACCGTTTTCCACTATGAAGCTCCTGAGAGCTACGTTGCGTTTTCAATGAGGCTTGAGAATGTTTAAATAGTGAAGCAAACACATTGCTAAGTGATCACCCTCAAAGTCAAGAATGAAAAGAGGTCAGGTAATACATGGCGAAAGAATAAAAGTGGCTAAACCCAACACAGGACTGAATGGTTAGTCAAGTCAATGTTTGTTGCTGTATTATTCTATATACAAAACCAAAAACACGCATACATTCCACATCAAGCGCCCGTCAAGTCTTTCAGCATAAGCCCATTTCAGATCCTATATATATTGTGATAAGCACGCTTCATAGTTTCAAGCCCTATCAACGTAGGGTATTCATAAAATGCGTCGTAACTGCAGTCATTCGCTCTGGTGAGCGCAAATATCCTTTTGAGCATCGAGGCAAGCACATGTCTTCCTCGGCAGCGGCAGCAGGGCGTTCAATCAATCCTGATACACAAGCACCAGCAATCATGCTTGCAAGGCCCGCGATCGTTGTATCGAGTTGCATATCAGCTTGTTTGGCACCTAAATCAGGGCGTTGAGTATGGCAATGCCTGCCCCGAAACCCATAAAACACAAGGCGAGTCTGTTGGAGGATGAAGCATCGTTCCCATAATCCGAGCAGTCATCACTGGAAACGTTTCTGCAAGCACGAGAGCTTAGACTGGAGCAGACCGCGGTTGCTGATGACGAACCCAGAGCCTGTCCACCACCCTGAACTGTTGTACCTCCGCCACCAGGTACAACTATAGTGACACCATATTGGCCTCCATCTCCGAGGAAATTAACACATTGATCGTAGTTTTCTTCGCAAGCACCAACGGCTGAGGTGCATGCAGCTTCGTTTGAAAATGTCGTGGCAGCATAAGGGAAGGCGAAATATGAGTTCGGGACGTAGGATGCTTCAGCGGTTGGTTCGCCAGTGGCTGAGGCTGGAGCTGTACCTGTGCAGACAGCGCTTGGCATCGTTAGCAGTCAATTCGTTCGTCGAAAAAGGAATCCGACTTTTGAGCACTCACCCAGACGGACAGCAAGCCGGTTCATCGTCGGCGTCCACGGCACACGTTTGGCCGTTTTGGCAGCATATGTCGCTAAATCTCTCGCCAAGCTCCTCAGAGCATCGGAATGTGTTCGCTGGGCATGAATCGTCCCGTCTGAAGATGACAGAGGCTGGTGGAATGTAGTAGGCTGGGGCGTATACTGCCGTTGCTATTGCTTCTACTTGAGGAATGTTCTGAGCAGATGTAGAGACTGCAGCGAGGCCGAGCCAGATGCAACTATAACTGAGCATGATGATTGTTGAGAGCAAGCGAACGAGATATGATTTGGTTCAGCTGCGAGAACGAGGATGAGAGGTCAAGACGTTCTACTGCAGGTCGGTAAAGCATGCGAGGAGCAGCGAATGTTGGTTGGATTCGTAAAAGAAAGCCCCAATGAGATCCTCGTCTCGTGTTCTCTCTCTTTTTTTTCCTTTCCCCGGCCTTCGTCTATTCTTCCTTGTCAGATTCCAGGTCCAGCCTCCAAGTCAGGAACCTAAGACGATTCCAGTGGGGTCGTTAACCAAAGGGCTTAGCCCATAACGTCGCAAGTGCAAGGTTGTGCAGCGAGCAGACCATTCAGCTTGTTTCCTTGGGCAACAACACGACAGACAATCCAATCAACTCAGCGTACCTAGGTAAGGCGTGGGATGATGTCATGGACCCTTGTTGACTGAGCAACCCTTGGCACCAAGCTAAAATTGACTCGATCAATTAACCTCACATTAGCCATTGTTTCGAAGTCAGTGTTCATATAAATACATTTATACCCCAAGTATGATTGTTACTGCTGGTCAAAATATTTGAGATCGACCTGTAACTTAATTCTTCAAAACCCTCGGACATGGCCCAAAATCTGTCGTAGCCGATCCAGTGCCTTTGTCTGAGGCACAGCATCAAGACCTTGAGTCTTAACTTCTTCGACTTCTCTTCGAGCTTCAGCTATCAGAGGTTCTAAATCCCCCCAGACATATTCTGTATACCCATTCAACACCTTGTCCCATTGCTCAAGGTAGCTATTCCTCACTTCGTCGGCACTCGTTGTACCAAAGTGAAGCTGCCGTTCGAAATCTGCTTCAGGTCCTGCCTGATCAAGAAACTCGGGGTTAAAGTTGAGTAAATCATCCCAGCGAAAGCCAGAGAAAACCGAATCTGCAGGGAATAGGGTTTCTCTCAGCTTGGCTGCCGCCTCTGGTGTAAGGCCTTCATCTTCGGTATCCGGATCATGAGCTCCGAGCAAAACACCATCAAGTCCCCCAGATGAATCATCGAGTAGGTTGACTACAGCAGCGCCATCCATCTTCTCTTGCTCCAGAACAGCGCTTGGCGTAGATGGTATATGGTGACTTTGGTTTGGGAGCCTTCCATATTGACTGGCATCCTCAACCTCTAACGTAGTGTCGGCACTGAAGAAGGCGTCAAATGCTTCGGCCGATGCACCAGAAACCAAATTTGTCTGTGAGCGTAACGGTTCACCATGGGCTGTTGAGCGCAACCTGTGCGATGACGCGTCGCCCGTACTAGATGAGTTTCTCCCAGTGATGCTGCTGCCACTGGAGCTAGGTTTTTCGTCTGGTCGCTGGCCACTTATATCTGGACCCGTTCCGAAAGCATGGAGAGCAAGCCTGCCAGAAGCCTGAAGTCGGCTGGTGATAGAGTCAGAGTTTCCAGAACCGTTATCTGTGGCCTTTCCTTTCGATTTTGCAGATGTATCGTTTTGTGGTTGTGCTCCCGGTGGTTGTCTGTTGTCGTTGTCCATGGCTGTCTATATTAGCCGAGGAGCATGAACAGCTATTGCTCCAGCAGCAGAGGCAATGAGTTGAGTGTCTTGTTGGATAAGTCGAAGGAAGAAAGCTTGGTAGAAAAATTCTAGAAGACCGATAATGAGCACTTCGGTTCATTCGTTGTAGACGTCTAGGATATGATTAAACTATAAAATAGCCGCGATGAAGTTGAATCGGGGGCACATGTCAAAACCGCTCCGGGCGGATGAGCGGGTGCCGATCGGCCTGGAGCTTGGCACCGGGTTTCCGAGAAAACTTAATGCCTGATACCGCTCATGAGTCGACAGTGAAACGGCTCTGGCAAGTATAATTGAGTTAAGAAGCTGACCTAGATTATTCTTTGATGAGATGAGATCAAAATGGAACGCGCTCTATATTCCACCACCAGTGCTGACCATGCTGCCAGCTCCTTATCTGAATACCTACCTATGGATGTCAAGTCATCCAGGGATACCCCGCTGTTACATCAAGCTTGATCTGATATATGGATCAAGGTAGATGTAAGTTGCGTTGAAGTGACCAGCGTAATGGCCTGTCAGTCAGGCTGATCTATCATGCAGCCTCACTTTGAAGAACTAACATGCCTAGGTAGCTCTAGCTCTCGTCGCTAGCAGAGCTTACAGCTATGTATGCCTCTGATTTGTGCAGAAATCTGTCAAGATAAACTTGGGCTTCCAAGGGTTGAGCTGTTGGGGTCAGTAGGTCGGTAACCCCTCACAAACAGAAGCAGCCCACACAGGCACGTTAAGTCATCGATTTTAGTATGCTGGTGGCGTTTAGCCTTGAAGCACAGCCTATTATAGGCAATGAAGCCTTGGAGCTCTCTTGTGGCTTCTGTACCTAAGTGCCAACTCAGCTCTGAGCTGTTGCTCGACTCTTACTGGAGGTCCAGTTCTCTCGCAGAATCATCGGCGTAGGGGAACCTGACCTGAAAATAAACCCAAACCTGAGGGATCCACCATAAACTGTCCTATCCCATCGATCATCCAGCCAAGCCCAAACCAGGCCCAGCCAGGCCAACCCGAAATCGAACTGGATCAGATCAAAGCAGCTTGACTTTTGTTTCTGCTGCGTCACTGCCCATCTCAACTTGTTCTTGATATGTTCTCGACACGGAGAAACTGTCTTATCTGCAGCGAAACCTTTCCGTACGTAAACATCACGAAACTCGATCAATTACAGACATAATAATACCTACTACAGCTAAACATAGCTTAAGACCTCCACTACTATCTTAAGCTGCATTCCCTTACCTAGGTACCTTACCTACCTACAGTAGCCAGGTCTTGTGCCGCCAGCGCAACGCAGTGCAGTGCAGTAGGCAGCTCACCAACCTAAGCACAGCGCAGCTCAGCACAGACTGCAGAGCGCTCTCCCTCCGCTCGCTGTCTCCTCCCTCATCTCTTTGGCCCGCCCTCCGTTGCTTCTGCTCCTCGCCCACATCCACATCCACATTCACGTCCAAACCAAAGCAGACCAGCCTACCTCCACCACAACCACCATTACCACCCGACCATTATTCTTCAGCCTTGGACGCCTGCCCACCTCTTAACATCATTCAGCCCTCCGCCGTCCTGCCTCCGATATCCCTCCCTGCCGCCGGACAGGAAATAATTTTGGACGACGTCTATAGATCACGGCGGCATATCTTGGTAGACCCCACTGCGGCGCCGACAAAAGACGATATCCAGAAACGACACCACCGCCCATCCACTCACCACCTTACCTTACGCCATCTAACACCCACCGCAACACCAGACCAGACGTGTGCTGTTGTAGCTTCCATCATCCACCCATCTCCCTTCGTGTCGCCTCGACTCGTCAACATCAACTACTTTCGCTGTTTCCAAGTTCTCGGCTCCGATTAATCCTCACCTCCGCCTTGGCCCCGCCATTCGAATCCACAGCTATCGATTCTGACCTTTGCCTCCCTCGACCAACAACCACAACCCCTCCTAACCCCCGCCCTCGCTGCTCACCAAGATGGTTGATAGCGAGACGAATTCGCCCACGTGGAAGTTCACGCAGTACGTTATCTCTCTTGATCCATTATTGGGTACCTCTCGTGTTTTTGAAGGTGAAGCTGAGCTGTCGTGTGCAGGTGTTTTGGTGACAAGGGCGATGTTGAGGACATCACCGAAGGTATGTCACCACCCTCTGCCTACTTCAGAGCCAGTTATCCGTCATGGTTACTAACTGCCACGCTCTGATACAGCTGATATCATCTCGACGGTTGAGTTCGACCATACCGGAAACTATCTCGCTACTGGCGACAAGGGAGGTAGAGTAGTGCTCTTCGAACGCAACGAGACGGTACGTCACCATTCCCGAATGTCTTTGCGTGCCGCTTATCTTTGGCGCTGCACTCCCTACTGTCGCCGCTAACTATGGATGCAGAAAAAAACCTGCGAGTACAAATTTCACACCGAGTTTCAGTCGCATGAGCCCGAATTCGACTATTTGAAGTCCCTTGAGATCGAGGAAAAGATCAACAAGATAAAGTGGTGCAGGCGACAAAACGCTTCACACTATCTGTTGTCTACCAACGACAAGACAATCAAGCTATGGAAGGTGTTCGAGAAGTCGCTCAAGGTTGTGGCGGAGAACAATCTCTCTCACGATGTAACTCCTGGGAGCATTGCAGGTGGTGGCGGCGCTCCCAAGCCTTTACCATCTCATCAGTTTAAGAACGCCGCCGACCTAAAGCTGCCTCGGCTCACACATCATGACACAGTGGTTGCCGCCGTGCCACGCCGGACATACGCCAACGCACATGCCTATCATATCAACAGCATCTCGGTGAACAGCGACGGAGAGACCTTCATCAGCAGCGATGATTTGCGGATTAACCTCTGGAACCTCAATATTCAGGACCAGAGCTTCAACATCGTTGACATCAAGCCTGCCAATATGGAGGAACTTACTGAAGTGATCACAGCAGCCGAATTCCACCCCATGAGCTGCAACTGGTTCATGTATGCCAGCTCTAAGGGCACCATCAAGCTTGCTGACATGCGAGAGAGTGCTCTATGCGACCAGCACGCGAAACGTTTGTGCACCCGAATTGTAAGAACTTGTATAATTGCAAGCGTACTGACTACTCGTAGTATTTGAACAGGAAGAAGACCCCTCGTCGCGATCCTTCTTTTCCGAAATCATCTCCTCTATCTCCGATGTCCGGTTCTCACATGACGGTCGATACATCTTATCTCGCGATTACCTCACCGTAAAGATTTGGGATATCAACATGGAGCGACAGCCTGTAAAGACGATACCGATCCACGAGCATCTCCGGCCACGATTGTGTGACACATACGAGAACGATAGTATATTCGACAAGTTTGAAGTTGTTTTCTCTGGTGATGCGAAGAATGTTATGACGGGCAGTTATAACAACAATTTCATGATCTATCCTTCAGACCCTGACAAGGAGGTCGAGGTGGTCCTTCAGGCGGACAAGTCGGCTTTCAAGGCGAAGAAGGTTGGTGTGCCCACGCCAATCAACGCCTCGACAAGCCCGACAGCCACCAATGGCAAGAAGGGTGGATCTAGGGCTGGTAGTCCAGGCGGTCAGGGCCAGCGAATGCGTAAGGAGACAGACGCGGACCAGATCGATTTCAACAAGAAGATCCTGCACATGAGTTGGCATCCCTTCGAGGACAGTATTGCGATTGCAGCTACGAACAATGTAAGTGAAACTGAGGCACACCTTTGTATGTCAACCTGGGGCTAACCTGCGGACACAGCTCTTTGTCTTCTCGGCACTCTAGACCGTGGTAATGGCGTTCATCTCGTAGGGCAGTTAAGCGAGCTAGTCCCTGGCTGGAAGTCGAAGTCGCAACAGCAAGAGTATAAGTACTTCAGCCTCAGTCATGGTGGGATCTGCCCAGTTCTTCTTGGGCATGACGTGATATCTCGATGGTGCAGGAAATGATAATACGGAACAACACGACCTACTATACTTAGAAGCGATAGCACGTATCATCGATAGTGCTTGGAATGAATGCTACGCGGAGAGAAGGAAGAAAGCTGGAAGAGGCCCTTTGGATGTGGCCGTTGAAAAGACTGACGATAGAAAGCTACTGGCTATCTGTCTATGAAGCAAGCGAATGAACCAGCGGGAAGAGCCACATGGGAGGGAGGTGAACGGATACATTGGCTGGCGTTCGGTCGCCACGTGTAGCAGAAACCACAAAGAGACTATTGAGAATCAAAGAAATGCCACTCATGCCTGAGAAGAAGCCAAGTTAAAATGATGGACGGCTATTCGCCCGCCATTCGGGTCAGTGGAGTTTCGAGGGAGACTGATGATGGATAATGGTAAGGTTAGATGCAGGGGCCGCATTCAACGCCTCTAAGAACACAAGCAGTTGATTGTTTAGTAATTTCTTGACCAATCCGCCGTTTGTATCGTGACGCAGGCCTATGTAAGCTTCATAGCCAATCTCTGAGGCTATTGAGCTGCCACGACCTCTGATGCAGCAATGTTCCATCATGCAGTACCTCCCTGCGATGGACGGTCTCTGGTTGAATTTAAGGTACTTGAGATGAGATAGGGCTGTTCAGCCAGCACTAACTCTTGACGTGTACTCAGTACGGTTTGGTCCAATGAAATCTTGGTGGGTATGCAGGTACAACGGTACCGCTGACTTGATGCGGGTCAACCCCCAGCCTTATCGAAGAGTCTGAGCGTCCCTCGGCCCCCGTCTCATCTTGGCTCTTCTGCATTACCTGGCAAGGACAAGCAAGACACAAGGGCAACACCAATAACTCGGCCCAGCCGCTTTTTGTCAGCAGAGCTCTTTGTTGAGGGATACCACCTGTCACTCCTTTTTTTCACTATTTACACCTCCCATCCCACAGAGATGGCGACCGAAATACCTTCCCACATCCTCCGCAAGAGGACAGCAGCCTCAGACATGACGGTCCTCGAGAACTCGATCCGTCGTGACAGCGCCTCTCAAGAGGCTCCTGTTAATGACCTGGAGCAAGGATCGAGGCCATCTGTAGCGCAGAACATTGCCAATCTGGTGGCTCACGAGGTCGGACCTTCATTGTTGACGGTTGGTGTCATGTTAAGCTTGATCTTTGGAGGATGCTGTTCAAATGTACGTTGTCACTTCCAGCCCCCGCTACCAATTGTCTTACATGGTCATATGGACTGACTCAAACCATGCTGGCTTTAGGTTTATGCTCTTGAAGCTATCGTCAAGTGAGTTTCCCATGTGTATAATCACCCATACCGTGCTATGAGACTGATGAGTTATTTGTATAGCTTTGAACCATCAAGTGGTATGAAATCGTCTGCGGTCCCGTAGCCTTTAACTGACGCATTCTCTTCATTGCAGGAACTCTGTTGACGTTTGTTCAATTTCTCTTCGTCGCTGTAACGGGATTCATCGCTCAATTTGATAAGAACAGTCGTTTCTTCCTTACACCTAACAAGGTTCCCATCAGCCGTTGGATATTCAACATTGTTCTCTTCTTCACCATCAATGTCCTCAATAACCACGCCTTCAGTTATGATATTTCCGTTCCAGTTCATATCATCCTTCGATCTGGCGGAAGTATCACAACTATGGCGGCAGGCTATCTATATGGCAAGAGGTATTCTCAAATGCAAGTTGTTGCCGTCGTCCTCTTGACACTCGGCGTCATCTTGGCTGCATGGTCGGATGCTCAAGCCAAGGTAGACATTCCTTCTCCGAGCTTTGCTAGGCCTACACTAATAACTCTTGGCTATAGGGTACAAGTGAAAGCAGTGGTCGTCCGGCCTTCAGCACTGGACTGGTGATCCTCTTCGTGGCTCAGCTTCTTTCGGCCATCATGGGGCTTTACACGGAGGCAACATACGCCAAATACGGCCCTCAGTGGAAGGAGAACCTTTTCTACTCGCATGCCCTCTCTCTGCCGCTGTTCCTGCCTTTTGCTCCGTCAATGGCACGTACTTTTGCTCATCTTATGACGAGCACCCCGTTACAACTACCAGGCGTTTTCGGCTTCGCGACCACTAAGTTCCAGATTCCCAGTCAGATCCTATTCCTTATTACCAATGTTCTTACTCAATATGCTTGCATCCGGGGAGTCAACCTTCTGGCCGCTGCCTCAACGGCTCTCACCGTCACCATCGTCCTCAACATCCGAAAGCTCGTCAGCCTACTTCTAAGCATTTGGCTATTTGGTAACAAGCTAGCTCCTGGTACACTCCTAGGTGCTATTATTGTTTTCAGTGCCGGCGGGCTATACTCAGTGGGTTCGAGAAAGAAGACACCTGCGGAGAAGGGAGTTTCTGCCAGGGCCAACAAAGCAAGCTGAGGAGCGTGTTGCGTGTTTTCGTCGGTATAAAGGGTTTTTGCAACGCTCATCGAATTGTAGACGGCGTTGATGGTTAAGGGGGACCTTGCAAGAGACGATCTGAGTGTAGCCGGACGTCATGTCCAATGCTACCATGTAGGCGCTATGGTGAATCTTATATGCTAACGAATACCAAAAGCCAAAGAGCTTATATAGACTAGACAATCGAGAATGCCATTTTCGAATAGACCGTGGATATTTACCATATTTGTGTTGATATCAAGTAGCCTATAGTGCTCGTAAGGAGGAGCCCTTACACCACACAAAACACCGATGACATCCATTGAAAAAGACCCTGGAAGCAACTTGGACGGAATGATATGTCGGTCAGGTCCAAGCTGGGAAGGATGCAGATGTTCAAACCTTCCCACGCATCTTCAAGGTTGTCATTCGAGCGCTTATCATTCTGGTCTCCAACACCAACGCGGGGAACGATATCCAGATGCGTCCTGCAGTCAACGCCGCTCCTCCACAGGTTATATATCACTCAAACACTTCCAAACTCATGGCCACGATTATCGACACCAACAGGAGCCTCCATCTAAGATTGATCTGCTATCATCCTGGCTTATTTACCCGGCATGTCGCATCCACAAACTGGTTTCCCACAGACAACCTTCAAAGGAGAATCTACTCTATCAAGACGACGAAAGACTGTTTCGCGCACTACAGTTCGTACCCAACTCGATCAGCTGCGATCAACCGGGCGGTATGACTGCTTCAGGCTCAATTGGCACCCTATCTACGACGACAAGTCCATGTGGCCCGTTCCATACCACTTATTCTGGGACAGTGATATCGCTAAATGGATTGAGGGGGCTTGTTACTTTCTAGCTGATCCAGATGAGTATGACGAGGATATTGATCAGGCTGTCCGCGAGCTTGTAGACATGATCAGGTCAGCTCAGCAGCAAGACGGTTACCTGAACGTTCATTATACTGTGGTTGAACCGGGAAAGAGATGGACCAACATCCGGGATATGCATGAACTGTAGGTTGTCAAACAAATCCGGTTACTTACAGGAAGCTGACTTGGCGACGCAGATACAATGCTGGCCATCTCATAGAGGCCGCAATTGCTCATAAGGAATACTATAAGAATGACCTACTTCTCGAGCCTATTGAGAAGTATGTTTCTCTCATCACGAAACGTTTTGGCCTCGGAGAAGGCCAGTTGAAAGGTTATCCTGGCCACCCTGAAATCGAGCTATCGCTTTTTCGACTGTACGCTGCTACAGGTAACACCGGAGCTTTCGACCTGGCACAGTATTTTCTGACTGAACGAGGAAATACTGATGGACATGAAGGGAAACACTTCTACGACTGGGAAAGAGAAAAGAGAGGCGAAAGCCCATGGCTGCGGTCGAACTCCTATCCTCAATCGAGGGCTTATTGGTATTGCCAAGCTCATGTTCCAATCACAGCACAAAACACAATTGAAGGACATGCTGTCAGAGCTGGATACCTTCTAACTGCTGTTGCTGACATGCTGCATCTCTCCGCAGAGAGTGGAAAGGCTTTACCTGATGCCGAAGCATGGTCACAGGCACTGCATAGACTGTGGGACAGCATGGTTGATAGGAAGATGTACTTGACTGGAGGCATCGGTGCTATGGCACAGTGGGAGGGCTTTGGAATTGACTACTTCCTTCCCCAGGGCACGGATGAAGGAGGCTGCTATGCTGAGACATGCGCTTCGATTGCTTTCGTCATGCTCGCGGAACGAATGTTACACCTTGATCTCGATTCTCGATACGCCGATATTATCGAGCTATGTCTCTACAACACCATCATGACAGCCATGAGTTTGGATGGCAAATCCTTCACTTACATCAACCAACTTGCCAGCTCTGAAACTGACAAAAACATGCGTGAGGGGTGGTTCTGGTGCGCTTGTTGCCCTCCAAACTTGACGAGGCTATTCGGCAGTTTGGGCGGCTATCTTTGGGATTATGGTACTGAGGGCAATGGCGTCTTTGTGAATGTCCATTTATACACTGGTGCCGAGTTGCAATTCAAAGTAGGCTACTCGATTGTCACGCTCCAGCAAAAGACCAACTGGCCGTGGGAGGGCAAGGTTGACTTTGAGTTGTCGTCTCCATCTCTCTTGCAAACCACCATCCGGCTTCGTTTGCCCGCTTGGTCCAAAGGAAGATTTACATTATACCCACCAGCAAATTTGACCACCTCAAAGGTTGAAAAGGGTTATATATCTCTACGGCCTTCCTATCTCTCTGAAAATCCTCGGTTCTCGCTAGATATTCATGGTTTCGAACCAAGATTTATATCACCCCACCCCTACTCAAATCAACGCAACTTATCCCTCGCACGAGGGCCAATCGTCTATTGCGTCGAAGATGTCGATAACCCCTCGGAGTCTAATCATTTCAAGGATGTATTCATTCGAACGGACTCGTCGGTTACTGAAGAGAAAGTGGTCCATGAAGCGTCCGGCGAAGAGTATGTCGCGATGCAAGCTCAGGGGTGGAAGCAGTCACCTTCAGCACTTGGATCACTATCGCTAGAGACTGCTGAGTCTGTGAATTTGGTTTTTGTTCCATACTATTTCAGAGCCAACAGGGGAGGGGATGGTCAGATGAGGGTTGGTTTATCAAACGGTGGCACCGAGCCAGGGGTTCTTTTCCCTGAGAGACTCTGACTGTGGATCTCCAAGGGCCAAGTATATAAGCATGACTTCAAGGGGAGAAGACTATCGGGTTTCTTCATTTCATCTTCACCTGAGGCCTGACCGATGACTTGTGACTGATGCTGAGTGATATCGTTGCCCGTTCGAGTGTGTCGCGAGATAACACTCAATACACGCATAACATTGAGTTTTGGATAATACATATAGCTCTCTGAAAAACGACCTTCTTTTGTCTTGAGAAGCTGCCCCTTAGTATGATTAAATCTATGACATATGCATTTGTAGTGATTCACTTACACTCCCCTATCAAGCTTGAAAATGCCAAGAATGAGGAGCGGAAAGTAATGCCATTGTCGATTTCATATTGCTTTAATGCGTAGATATACGATTTTTAAACCCAATACCCAAAGCACTTACCCTATCACTCTTACTGCCTCAAAATATCCTCGTCTAGGGGTCCCCTCTATCAAGACCAGGGATTTGACCCGGTACTACGGTTGCGGCAACGGGCCATGTAACACGGTAGAGCACCCGTGTTTCCGAATTTAGTGGAGCTGGCGGTGATTCGGTTACTAATATTCTCATGAGCCTATGCTATGGCAGAGGTAAGGTGATTAAGCTTGTGGTTCGAATTTAGTGTCTCACTGTGCTCTGAAAGACTGTGGAAGTACGTTGTCTATTAATATGATTGTATTCGATTCTAGGAGAATAATGCTTAATGGCATCCTTATTCCTCACAAGATGCCAGGCCCCATCTGCATCTTGATACTTTACAGTTGATAGGAACAATCATGACTTACGGATCTTATCGGTGAGAAGTCAACGTTGAGATCGGGTGACTGCAGCTCTTCCAAGAGCGAGGCTTCATATCTCTAGTTGGATATTGAGTCAAGGTTGGTGTTCTAAGTTGAGACCCCTGTCTTGTAGGAGAACGGCGGGTACCGGTTCTGCGGAGCCCTATCTTGAAGAATATTCTGCTTTGAGGAGATTTATATGCATATCCGATATGGAGAAAAACCACTACTATCTTGAAACAGGCGCACAACACCTCCTTCATCCGGTAAGGCTTAAGTATAGAGAGGTTCCAAGAAGCAACTATCATGTGGAGCTTTAACTCAATACCGAGCAGATGCCTCAATGAGTATAGATGGGACCTATACCCCCCCGCCTTGCCTACGGCGTGCATTGCACCGACGCATTGTCCCGCTATGACCCGCTATAAACCCTGGTGTGTCACACCGTCATACCTTCCCTTCAAGGGCTCTCTCTGTCTTTGCCTCTCTTATTGCGGGCACACTTCCTAGTGCTCTCCTCTTTCAAACGTCCTCTCTCGATAATTAAAATCGAATCAATCACCATCCTCAAAGTCATCACCCGAGGGAGGATTTACACACCTGATCTGCTAGCTAAATCGTATTCAGATCAAGGCATCGCCATGGCTGGTACGTATTCTACAGCTCGCCCTGCCTCTCCTCCGCTGCGCCAGACCCAATATCACGAACCCTGCTTTGGCTCTCGATGATAACGACAGCAATTGGAAACATTTCTGACCGAGAATATGCCACAGGCGGCCCTATCTTTGAGGAAAGCGAATCAAGCGCGCTTGATGTGCGGGCACGGGAGTCAGATGAGGAGATAGACGAGACTAGAGATTCTGGTGCAACCGGACATGGCGCCTCGCACAATGCCCCCTCTGACGCTGGCTCCCACACCGGCAACGAAGCTGAGGAGCTCGAAGATGGAATGCTTCTCCGCGACTTGCCCAAGAGAACGACTTTTTACGATCCTGTCGCTGAGCGTCAAATGAGCCAGACGGACGCAAAATACTTCTACCACCGAAACAAGGCCGATGCACGAAGCGGTGGTGGGGCTGGCTACCAATCTATACCTCAAAGTCCTTTCCTTGCTTCTGGGTCTCGCCCTGCAACCGAATATGGTGCCGATAGTCTTGTGCTAGACTCGAGTGGTCGTCGAGTCGAGTCTTTCCCTCCTGGCTTGGAGATGCCAAACCCTGCCGTTGAATCGGGGTTTACTCAATCGCCTACAAAACTCGATGCGCAACCTGCCCCATTCCCGCCTAGTCATCCTTCTGCTCTTCCTCATGCTGGTCAGGTTGCCCAGGATCCACGGCTACCTGATGGCTCCAGCAATGGCCTGCCCTCTGGTGGACTCTTCGACACTGAGCCCCATATCACTTCCGAATTGAGTGCTATCTCGAAAAACATTCAGAGAATCCTCGACACCAGGCGCAAATATATCGCCCTCTCGAATCAGGGGCCTGATGATAACCCAAGAGACGGCCCGGATTGGGAAATTTACCCCCCTCCACCAGAGCCGGCATGGCAGCAATCGTCGAGGCAAAGAGCAAGTACTACAGAGCACGTACCAGGTCAAGAGAATACTGGGTTGAACGGCAGTAAGGATGCTACTGGGCCCATACCAGGAGAGTTGCCCCAGGAGCACCATGAGGGTAGACGCTCGGCAAGAAGGCGAAAGCCAGGTCAAGATATTGGAGAGGATTTTGATATGGCTGACATATTGCCTCTGCCGGGCGATGATGGACGCTCATATAAGTTGGATGATAGCGGAGTCTATCAAGTATTCGAAGGCCACGATACTCAGACGCCTGCGATCAAGGTTCCTACAATCAGGGAATTCTACATGGACCTGGACGACATTCTGGATGTCTCATCTGACGGACCTAGTAAGAGTTTTGCATTTCGACGTCTCCAATATCTCGAGGGTAAATTTAACCTCTATGTCCTCTTGAATGAGTATCAAGAAACAGCCGACAGCAAGAAGGTTCCCCACCGAGACTTTTACAATGTTCGAAAGGTAGATACCCATGTTCATCATTCTGCGTGCATGAACCAGAAACATCTGCTTCGCTTCATTAAGAGTAAGATGAAGAAATTTCCCAACGAAGTCGTCCTGTTCCGCGATGGAAGACATCTCACCCTAGCCGAGGTTTTCGCTAGTATTAATCTGACAGCTTATGACCTGAGCATTGATACATTGGACATGCATGTAAGGCTTGCTCTCTGAACTCGATATTGTATTTAGAGAATTGAGTCACTAACTGCTGTAGGCTCATACGGATTCGTTCCATCGCTTTGACAAATTTAACCTCAAGTATAATCCAGTCGGAGAGTCCCGTCTTCGAACTATCTTCCTCAAGACAGATAACTTTATCCATGGCCGGTACCTTGCCGAAATTACCAAAGAAGTCATTTCTGATCTTGAGTCAAGCAAGTATCAAATGGTTGAGTGGCGCATCTCCATTTATGGCAAATCGATCGATGAGTGGGACAAGCTTGCCGCTTGGGTGGTCGATAACAAGCTGTTTTCGCACAATGTCCGCTGGCTCATCCAGATCCCTCGTCTCTACGACGTCTACAAAGCAAGTGGTCTCATGGAGACGTTTGAACAGGTGGTCAAGAATGTCTTTCAGCCACTCTTTGAAGTCACCAAGGACCCATTAAGCCATCCCAAGCTGCATATTTTCCTTCAGCGAGTGATTGGTTTCGACAGTGTTGACGACGAGAGTAAAGTCGAGCGTCGGCTGTTCAAGAAGTTCCCTGTGCCAAAAGTATGGGATACCAAACAGAACCCGCCATATAGTTACTGGATTTACTATCTCTACTCTAATCTGGTGTCGTTGAATTACTGGCGCAAGAAGCGCGGTTTCAACACGCTGGTCCTGCGACCCCATTGCGGAGAAGCTGGTGACAGCGAGCACTTGGCTGTTGCCGCCTTGTGCTGTCATAGCATCAGTCACGGACTGCTCCTACGCAAAGTCCCCCTTCTTCAGTACGTCTTTTATCTGGACCAAATCGGCATCGCCATGTCACCGCTGAGTAACAATGCCCTGTTCCTCGCCTATGAGCGGAACCCTTTCCACCAGTACTTCAAGAGAGGTCTTAATGTCTCACTATCTACGGACGATCCTCTACAGTTTGCTTTCACCAAGGAGCCATTAATCGAGGAGTATGCAGTTGCCGCACAGATTTACAAGCTGAACTCGGTCGACATGTGTGAGCTCGCCAAGAACTCTGTTAAACAAAGCGGTTACGAGTTGGCCATCAAGGAGCATTGGTTAGGGCGTGGCTGTAATAAGCCAGGAAAGGAAGGAAACGCCATGGTTAAGACAAATGTTCCTGATCGAAGGGAAGAGTTCCGCTACTTCACCTTGATGCAGGAGAGAGACGTGTAAGCGGCTGGCCCTTTCCGTATGATCGATCACTTTTATGCTAACGATTGTTCCCAGGCTGTCGAAATATGTCACTTATAATGCTGCGAATGAGCCTCCTGTGCAAGCTGCTGGCAATGAGAGCAAGATGTCAGAGTCAGTGGCGTCCCTGGCTGGCCAAACCACTGGTTTGGGGGTCGCAACGGGCAATGAGACTGCCAATGTCGAGACGTCTTCACCAGTTGGCCATCACATTGCAAAGGTCGCATCCCAGGTTGGTCTGTCGGCCGGCCGAGATCAAACATGGCCCAGTGATCCTATGTCGGACCATCATCTCTCTGGAACCGACCCGAGAATGTTCCCAGGCATTTTTACTCGTGGACACCGCACAGGTAGCCATCGGAATCTTGCCCAAGCCAGTGACGACCGTGACACTGAAGACGATATTTTCGGCCCCGAAACCTGATCTTTGCTAGTCTCGGCCGTGTATTTAGATGTGTAACTGTTTGAACATTGTGAATAGAATTGCTTTAGGTATTGGAATGGATGAACAATTGGACACCCAACAGGTGTGGATAGACAACGGCGCATGTGGATTAAGTAATCGAGTATTTGCTCTCGCTTTGGCATGATTTAGGGAAAGTTATGTGATAACAAGGTATATAATGTATCTAAACAATCAGCAAGATCGTTCTGTGAGGTGATTAGGCTTCGTTGAAATGTTAGCATGTTCGCTTCTTGTTTTTTTGGCATTTAATATTAATCATTGAGCTTCAACTTGTGGCAGAGAAAAACATAAAAATCTTAAGGACCTAAAAAAGATATCAATCAATATCACTGGTAGTTTATTTAAACTTCTCATACTCTATAATCTGGCAGCTGGGATAAGTGAAGCTCAAATGGCCTATCTCGACTCACGTGCAAGATACAGGGTAGCGTTACCCGCTGAGTGCTTAGCTTTAAGCTGACGTTACTTTAAAGCCCAACCTGCGCCAGATAAAGGGGTGACGCACAATATGTACCGGCAATGCTCCGCTTCTGGCGACCCAATCCGCCTACCAACGAATTAACACATAGTGGATCGCATTTTACACCCACCCACGTTATACCGCAATCAGAGATTCTGGTTAATGAACTTGGTAGGGGGAAGGTACGGTACGTCGGATCGGTCCATATTTGCCTTACCAAGGTAGTCCATCGCTTGCTCCTCAGACAAACGACGCACTGCGTCACTTCGCATCGCATCGCATCGCATCGTAGCGTCTTACTTCTAGCCAACCCTTTCAATTCTCTTTTTTATCATTTCTCTATACTTAATTCAACAGAGGTTTCCTGCTGAAGGGACTTACTCGCGCGGTGCAACCGATCGAGCCGAATCAAGACCTTCGACATGGGGTTCCTGGGAGTGTACCGGGCTCTCTACGACTACGTGCCCCAAGCTGAGGGAGAGCTCGCAATAAAGGATGGAGACTTGCTCTTCATCCTCGATAAGAATGGCGACGATGGCTGGTGGAAGGCAAAGAAGAAGGCCGGAGCTGATGACGAGGAAGAGCCAACCGGCCTTATCCCTGGTAATTATGTCGAGGAGGTAAGTTGGCGTTGAACAACTACAGCACTATCACAGCACTGGTACTAAAGCTTCGTTCTTTAATTTAAAAGGCCAAGCCAGTAGACCATGCTAGAGCTCTATTCGATTACACGCGCCAGACAGATGAAGAATTGTCATTTCACGAGGATGCTACGCTTGCTGTCTACGACACGTCGGACCCCGACTGGATCCTGACTGGCCTCGACGGCGAATATGGCTTTGTCCCTTCCAACTACATCGAAATGGGCGCACCTGCTGAGTCTGCTCAGCCGCCGCTGCCGTCTCCGCCGCCAGCGCTACCTTCAAGACCACCACAGGCTCCCTCGATCTCCTCCCCCGAACCAGAGGCGGCATCTCCGGACCTACCGAATGACACCGCGCCTACTCCTTCGAACCCTGCTGCTGCTATCGCAGGCGTCATGCATGGTCGCTCAGTTTCTCAACAATCTCAGCAATCTGCCGCTCCACGACAGCCCCCTCGTGCGTCCGTTACGTTTAGCGAACCCCCCGAAGTTGAGGACGAGCCCGTACGATCACCGACCCTGCCAGCCCGACCACGGGTACCAGCGCCACCATCTCCAACTTATGACGAACCCCCCTCCCCTATACACACCCGCAGTTTCCAAGACCACAGGGACCCAGATCGTCGCCAAGATGTCGAGCGTACTCCTGGCGGCTTTCATATGTATAACATCAACGAGATGATTTCCATCATGGGCAAGAAGAAGAAGATGCCCACAACATTAGGAATTAATCTTTTAACAGGTATCATACTGGTTGCTCCAGAGCATGCTTCTGATGGACCTTCACAGGAATGGACCGCTGACCGCATGACGCATTACTCGCGGGAGGGAAAGCACGTTTTTATGGAGCTTGTGCGCCCAAGCAAGAGCGTCGACTTCCACGCCGGAGCAAAGGACACAGCCGAGGAGATTGTCAGTATGTTGGGCGAATTGGCTGGTGCTGTACGTGCCGAAGGACTCCGTGAGGTGATCATGGCTGGGACACAAGGTAGCAGCGGTGGTGTCCAGAAGAAAGGCCAGGTCCTGTATGACTTCATGGCCCAAGGTGACGACGAGGTAACTGTTGCTGTGGGAGACGAGGTGCTTGTTATCGACGATACAAAGAGCGAAGAGTGGTGGCAAGTTCGCCGGCTCAAGAATGGTAAAGAAGGAGTCGTCCCTAGCAGCTATATTGAGATTACTGGCTCTGTCCCACTACACTCGTCTGGCGGCGTAAACTCAGCCAAGTCTCTCGTCGAACAAAATCGCCTCGAAGAAATTCGATTGACCAAGGAAGCCATGAAAGCTGGCAAAGAACCTCAGCAGGTAGGACCGGGAATGCCTCTCCCTGAACGAGGCAGTAGCCTCATGGCACGAGAAACTGGTAGTAATTCGGGACAACAGCGGAGCCGTCGAGAAAATGGACGAAGTGATGGCGGCAGTCAAAGCCGATCAAAGTCTAGTAAGTCAGCACTTGATTAGATTTCTCTTTTCACTCAGATGTTTGCGATAGGACTTAGAGCATCTGCTAACATGCTTTTTATAGAGCCTGACGCGTCCAAGGTGCGCACCTGGACAGACCGTTCCCGGTCTTTCAGTGTGGAAGCCCAATTCCTTGGTCTGAAGGACGGGAAGATTCACTTACATAAGATGAATGGTGTCAAGATTGCAGTTCCTATCACAAAAATGTCGCGCGAGGATCTCGAGTATGTTGAAAACTTCACAGGCATATCCCTGGAAGACGATAAGCCGTTGGCAGACGTCAAGAGAGCTCGGTCTGCCGAAAAGAAATCCCCCGAACGTAGTCCTTCAGCAGGCGCAACGATCGACAAGGATGCCAAGTCCGACTACGACTGGTTTCAGTTTTTCTTGTCTTGCGAGGTTGCAGTGGGTTTGTGTGAGCGCTATGCACAAGCCTTTATCAAGGATTCCATGGATGAGAGCGTGCTTCCTGATGTCGACGCCACTACTCTGAGAGCCCTTGGAATTCGCGAAGGTGATATCATCAAGGTCATGCGTACCTTGGATGCCAAATATGGCCGCAGCCGTGGTGGAAAGAGAGGAACTGCTGATGGAGTTGATGGTGAAGGGGGTTTATTCTCTGGACCTGGCGGTGCGCTACGAAACAACACCCGCAAGGGCCGACCCGCACCAGCAGTCCAAACAAGTGATGTTGTTGATGCCAGTGCCTTTTCACGAGGTGATTCCTCCAAGACTGGTGAGAACGACAGCAGGTCACCCCCGCCCACAAGTCCTACGAATAAGAGTCCCGAAGCTCGTCCAGCAGCGAGCTCAGGATTCGATGATGATGCTTGGGACGTGAAGCCTAGCAAGCAGCAATCGCCGCCTAAAGCTCAGCCTGCTGTTGAGTCTGCTCAGAAGCCTGCCCCTGAGCCTGCCCCTGTCTCACCCCCTCCCCCGGCCTTGACTGGCTCCATGCAAGAGTTATCGCTCCTCTCAACGCCCCTCGAACCCACCAGGGCTGAGCCAGCACCCGCCCCGGCACCGGCGCCTGTCATCGCTGCTCAGCCGACCTCGACACCCGTGCCGCAACCGTTGAGCGGCGCTACCCCCTCATTCTTTACATCTGTTGCTCAGGCTCGGCAACGTCCTACTCCCCCACAAGGTACTGCGAACCAGGGCTCTCTCGTCCCTCCACCACCTCAGCGACCTCTTTCAGCTCCGCAATCAGCCCAGCCCAGCGGCTTTGCACCTCCCCCCATGATGCCTCAGATGACAGGTGCTCTGCAAGGCCAAGTTGCACCTCCCGGCCAGAGCCTGAGTGAGATCACACAAGCCCGCCTGCAACAGCAATATACGGCTCAGATGCAGCAGCAGCAAGCCCCTCAGCAAATGCAGCCCAATATGACTGGATTTCCAGGACAACAAGGCCCTGGCTTAATGTCTTTCCCCACCGGTGCTGGACAGTTCATGCAGCCCATGATGACAGGAATGCAGGGACCGAATCAGTTCGTCCCAATGCAAGCTCAACCCACAGGTTTTCAACCGCCCTTCCCCGCCACGCAGTCGATGTATGGAGCACCCACAGGAGGTATCAACAGCTACTTGCCTCCAGCTCTTGAACCCCAGCGAACAGGTATGCCAGGCTTGCAGCCCCAAGCTACTGGCATGACGAACATGGGTGGCATCGGTGGTATGAATAACGTACAAGTTCCTCAGCCTCTGCAACCACAGCAGACTGGGCCACCCCCTCCCGTGCGATTTGGCGTGACAAATGAGACCAAGAAACTAGCGCCTCAGGCAACAGGGCGTAGGGCTAACTTGGCGCAAGCGAGTACGTTGAAACGATTTCACCTGTATATGTGTAATGCTAATGTTCTCTATAGCCCCCCAGAACCCCTTTGGTTTTTAATTCTTGAAAAGCTTGTTAAACTGGTCGTCATCGCACGTCGTTTCGTCATGTTTGCAAATACTCTGGACATCTTTCTTCACATCTTGTATGTATATGTAGACTTTGTCAGGTCAACCAAACTGGGAGTCAAGTGTGGAATAATAATAGTATATTTATGGCTGTTCCTGGACAAGCCAGATCAGTCTCTTCTAATGTTCTCATCTATAAGTCTATACAAAGTCGTAACAGAACGTGAATCATTGACGAGGCGAGGTCTCGTTGCAAACTGGCGATGTGTGATACCAAAAATGCGATGGAATCGAAAAAGGGGCCACAGGGATAAGATGATCAAACGAGAGAAAAAAGCTCGAGTGGTTTCTTCCGTTCCATAGAGTTGTATTCATGGTCTAAAGTGATTGAAACTTGAGCATCCTTGTTCGGTAAGTGATGGGAGCAGTCTGAATGTTTTCGAAGGCGAGCTCTCAGCCGACAACAAATCCGACCAACAAGAAGGGCTTCCCGAAAACGTCTTAGAATATGAGGCAACTAGGCCCGCTGGCTTTCCTGAGCCGATCAAGCCTTGCGGCGACGACCGCCAGTGGGTTTTGATAAACCTGTTGAGACGGAAGATAGGTCAATCTCAGCCTCAGTCACTGGGCTCTCTTGAACATTTTCCTCTAATTCAGCCGCAGGCACAAACCGCTTACGTACGGCGCGAATCATCATGAAGAACCAGTAAAAATTAAGACTGTTGAGCGTGACGTTGCTGGCCAAATAGGCGACGCCAATCCACATGGGTACCGTGGAGTCTGGGTGCGCAAATGACATAGTTGGCAAATTGAGTGCCTTCATGTCGGGGTTAATATTAATGGCGGACCACACATCGCGGTAAACACGGAAGGACGAATAAGTTCCGTAAATAAGCCGACAGGAGAAGAATGTGAAAAGAAGCATGACACCGTTGTATAGTTGCGCGCGTGTACCAGTCATGTTAAGTTTATCCATAAACCAGTGAACATTGAGGAAAGGTGTGGATAACTCCCAGAGGATGAAGACACAGGCGTAGTGGTTGAGAAATGGACGCTGATGAAAGCTGATTAGTAGAGATAGAGGGACATGCCATCGTGGTTAACTTACGAAACCGAGCGAGTAGACAAGTAATGCAGCGATTGCGTGCGCCAAGGTTCCCAAGCCAAATACATCGAGGTTAATGCTGGTGACTACTAAATCCCAGAGGAAGTATCCAGCTGCAAGCGCTTGGATGAATCCAGCACCACCAGTATAACCCCAAATACGCTCCTCCCATTCCATGTTGCTCATCTCAGTATCGACGAACATTACCCATATAGCCAGGGCATTGATTAGGCAGCTCTGAACCATGGAAACAACGTGGGCGTCCCAGTTGAGCCGTCGCTTGCGAGGAAGCTTGGAGTAGTGCTCCGGGGCCAGAAGGTTTGAGATCCATGGCGAGATAGGCCAGAAGATGACCGAGTATAACAACGCTGCGGCCAGAACTTCGTGTATGTGCAGCGGGAGAGTAGGCAGGTCGAAATAGTCGGCCCAGGGCTGTGTCTTTTCTGATAGCCAGGGCGAAGGCTGCAAAGGAAATGGATCTTTCATGCTGGCGGAATGAATTGGAGTTGCAAAACGGTTGAGGTTTGTGCTCGCGAGAACCCAGCAAAAAGATCAAGAAAGAAAGGGCCGGGAACAAAAGAATGCGGAGGAACAAAGACTTGAAATGAGCCGAGGGAAGGCGGCGCAATTAAAGGATACCTCGAGTAGGAAACTTGATATTCATTCGCCTGGTCACGTCTGTTGGGGAAGCTCACGTGGGAACAGCACGGGCAAGGGTCCGGATGGTCGCATTTTGATCTGTCTTTGGAGCTTATTCCGTTATTTGTACCGTGCCAGCGCAATTCTGGCTTGCTGATAGGCTTAAGTCGGGCTATTGCCTGGACGTTGAGACCTTAGGTAATCTGATCTAACAGGGGTGCCGAGTACCTGATGTTGACAGTGCCATCATTCTGCCCCCCCCCACCAGATCTCTATAGTCTAGCTCGTTTACAGGCCAGGTGCCACCTCACTCAATTAGAACACCAGATCGTCCACGAGCGTTCAGTCACGGACGTATCTGTGCTGGAGCTTGGCAGATTGATAGTTCGTTTCAAGACCTCATTTCTTCATTCTCGTGATCTGACTTTCAGTTGTTGCTGTCCTAATATCCCCCCCTTTTTATAATCGACTGAAGCTAGACGATTTGACACCTCAAGTGCATTGTTTCGCGTCGCATCGTCACGCACCAACCGCACACTACTCTCCAGACCACCATGGCGGAAGCTCTAAGAGACCTGCTGGCACCCGATCAGGCGAACGACCCATCTGCCTTGGAGTACCTGACCTATCTTGCCGAACAAGAGTCCAGCTCCCTTCAAGCATCCGAGCCTCAAGTCTTATCTCAGACCTTCCACTCCCTACTGCTTGCCGTACAAGCGCTTTCGAAGAGATCCCACAAACCCGTCGTCGATTCAGCCGCGAGCCATGCTTTGCTACGAACGTCCCTACCGACTCTGGCCCAGCGAGCCTCAGACCTTGTCCAGGCAGTACCCCGACTAGATGCGCAAGCAGAACACTTCTCGTCAGCTTTTGGCAAGGCCAGCGAGAGCAAATTACTAGCGCGGAGAAAGCAGGCCCTTCTTCTACTTCGAAACTCGGAACGTCTTGTTGATGTCATGGAAATGCCTCTCCTTCTTTCGTCCGCTGTCTCGACTGCGCCGGTCAATCATTCCTCTACGCTCGAGCTTTACGCACACGTCCGACGCCTTGCTTCCCTCTACCCAGACTCACCGCTTGTCACTTCGGTACTAGACGAGGCAGATGCTGCCATTCGACAGATGGCTGCAGATCTCATTGGAACGCTCAAAGCACCCAATCTCAAGCTTGCCGCTGCCGTTCGAACGATAGGCTGGCTCAAACGAATCGTCCCGGATCTGGTGACTGATGCGTCAACTGAAGACGCACTCCCGGCCGTCTTCTTGGTGTGCCGCTTGTCCACGCTTTTGACAACGTTGGAAGCATTGGAACCTCTGAGAGACCTAGCAGATGAGGAACGACTTCGAAAGGACAAAGCTACCAGCACGTGGTCAGGCGGCCAACAGACAGAGCGGTATCTGAAACGATTTATCGAGATCTTTCGCGAACAGAGCTTTAGCATTGTCTCTGTGTTTAGGAGCATAAATTCGAGCTTCGCATCGCACGGGAACGACGAAACTGATCCTTTGGGAGCCCTGCCTTCCCCAATGGCTAACTTTCCTTTACATATGGTAGAGATGCTTGTCGAAACGCTGCGTATCTATCTGCCAACTGTCAAAGACCAGACATCGAGGGAAAGCATTCTGACGCAGGTACTTTACTGCGCGGGCAGTCTGGGGAGGCTGGGGGCTGATTTTGGCATGCTTCTTGCTTCGATCGGTATAAATGAATGGGTTGAGCTTGTCAAACGCCATCGTCTTCTGGCTGGCCGTCTTGAGTCTGTAATAGGCGACTATCGGGGTAGCCATGCCAGTGGCGTTGGCGCGAACTGATCCATGTCTCCCAACCCTACTACGGACTTGGGCCATTCTTTACCAGCACGTGCAAGATGCATCAAAGCGGGGCCGATTCACGTAGCGGGGTCTAGGCTTTCGGTGCGATTTTATCTCGTCACGTCACCCATTCTATCTCCCCGACATGCCCGGTGGCTCAAGTCTGTGACTAGCCATGGGTATCTCAATTGCTGGTTCCCCGACTCAACACAATGGTGCTGCTGTGTCCTTACCAATGACCGAGCCCCGAGCCTCTCGGTCAGCCAATTCAGGTATGCTTTCTTGGTCAATTCCATATACCGGAGTCTCTGTGTGGTTCGGCCTCTGTCGGCTCCATTCAATGTTCACCGTCTGACACAACTGAATAGCCCGGCATTTTATATCTGGCCTTGGCTCAGGCGTCACTTCAGCCGTTCTCCTACAACCTTTGGATCTTCTCAAAACGCGAGTACAGCAGTCTGGTAGTTCGTCATTAAGCGCTACCCTACGTGATCTGAGACAATCTTCAAGCCTTGTAAAGTCCCTGTGGCGAGGTACCGTTCCTTCTGCGCTACGGACGGGCTTCGGCTCAGCTCTCTACTTCACATCACTCAATGCGATTCGCCAGCATGCACACCAGACAGGTATCCTGGGTCGGCGCCTACAGACCCAGGGCCGCTCATCAGTCCTTCCTTCATTAACGAATTCGGGCAACCTCATCTCGGGCGCAGTTGCAAGAACGTTTGCTGGCTTTGTCCTTATGCCTCTCACCGTGATCAAGGTTCGCTTTGAATCCAGTCTATATTCTTATCCCTCCATCATGTCAGCTGCGAATGACATCCGTCGGACTCACGGCTGGCGTGGTTTCTTCTCTGGATTTGGTGCCACGGCGTTTCGGGATGCACCATATGCTGGCATGTACGTGCTATTCTATGAGATGCTGAAATCGCGCCTCGGATCACTGGCATCCAAGCCGGTTGCATCAGGCGAAGGCCCAACCAGAATGCAAGCAACTCTGGCTAGCTCTGTCAACTTCACTTCCGCTATGCTTGCCGGTGCAGCATGCTCCATTGTTTCAAACCCATTCGATGCGGTCAAAACACGAATTCAATTACAACCACTGGAATACAGGAATATATGGCACGCTTGGTATAAGATGGTAACACATGAGGGTATTCGGTCACTATGGGATGGCTTAGCGTTACGGATGAGTCGTAAGGCCATGAGTTCGGCATTGGCTTGGACGGTGTACGAGGAGCTGATTCGCCGAGCTGGAGCAAAGTAAATGTAAATTGTGTACAACAACTGTAACAACAACTCGCCTCAAAAGATAAGAACTAGAGAGCCACTTCTTGGCTGGTTTAATGTAAAATATCTCGCTCGCAATTTACAATCCATCGCCCGTTGAGCCTATGCCGGCCGCGCACCAGCCAAATACATCAACAATCCTGGTGACTTACTCCTACGGCGGCTATGCTTATCCTTGTCCTTCTTGCGAACCCATTCAAAGTCTGGCTCTTCTCTGCCGTGTCGCTTTTCCTCGACCATAAGCATCTTAGTGCGCTTCTCGCGGATCAGCTTTGTATGCTTCCACAGTCGGTCTTGCTCCCACTCCGGAACCCAGCGTCGAATGAGTAGATAGTCAGGATCCTGGCGATAGAGTTAGCTCAACACCATGCAACGAATGAGAGTGGCAATAAGACTGCTACATACCGTATCAAAATCAAATTCGACACCGAATTCACGCAACGATTCGATTGACAGATGTCGGCGGGACATGCGTGTATAAGTTGGTCGAGCAACTTGGCCGGCAGGGGGTGGAGGAGGAATTGTGGCGATTTGGTTGACCGGGACAGGCATAGGGGTGTAATGGTGAGCTGGACCAGCCATTGCGTGATGTGGTAGAGGCTGTGGATGTTGAGGCTGTGCCTTCTTGATCTTTTCCTTCTTCAAGATGGCCTCGATGGTCTTATCATCGAGTCCTGACTTGGCGAGGTCTTGTTTCAAGCGGTCCTGGTATTCCCGGTCTTTGGCTTCTCTGTCGGCCTTTTCCTTTGCTATGCGATCCTTCTCTGCCTGCTTGTAACGCTCAACTGCTTCAGCTGCTTCTTTCTCCTTCTGGTCTTTGAGCTTCTTCTCTTTGGCAACTCGCTCAAGCTCCCTTCTCTTGTAATCCTCGACAGCAGAATTTGCCTCTTTCTCGCGGCGCTGTCTCTCTTCTGTGGCGGCGTCTTCCTCTTTCAGGCGCCTCAACTCAATCTCCTTCTTGATGCGTTCTTCTTCATCAGCGCGCGCTTTACGGCCCTTGATCTTTTCGAGCTCGCGCTTGGCTTGCTTGAGCTCCTCTTCCTCTTTAAATTCCCTCAAACGACGACGCTCTTCCTCATCGCGCGCATGAGCAAGGTGCATCTTTTCGAGCTCCTTACGTGCTTGTTCCGCCTCCCATTCCTCACGATATCCTTTGACAAGCTGTCGCTCATCCTTCTCGCGTTGCCGCTCGTCTCTCTCGCGCGAGCTAGCGAGTCGATTTTTCTCAAGATCTTTACGTGCTTGCTCAGCCTCCCACTCGTCACGGTATTGCTTGACAAGTCTTCGCTCCTCCTTCTCCCGTGCTGTGTTGAGGCGAAGATCTTCGAGCTCCTTGCGAGTTTTCTCAGCCTCCCATTCTTCTCGAGTCATATAGGAAGATGATCGAGATCGGGATGAGGACGACCGGGAGCGAGAGCGAGAGCGGCGCCGCCGCGAAGACCGCGCAACTTGTTTGCGACGAGTATCTTCATCATCGGAGGAGAGGTCATTGTATATCTTGTTATTGATAATTACAGGAACAGGGGCCGGGGGACTGCTGGCGCGACGCTCTCGAGCTCGAGACTGCTCACCAGTACGAGAACGAGACCGAGAACGATGCATGGTTGTGATGTTCAGGCGGTCAGCTCCAATGTAACTGGGTCCTGGAGGTGCATCGTAGTAGTTTTGAGTACGTTGCGGGTTCGCAACATATCGGATGCCAGGTGATGGTCCACGCTTCTGGTAGCGGATGTCGTAGTCATCCTCATCATCGTAACTATAGCTACTTCGGCTCATCGTGGCAGATAATCAGAACCCAATGAGCAAGAAACAGCGATTCGGAGATGACAATATCAAATGTGATCGTATAGGCTGTTGTGCTGCCTGAAGACAACAGGTTGGAATAGTTACCGCTTTGCAACAGAGGGAAGAGTCAGACGAGAGAGGGGACAAAGAGGAGTGAGTGGCAGCGGTCGATGAATAAATAAGAAGGAACACAACCCACAGAACATTTAGACCATCCGTCCCTCGGAGGGGACCGCGGTTCCGTGCCGACCATAGCACTCCATGTTGGTTGTAGGGCTGGACTCTGGGAGGGGGCGGGGGGGGGGGCTGAACTGAAACTTGGTGGGGGCTAAATTAATTCCTGTCTAAATTGAACATGGTCCCTTGTCCGTCCCGGTGTTTGCTCACAAATCGGTGATGATGGTGAGGAATCAGGGTCGCACGATGCTGTCAGCTTGAGGTGGGTTACAGCAGGCAACCGGCGGTGAGACCTTTGGAAGCCAGAGAGATCGAAAGAAATGCCCCTTCATGTTCCGGAATATACTGAGCTGCCATGATGATCGGTGCCTTGGTTATCGGCAACATCTCCAGTTGAAGCCAGCAGATTCGTCGCTTGGTTCAGCTATCAAAGTGACCCTCCTGATCGGGACTGGCGCCATGCTTCGCGTCTTACAGCCACAGAGACGATCTCGACCCAAACTAAAGGCGAACCCACCGTAAGCAGAGACTCGGCGGTCACATCGGCTTCAGTGTTGGTGTTCACATGGTGGGTTAAATGCGCGGCGCAGCTGTAGGGCTGGGAAGAAAGGGGCCTGGCGCCTGTTGAAACATTTCTGTAGCACGTTTGAAGGACATTGACGACTGGGCAGCGTTTAAAAAATACCCTCAGAAATAGAGGGAAGTCAGATTGATCGTGCGTAACATTCAGCTCTTAGTTTACTTGGCGCGGAGCATCTGCTCGATATGCTCGCGGCTATTCTTGTGTGTTGTTTCCAAATAAAGCAGACGCTGGCTCAGTTTGTCCACCTCGCCCTCCAAAGTCTGTGTCTGGCTCTCAAGCTTTTGGCGAAGTGAATCCACCGGGAGCGAGACGAACCTATAAAGAAGCGCCAAAACGGCCAGGCGTTAGAGACCAAGCTTGGTTCAAGGAGATGCGGGGTTCCTGTGAAAAGAGGAGGCGGATGGTTGAGCTTCGGTAGGAGAGGCACTCACATTTTGCCGACACCCTCGTAGACGACAGCGTCTTGGGGCAGACTGGCCATTTCGCTGAGTGTGAGCTTGACTAGACGTTGCTCTCGTTGTTTCGATGTCATTTGAGTCCTGGCCAGGCCAATCTGCTGCTGGGCTACCAGCGCCTGGCTTTCGATCTCTCGCACCAGCTACATGCCGGGTGTCAGTAGGGCTGAGACCTAGTAAAATGATGTTCACTGAAGGAGGTCGGAAGGATATTTGTTCCAAGAGAGGCCATACCTTCTGCAGTGCTTCGTTCGGGATAGACATTGTGCTGAGGTGCTGACTGACTAAAGAGATTGACGGCCTTGATTTGTTGCTAGGTAATTGAAAACTGGGAAGTATAGAGAGATATGCTTAAGTAAGAGTAAAAGGAAGATAAAAGGAAAAAGACTAGGTTAAAGAATTTATTATTTTAATTAATTTATAAATTAATATTAAATAATATTAAAAAATTAAAATATTTATTTAATAATATATAAAATAAAACTAAAGACTTTAATTAATTATAATAATAGCCTAATTATTATATAAAGTTAATTTTATTTCTTATAAATTATATTATTCTTATAATATCCTTATAATCTTTTAATAAAACCTTATATTAAAATTCTATTTTTCTTTAAGCTTTAATATAATATATTTTTATTATACTTACTTAACTTTTTAATTATTATAATAAATTAAAGCTTTTATCTTAAGTTATTTAAATATAATAATAAATAATAAATAAGTAATTATTAAAAAAACCTAATAAATTATTTATATTAGCTTTAAAAATAATTAATAATATTTTTTAAATTAATATTTAAAAATTAAAATACTTATTTAATAATATATAAAATAAAGATAAAAATATTAAAATAAGATAATAAAATAAGATACTTATTTTTAATATAATATAATATAAGATATTATATATTATATTAAATACTACTGCCTAATATAATACTATTAATAAAGGCCTGCTATTACCTTAATATACCTTAACCTTATTTTAAGTAATTAGCTAGGTCTTTTAATGCCTTTATCTGGCCTATAATATATTTAATAAGAGATATATCTTTTTTAATACTAAGGAGCTATACTTAGTAATTAAAGATTATTAGATTAACTTATTATTTTAAAGTTAAAATACCTATTTAGTAATATATAAAGTAAAGCTAAAGGTATTAAAATAAGATAATAAAATAAGGTATTTATTTTTAATATAATATAATATAAGGTATTATATATTATATTAAAAAATATAATAACCTTAATATTAAGTCTTAGCAGATTATATAATTACTACCTTAAACCTTAAGATTTAATTAAATAAGTAGCCTTAATTTATAAGTATAAAGAAGATATTTTCTTTATTTTTAAAAGGCTAAATACCCTCTTTATTATTATCTTATTAAGGTAATTACTACTAAGGCTTTAATACTTAAAAGTTATATTAAAATAAACTAAAAACCTTAACTTTTATTATAAAATATATTATTATATAATTATTATTAATAATAATTAACCTAATTATAACTATTTAATCTTAATAGTTAATAATTATATAATTAATCCTTTAATAGATATTAATAGGCTTAAGTTTAAATATATTCTTATTTTATATTCCTTCTTATAGTATTATAAAATTATAAGAAAATACCTATTATATATTAATAAATTACTACTAATATAATAAGTTTATTTAATAATCTTTAGTTACTAAGTATAGCTTCTTAGTATTAAGGAAAATATATCTCTTATTAAATATATTATAGGCTAAATAAAGGTATTAAAAGACCTAGCTAATTACTTAAAATAAGATTAAGGTATATTAAGGTAATAATAGGCCTTTATTAATAGTATTATATTAGGTAGTAGTAATAGCCTATATTAGGTATAATTTATAAAGTTAAAATATATAATTAAGTTAATTAAATTAATAATATAAATATTTTATTATAAGAATTAAGGGCTATTATAAGATAAAGAAGAGAAAGTAAGAAGGAAAAAAGAAAAAAAAAGGCAAATTAAGAAAAAAAGGTTTTAGTATTTAGGAAAAAACTATAAATATTAGTAGATTAAGGTTAGCTTAGTAGGTTAGTAATAGATTAAATTAGATTATAAGATAATATAATAGGAGAAATATAAGTTAAGGATAAATATAATTAAATAATACTTAGGATTAACTTATTAGATTAATAGTAATTTATTAATATATAATAGGTATTTTCTTATAATTTTATAATATTATAAGAAAAAATATAAAATAAGGATATATTTAAACTTAAGCCTATTAATATCTATTAGAAGACTAATTATATAATTATTAATTACTAAGATTAAATAGCTATAGCTAGGTTAGTTATTATTAATAATAATTATATAGTAGTATATCTTATAATAGAAGTTAAGGTTTTTAGCTTATTTTAATATAGCCTTTTAATATTAAAGCCTTAGTAGTAATTACCTTACTAAGGTAATAATAAAAAGGGTATTTAGCCTTCTAAGAATAAGGAAAATATTTTCTTTATACTTATAAATTAAGGCTATTTATTTAATTAAATCTTAAGGTTTAAGGCAGTAGTTATATTATCTACTAAGAGTTAATATTAAGATTATTATATTTTTTTAATATAATATATAATATCTTATATTATATTATATTAAAAATAAATACCTTATTTTATTATTTTACTTTAATACCTTTAACTTTACTTTATATATTATTGAATAGGTATTTTAACTTTAAAATAACTTAATAATAAGTATAATAACTAGGATTATTTTAAATTAATCCTTAATAGGGTTTAAACCTAAATTCTATTATATTACTAAGGATAATAATACTTAGAAGGGGGTCTTAGAAGTATAAGTAAGAATATATTAAATATATAAGCTTTAAAAAAACCTATCTTAATATTAGATAGATATAAATAAGAGATAAGTAAAATATTATAATATTAAGTATATCTTTATAACCTATTAATAAGGGTAACTTATTATATTATTTATAAAAAACCTTAGACTTAAAGGAGAAAAAAAAAACTAATACTTAGATTTATTAATTTATTTAAAATAATAAAGAAAATAGGCTATTAAGCTTATAGACTAATACTTTTAAATTAATACATAAAATTTTATAATACCTTTTATATTAATCTCTTAGAACCTTATTAAATAAGGGATTAATTAGCTTCTAAGCCTTTATTAATATATAAACTTAAAGAAAATAAAGATAATTAAGAGGTTAATTTTATTAAAAATAAGAAGTATATTAATAAGAAGTATTATTACCTTATAAAGTAAAAAGATTAATTAAATATATATAATTAATAGGTATTAAATAAGAATATAATAAATATACTTTAAATTATTAGTAATTAGGAAAAATAAAAAATTAAAACTAAAGGAATAAAATTAAAGACTTAAAAACTAGTTTTACTAAGAAAAAGAGGTTACTTAATAAAGAAATATAATATATAAGATTTAGGCCTAAAGGTTATAAAATTAATTATTACTAAAGAATAATTAAAATTACCTTTATAAGGACTATTTATAAATATAAGATTAACTTACCTTAAAGATATTATAGACTTTTAATTAAAATTAATAAACTTATTAAAATTAAACTTCTTAGTATCCTTAATACCCTTTCTTATAAATTCCTTAGTCTCCTTAATATACTTTTTTATAAACTCCTTATTACTCTTAGACTTATTAATTTTACCTAAGAGTTCCTTTTTAATATTAACCTCCTTATTAGGTATTATTAACCTAATATAAAAAAAGAAATAAAGCTAATATAAATTATATCTAATAAACTTATAAAAGTTATTTATTACCTTAAAGAATTAAAGGTAACCTTAGTAGTAATAATAATACTTAAGGCAGTTTAAGACCTTTAATATCCTAGAAATAAAGTTATTATAAGCTATTACTTAGGTAGATTTAATAGTTTTCCTATTAAATAAATATAACTTTTAAGAGGCTTATTAAGTAATATAAATTTAATTAGGCTATAATATAAATTAGTAATTAGCTAAATAAGCTAACTAAGGTAAAAGACTTATAATATAAGATATAAAAATAAGATAATTTTAAATAATAATTTAATATTTTTAATTAATATAATATTTATAAGTAAGCAGGGCCTAATTAATTATCTTCTTAATACCTAAGATCTTATATTTATTAATATAAGTTATTTTTTTTTTTTCCCCTTACTATTAGCCTTATATAAGGCTATTAAGCTTTTTAACTTTTCTATAAAGGCTTAAATAGTAAGACCCCTATAGCAGGCTATTATTACAGAATTTACAATTATATAAGGTTTATTTGCCTTAATGGTATACTTGCTGCCTTAACTAGGCAGTATTAATGCTAATTACCTCTTAGCAGCTAGGTTACCCTTCTTCCTTTATCCTACCTAAAGGAATACTATGCCTAGTCTATCTATTATAAAGTAAGTTTCCTAACCTGGCTTCTAATCCTTCTTGCTAATAGTATAATAGCTATACTGCCTTAATGCCTACTATATAAAATAGCCTATAGCTATATAATTATACCTATTATATAATTAGTTATAACCTTAATCTAGCTATTAGGCCTGCATTAGATATAACTAGTAAAAAAGAACTTAAAGAGATTTATATAATAGTAGCTGCTATTAGAAAGAACTTCTTATTAAGATATAGATTTAACCTTATTAGGATAATTATCTTTAATTATAGCCTAATTTAGCTAATTAGTTATATAAATTAGAGGTATTATATTAGTTTAATTAATTTAAACTAGGTTAATTCTAAGCTATTAGGTCTTAAGGACCTAGAAAGGGGCTTAAGGGAAGGTTATTACCTTTAGTTAGACTAGGTAGCCTTTCTTACTGCTTTTATAGGTTTAGTTATATATAAAAAGTAGCTCTTTAATATATCTAAAAGGGTTATTACTATTAAGGGAGAGCTACTTTTAAATTAATAAAGAGTTAAATAAATATAAGGTAAAGGCAGGGTTTTATAAAAAGTTAAAGGAATTAGGTTAACTTTTATATAAGTTAGTTAGTAAAAGTTAAATTAACCTAAAGTTATAACTAGCCTCTATTAATTAAATGCATATAGTAGGGCATATAACTAATTAACCTTTTATATAAGAATAGATAAAGTAAAGTTAGTAAAAAGTTAGTGGTTTAAACTGGGGAAAGGCTAGTTATAACTTTAGGTTAATTTAACTTTTATTAACTAATTTATATAAAAGTTAACCTAATTCCTTTAACTTTCTATAAAACCCTGCCTTTACCTTGTATTTATCTTAGAACTCTATATACAGACTCCCCATCCTTACTAATTCAGAAGCAGCTCCCCCTAATAATAATAACCCTTTTAGATATATTAAAGA